AGGCTCACAGAAAAACAGCGTTTTTGATAGTGCACAAGGGTTCAGTAGCCCGCTCATAGCTTTGCAAATCAGTCATGACTGATAAATGTGGCCTCTGAGGCACATGCGCGTTGTGTTGTAGATGTTACGTGTAAATCAAACGCTGTGCTTCTATGAGCAAAAAGGGTCAAAATGTAATCTGTGTCATCCAATGTATTTTCAGGCTACAGTGATACGGTGTTTAACAGCAAAGCTTGGACAGATGTAACCGACGTTTGCTCAAAACAAGGAGAATTAAAGGACTTTCCAAACAAGTTGAAGGACTTTGCGATAAGAAGCAGGGAACCAAATACGGTTACAAAATATTCTGCAGGTTTTGAAAAATTCAAAAACTGGTGTAACGCACTTGGCTTACAATTTCTCCCAGCAAACCATATACATGTTTCAATATATCTTTTGAGTATTTTTCAAAATTCAAATCAGAGTTACAGTCAAGTAATTTCGGCAAAATACAGTATTGCTTGGGCTCATAACATGGCGTGCATTGACAATCCATGCGAGCATAACATGGTAAAATTGGTTACAGAAGGGTCACTTCGTCTTTCTAGCAAAAAGGTCAGCAAGAAAGCGCCAATTACAGTAAAACACTTGGAAGATATAATAGATAAATTTGCTGGAGAAAATGCAAGCGTTTTGGAGCTAAGAACGGCCACTTTTATGATTTTGGCATTTGCAGGGTTTTTTAGGTTTGACGAAATGTCAAGATTGAAGTTCACAGATGTCAGTTTCAAAGAGTATTACATAGATATCTTTGTAGAGAAATCAAAAACGGATTGTTATCGTAATGGTGCAAATGTTTTAATAGCCAAATCAAACAACAAGACATGTCCAGTTTCATTGTTGCAAAGATACATGAGAGAACTGGGTGTTAATTCACAAACTGACAAATTCATTTTTGGAGCGCTTTCATTTTTTAAAAGCAAAAGAAAACACCAGTTGAAAGAATGTAATAAACCAATCAGTTACACAACTTGTAGAGATATGGTCAAAGCTGCCTTGGACAAAATTGGGGTAGATAGTAAGGTTTACGGGTTGCATTCATTACGTTCTGGGGGTGCCACTAAGGCTGCCAACGCAGGTGTTTCAGACAGGCTTTTTAAGGCGCATGGGAGATGGCGCAGTGAAACTGCAAAAGACGGTTACGTTGAAAGTGACATCAGCCAAAGACTTTCAGTTACTTTAAGTCTGGGACTTTAAGTGAAATCATACATTTAGCAATTTACAATTTCAAACATTTACGCCATCTTTAGCCTCGGTGATACTCGCCCACAAGGCCATTACTATTTGAAAGTTAATTTAGTAGTTGTGTTCTATGTTTTTGGTAAACGTGGAGTTTAGTTTACTTAAATAGATTTTCTAACGTTTGAGTGTAACGAATCAGTTTGAAAATTACTTTAAGTATTACGGAAGGCGAAATGTTTATTGCGTAGCATTTTTATTAGGGTGATCGTAGGTGGTAAGTGAGTAGGGTATTCACGCTTGGAGTATTTCATTTGGACATGTGAATTATGTATGTAATGTAAGGTCATTCTCGGTTTACACGCAAGCGAGGTATGACAAAGTTACACAGGCAAATGTTTGTTTTTTTTTTAAAGATATTTCATATTTGTTAAAATTTTCAAAATATCATATTGCATTGTTAGAACAGGTGAATCGTTTATCGAAGTCCTCGTCTGTAACTCTGCTTCATTTCGGATCACGGGGCCGACTTTAAGTCGAGTACCTCCTCCCTCCTTAAAAAGGGGGTTAAGGTTGGGTCACCGGAAGTTGAGAAATTTTCGATTTCACCTCGTTTATTTCATGTAAGAATAACATTTGTTTTATTAATATTAATTGTTACGAGCTTACCGTAAGTTCAGGAATGATAATAGCTTACCAATCTTTTTAGAGTAAATGTAAGGCTGCCTTGCCTGTTACCAAGGGTACTTACAGTGAAAAACATTTAGATATTATGTTAGAACTGATTTTAAAAAAGTACACTAACGCTGTCGGTCAGCTTAGTATAACGCTGTCGGTCAGCTTAGTATAACGCTGTCGGTCAGCTTGGTTACTACGCCTTTACTTATTGCTCAGAGCAAAATATTGATATTCATTTTTTATAGAGTGTAACGCTGTCGGTCAGCAAGGCTACTACGCCTTTACCTATTGCTCAGAACAAAATATTATGATTTACAGATTTAGAGTTTAACGCTGCCAAGCAAAGCGAATATTACAGAATTTGATATTGACATTGTACATGCACGATGCTGTCGGTCAGCAAAAAATGTTGCTCAGAGTAACATTCAGAAGTTGAGATTTGTGATATGGAACGAGATGTATAGTTGCTTGATGTAAATGGACTGATGAATAAATGTCATACTCGCCCACAAGGCCATTACTATTTTAAAGTTAATTTAGTAGTTGTGTTCTATGTTTTTGGTAAACGTGGAGTTTAGTTTACTTAAGTAAACTTTCCTCTCCTTACATAAGCCTCTTTAATGTATTTTACAATTTTACTTGTCTGATTTGTATGTGTTTACATATAAAATATTCAAAAAAAATTGAATAAAAAAAGTGGAATATTTTTTTGCATAAATCACAAGCAATTTATGATTTATCATTACGATTCTCATGGAAACAAGTAAATTAAGCTTAATAATCATAGGAAATTAAAATGACAGTTCTCCAAACCGAGACTAGTCTTTTGTGCATGAATCTTGGATTTATTTACAGTTACATGTTATCATATTAAAATGCCATGTTAAGTTCAGGACACCTACTATATTTTATTTTAAAAATAGATTATATCAATGGCAAGAGGCAGAAAAGACTCAGTTCATTTTTTCAAAATTGCCAGCATATAACACAAGTTGTAGAAGCCCCTATAGAAAGGTTTTAGCATCTTAAAGGTGTGGTACACTACCTTTTAATATTGAAATAGGACGATAAACTACATGTAATCTTAAAACACCATTACAGGAACGGTTATGCAAAATGTGCAATTTTGAAATGAGATTTTGGAGTATATGTTATCAATTGACAAAGAGTTTTTGAAGTTTAATACTTAAGCTCAATATTGCAATATAATGACTTCTTGTAATAGTTTTATCTTAAGCAAATGTATTTTTAAAATGTGGCGTACAAGACACATTTACTTATAGTCACTCATAAGTCAGCAACGGCTGGACATATTTGTTGATTTGTATTTTATTTTATGTATTTCAATTGTATAATATGTGTGTGACTTTAATAAACTACATGTATTTTAACTAACTAACATAAACTGAACTTCAAAAAATGGTTAAGATCTGCTCTTCTCTCCCATTCCATTTACACAATAATAATAGTGAGGTATAAAATCAACGATTCTGGTTGTCTTCTGAACTATTTGTTTGCAAACATGTATATTTCTTGAGCAGATACTGACAGACGTTTGTGATTAAAATGTCATGGGAATTCTGCCTACAACGTGTGAAATAAGGAAACAATACACACAGTGAACAGAATAATGCAAATGCGAGTAGGAAGTTACCAGTTTCACCACCAGGTGGCTCGCTCGGCTCAGATAGCATGGCGGGTAAAGTAGAAAGTTCCCTTTAACTTAAATTACATAGGTTTCAGTGGTTCAATTTTCATATAGCCCTTATGTATAGAATAGTTATGCAAATTAAAGTATGTCCAGTAAAAGAAAATGTTATATGTCCAATACAAGAAAAGATATTTCACTTTTTGTGATTTTGTAATATGGGGTCTATCAACCTGAACTAGAAGTCAAATTTTCAAAAAATATTAAATTTTCAAAGTTGATAAACAATTTTCGAAACCATATTTTTAGGTGTATTTTACATGTAGATTTCTAATATGACATCACTTTGACTGAATTTTGAATATTTAATGACATAAATCAAGATCATTTTTACTCAAATCCATGAAACCTGGAAACCTGTATACAAACCTTGACAGACAATATTTTAGGATGGAAAATCCAAAATGGCCACCTTAACATTTACCGAGAAAGCCCAAAAACTGATCAGTTCTAAAGCTTTCTATATAGAAACACCCCTGAAAATTTCAGACGAATTCATGAAATGCTTTGTCTCGAAACCTGTTGACAAGCCTCGAGAAAAGTTTTTAGGATGGAAAATCCAAATATCTGATTTATCAATTCCCACCCTCTCTTTTTTACAGTCCACCACTCATTTGAAGCTTCTCTTCAGCAGACACAAGGTAACTTTTACTTATAAGTGGTAAATTAAGCTGTCCATATGAACCCATGAATTACAAATGTACCACCACACAAAATTAGCAAAAAATAACAACATTTTAACTTCATCTTAACATATCTAATGTAAGCTAATTACATTTAATAACCTACAATGTAGCTTAACTTCACATATTTTTATGATCCCTAGGATAAAATAAACAAGAAAATTAGGATAGATGATAAAACATGCTATGTATGATACTGACAGGGATTCAGCAATAAATAAATAAAAAAAACAATAGGCACTAATTTATTAGATGTAATTTTAATTGATGTTTTAATTTGTGCATTATCCAGAATGGCATCTGAAAATTCCTTGGTAACGCAAAGCCCAATTAAGGCAACCTGATTTTGAGAATTACTTTGCATCACAGGCCCGTTGCCAGGATTTGCCATGGGGGGGGGGGTCAGTTTTCAAAAATTTCCAGGGGGGGTTCACATTTGACAATTTTGGCCCAAATATGGCTAAAATTACTTGAGAAGTGCTCAAAATGGTAAAAAAACTGCATGATTTTGAAAGAATTTTTGTGCTACGGGCCTGCATCACCTGCCATTAACTTGTAATTATATACATATATGTTATATGATTAATGATTGCTTTCCATCTAGAACCACCAGAGTCATTCGATGCCTGCAATGTGAGGCAATGTGAGGCCACTGAAAATCTCATTCTCTTTGGTGATGACATACTCCTGATCTTCTATTAAGATTATATTACCTGAAACTGGTGAAAATCCTAATTCATCCATGGATACATTTGGGGAACTTGTATTGGATTCATTACGCTTTTTCTTTCTCTTTGAAGGGGTCTTAGTCGCCATGTTATAGATTACACTTTGAAGCTGTTCTATATTATGCTGTACAGGATAGATGTCAAGTATAGTCATAGAGGTCTCATTATAGATTTAAGATGAGCCAAGTCACATATAGTCATGATTCTGGTTACACCTGAAGTAAAACAAAATGAGATTATTCTGTAGTCTAAATAGATACTTGACTCTATATTTAATTTTTGGCCGTGCCTGGAGAGCCTTAGAATTTAAGGCTCTCTAGCCAAATGGGTTACCAAAATGCTAAAGAGCCTTAAATTTTAAGGTTCTTTAGCAATTCAGCTAATGGGCCTTAAATTTTAAGGCTCTTTAGCATTTTGATAGCCAATTTCGCTAGAGAGCCTTAAGGGAATTTTAGGTGACAGAAATGACAAAATATTGCTTCTGGGACGAGATCAAAAGCAGTGGCGTAGCGTCATATACGCATAAAACGCCATAGCGTACTCTCAACATTTAGAGAAGAGTGAATTTTTCAGATTGAAATGACCCACGTTTGATATTCTGAAGTAATGGCCTAACATATTTTATTATCCCAACGAACGAAGTTCGGTAGGGATATAGTGAAGCCCTCCGTCCGTCCGTCCGTCAGTCCGTCCGTCCGTCCGGAAGATAACTCAAATACTAGTAGACGGATTTTCTTCATATTTAGTGGAAAGATGTATATTGGTGAATAGTTTTACGCAAAATTTTTTTTTCAAGATGGCCGCCGCTTTAAAAATGACGGGACTTTTTCGCAAAAATCATAAATTTTTCATTCTAAACCAAAGTAATTAATATTATTGTTTGAAATTTTGGTAGTATATTCACAACATTTATTTATTTCACATATATTCTGTGTTTTTCATCCTGACCCCCAGGGGCCGTGTATGGGGGGTCAGGAAAACAGAAATTTTTGCTAATTTTTAGATCTTTCTAAAGTATAGCTTTATTATACTCAAATGAAAGGCAATTAAGAGTAGATTGCAAATATTGTATCTTTTTTCTGATTCGAGCCTCGTAAAATTCAAAATGGCCGTCTAATGTACGATTTCGCAATAATTTTTCGATCCCTTCAAATTATGGCTATATTATACTCAAATTGAAGGATTTTTGGAGTAGATCACAATTATGGTATTATTTTTCAGATTTGTACCTCAGAAAGTTCAAAATGGCTGCTTAGCAGGAATTCGCAATTCTAAAATCTTATTTTTTCAATTTTAACCAAAGTAATGAGTATAATTGATTGGAATTCGATAATTGATATTTTGTTCGTTGGGATTTGCTACTCTGCGGAGTTGCCATTATTAATCCATTTTTTGGAGTCGAAATTTCGTATTTTAAAACGCCCCAGAACGCTTCAAATGCAATCTCTTTTCAAATTTTCTTGGGGGAAAGAACCCCCCTCAAAGCTTGTTCGCTTCGCTCACTCGTGGCGTACACTCATAAAATACCCACGCTACGCCACAGAAAAGACTTTGACTATTCTTTACCCAACCTATTATGTAATTTAATAATCAGCACACATATACATACCATATTAAGCAGATATCGGACAAATTCATAAAGAAAATATTTTTGATCGATAAAATCACTGATTATTAAGGTCTTCTCTGAGGTCCGCGAAGATGAAGAAGAAAAATTATAAAGATTTCAGTCATTTCGTCTTTGCCGTCGATTTTATTCATATGGTTATTTAAATCTTCTAATGCTTACTATGACTTCTATTAGTACTGTTTTGACTTCCCCACTTCATAAATAAACATTATCACTTTTTGCTCGACTCATAAATTTACTTCCGGTCTACCGAGAGAAATATAAGTTCTCAGAACCTTTTCAATCCTCAGTCTAAAGAACGGACCGTTCATGCATGTATCGAAAATATGTCTCTGGCTCACCAGAAAAGGTGTAAGACCAGGCAATCACGTATATAGCCAGAAAAATGTTATTTTTTACCATTTTATCCACTATAAATCGCAACGTCTGTTTAGTAAAGATTTTGATGTATAGACATTAGACAGTGATGGATTGGAGGCTAGGATAAAAATGTTGTTGTGTAAGCCGCTGTTTCCTCGATCGGCAGTTCACCTCTTGTACTGTAAATTTTCTTTGTGCTATCTCATGTGCTTAGATTCTCACTTGTGAGGAAACTATTATGCACAAATATCTCGTCACGTGAAAAATTCTAAAAACAGCATTGAAATCTAATGGGCAATAGATTTGTGATGTCCCTGGACTGATGTCCCTGCATTCACGATAAACTGCGTCAAGGTGTGCTGTATCTAGAAGAAACAAGATCCTTTTTATCCCCAGGTCTTCATCATACTTTTGCCATCTTAAAATGGGATTCCCTGTATTCTCGTGACTATAGCAAAGCCAATACAAGTGATTAATTTCATTCAACACTGATGATTGAGCGATGGAGCAAGCCCAAGAAGACGATAACATGGATTATAAACACAAAGGCTCTCTAGCTAAAACCACAGGCAATGGAACATAGAAATAATCCCCCCTCCCCACTCTCTGTACATAAGTAAATAAAACAGGAACTTATCGGAGAAACTTGACCCCGCTGTATCCTCGTTGCATCTCACCTCCTATTGCATGGAAGTCTCTAAAATTTACAGATAATATAAATAAATACCTTATGTACGAATTAGTCCACTCGTAGATAAATGTTAATTCTGAGAGTGGAAGTATAGCCGGCCTTTTTGTGACCTACCTGCGGTCACGACAAATCGACGTCCAACTGCCATCTTGTTTACCTCGCAGTCGGCCAATCAAATGACAGCGATTATTAATTAAAAGTGTTTAATTAAAATACGCACTCAATTAAACTTTTGTACACACATTTATTCTTTTAGTATTTTTTAAAGAAGAATTCGATACAAATTTGATTTTTAACGGCCTAAATATTCGAACGGTCACTCATTTAAAGGTCTGACGATTGACCAATCAAATCACCAATAATTTTAAGTCCGGAATGTCACAACGATATTTTGAATTCCAAATTTCTACAATGTCAAAAATAACAAATATTAGATGGAAGACGTATCAAAACCAGACATGACTTATAATTCATAATCACTTTAGAACACCCGATCTATTTAAAGCCACAAATCCATTGTACAAGTCTCACTTGTAGTTATTTTCAAATAAAATAAAATAATGAAATAGTGTGACACTTGTCGTGGATATGATAGATGTTGCTGTTGGTGGCCGCCGAAATGTGGTGAATCCAAAACGGTCAATTTTTTCGTCACAATTTTTCAGTATAACTAGGTTGAGTTCGTATTGGTAAGTAACTATAAATCGTATTCAATGTATAATCTTTGCATAGGTATGAAAAATACGGAATGACAACCCTCAGTAGCAGTAATATGACTGGCAAAAAAACTGGGTCAAGTTTCTACGATAAGTTCCTGTTTTATTTACTTATGTACAGAGAGTGGGGGGGGGATTATTTCTATGTTCCATTGCCTGTGGCCAAAACACTATGTTCACAGCTAAAGAGCCTTAAATTTTAAGGTACTCCAGACACTTCGTTAATTTTTTAGTCTAAAATTAAAATTTCAATCTATTTTTTATCTTTTTCGCTTGCACTTGGAATACAGGTGGAATTTGGATGTCTTTTTATTCAGCAAAATTATACACATGTACATAACAGTTAAATGATCTGCTAATTACCTGCCAAAATATGCGGATATATCTTCGATAATCAAAATCAAAATGCTTTTGCTTACTTTTGTTTTCTGTGCGAGAACATTCAACCCACTGTTGGAATTATTTCGCTACGGCGAGTAAAGTTCAAGGTCAACTCATTAGACACGCCCACATTTTAGTTTCTCTTTCTACATACATTTCCATATTGAAAGACTAAAATGGATGTAGTGGTTGTTGGCAGTTGTATGACAGATCTTGTCAGGTATATATAAGTAATAGTCAATAGACTGTAGTTATCCTGTATTGTGACCACGGGGAGTATTAGTCACCACCTCTCTATAGATCTAAGGCTACATTTGGCATTTTTGCATTTGACTTTTGAATCTGTGACTTGTAGTTTTGGTAACAGGTTAATAGTAAACTAGTAATTTGTATTTCAGCTATGTGCCCCGACTGCCAACTCTGGGAGAGACCTTGCACGGCCATAAGTTTAGTATGGGGTTTGGTGGAAAGGGGGCGAACCAGTGTATCGCTGCATCCAGACTCGGAGCATCTACAGCTATGGTTGCAAAGGTAGTGATCAGTTGAACATAATTTACTGCCAGTAAACAGTAAAGAATTGAGAGTTTTGTGTGCAACCAGGTGGTGATGTTTGATAGGATTTTATGAACCATTCAAAAGCCTTGAACAAATGTGTCTATTGTGCCCCTGGGATCGATTGTGCCATACAATTAAATAATGTGAGCCACAATTATATCTTCCCTCTAGGCCTAGCTGCAATGGTCTAGAAGTTTCTTAAATTTCAAATATCACTTTACTAAGATAAACCATCAAGATCAACAATCACACCCGGTGATCGTGAAAATGGGACGGAGGTGGGGAGCAAGCAATTTCTGGTAGAAAAATGAACAAATCTGCAAAAATTATTTTTTCAAGAAAAGGTTTATGATTTAATTGCTAAACAAATAGGCGCACGGTATGGTAAAATATGTCACGTATTCTACGAATTTTTTTTAGCCGATTCTCTTCTTACGTATAAGATCTATTAAAAAAGGCGCAACGCCACCAACGTGCAAAAGTCAATGTTTTTGCTTTAAGGTACAGCTGGAAAGTAACATTTTGGTAAAAAATTGCTATACCTGCACATGTTATTTTCTGGTACAAAATAAAGTATGAAGGCATGTGTCAATTTCCTTGCTTTTTTCAGGAAAGTATCATTACATTGTCTTCTTTTAGAATATCTGGTAGGGGTTCAATGGAAACTCCAGGAAATTCTGATATTTCACACTTTCTATTTTTCCAAATTTTCTTTCAAAATTTCCAGACAACACAGGAGCTACCATTGACCTGTTTCCAGATATTATAAAAGTAAACAGTGCAATGATACTTTCCTGAAAAAAGCAAGGAAATACACACATGACTTCATACTTAATTCTGTACCAGAAAATAACATGTGCAGGTATAGCAATTTTTTACCAAAATGTTACTTTCCAGCTGAACCTTAAATCAAGCGTCAACGGTCTACACAACCTGCAATAAATATTTGTAAGTGACATTATCATCATAAAATTAATGACCTTAATGACTTTACAAAATATGTTTCCATTCGTTGTATAAAAAATAATCAAAAATAATTAAAATGGGACGGAGGGGGGGGGAGGGGACGGAGGGGGGGAGCAAAATGTCTATACGACATGATGAGAGATGTTACTTCACTTTATATCCAAATTTTCCCATTTTCTCCTCAATTACAATGGGTTAGGAATTGATAACAAGTTGTATTCGTAGTTAGATTTATTTAGGATTATCAAAATTTCTACCAGAAATTGCTTGCTCCCCCCCTCCGTCCCATTTTCACGATCACCTGGTGCGACAATATGCCCTTCATATATACAACTGTATCATTTCTGATTGCATGAATAACTTCAGTGGATACATCAACTCATTTTGCAATAACACCATTTCAGTTAGGCAGTGACACATTTGGCGACAACTATTTGAAGAATTTCAAAGACAACAATGTAAACACAGGTATGGTAGACTTCAGTTAGGCACACTTCAACAGGACTCAGATTTATGATAGCTCATTCAAAAATTTAAAGAAGCATTTAGGTCTCAGGGGTTTATCCATTACAATATTTCTTCTTAATACTGCATTAAACGAGATGTACTATGTACTCATAAACTGAGATATTGTCCAAATATCACTAGCTTCTAAAGCTGTAGAAAATTTAATTAATTATGATATAATCATTAACACCTCCCTCCTCTCTACAATGAAAGTTAAGATGTTGATTACCATCACCAATCAGCATGCTACTTTAAGAAACCGTCATTTACCCTCTCCCCCAATATCACCACTCTTCAAGAACTGGTAACCTTTATCAGCCATTCACACATAGCTATAGGCAAGTTGGGAGTATTTCATATCACTGTACTAAATTATATAATCAATAACACATTGTTTGTATGGTTTTCCAGGTGACAACTAGACTCTAGATTGAAATTGATGCTTTGTCAACTGTACCCTTGCAAAAAGTTTCACAGCAAATATGTTCCTTTAGTGATTTGTATCTTTTAAGTGACATGATAGACAATATTTTGCAATGTGTTCAGGCAATGTTTCTTAAAATTAACACGCGATGCTGCGCATCTCTTGCGTGGAAAGCAACACTTTCAAGAAATGGTCATTGCACTGAGATTAGGGCTTAAATCCTTAAATCTATATTATTTTCAGAACATGTTGGGCAGACAGCAGAGGCCGCCACTGGAGTAGCTCCAATTGCAGTAGATGATAAAGGTATGGAACTTTCAACCACTGTCCAAGTTTCCCTCAAATAGCTATTGAAACCTAGATTAAGTTCTGAAGTTGTGTTATGAATTTGAAGTGCACAATGCCATTAAAAGTGTATGAAACAATGAATTACGAAATTCATGTATAAGAACATGTATCAATAGAGACCAGATTGAAGGAAAGATGGTGCTAGTGGTCTGTTTAATTATACAAAAATAAGATTAGACTACAACTGCCATGTTTAGGTTCAGCTAGGTCCATTTGTGAATAAACAAATTGTAAAGATTATAACATTTCTTTGAAACAGGAGACAACAGCATAATTATAGTAGCTGGGGCCAACCACTGCCTCAGCAGGTCAGACTTAGAGGGCGCTGATGATCTGATCACATCTGCTAAGGTTGTCATATGCCAATTAGAAATAAAACCTGAAGTTACTCTGGCAGCCATGACACGAGCCAAGAATCAAGGAGGTAGGTTTCATCAGGGTTACATATTTATCATATTGGAAATTCCTGATCTCTGTGATATGAAAATGTTAATTATCATCTTGATGTCAGACATTATTTGAGGTTACATTATTTATTATATTTCTCCATGTATCATATGAGACAGTTATAATGAATGAGCATTTGACTTTTTGGAAAACCATTGTATATGCCTTTTTCAATACAAACTCTGCTGGGGCATTTCTCCTTTCTTGAAATTTATGAAAAAATCATTTGGAAATAGGCCATTGTGACAAGTACAGGTGTACCAGATGCCATTGGATTTTCTTTTCCATGGAGTTGTTATTTTCTACTTTTCACCAGGAAATTATTCATCCAATAATTAGAAGGAAAAAGAAAATGCATATTAAAATCTATTCCTCATCACAAATCTAAATGAAATGTTGGTCCATTTTCTTTATTTTGTTACATGAGGCCACAAGAAATAGACATCACATCAATTAATGTTTAGTTATACAATCTAAATATTTATTTAATTTTTATTAGCCTACAGTACTTCCAAATAAAAAGTAATGCAATGGGTTGAAATTACTTACACTAGTTTTGCAGACTAATAGTATGGCAGATATAGTAACAGTTATAATACATAGCATCCCAAAAGTTACACCTTTAGTAATTTATATAGTATTCATCAATAATACTTATCCCAAGTAGCTGTTCATGTAGCTATGTCACACAAGGCTTAAGAGTAATATTTTAATCAATAAATTACAATAGGCGTAACTTTACTTCTTGGACACCCTGTATATCATGATTGGATTCAGAACATGGACAATTCATGAGATATATTCTTATCTACTTGAACAGAATAACTGTACATCCATATCTTTCTTATATTCCTTGTCATTCAGTTCAACATTTTCTTCTCTTATTGCAAGATTATTATCATACTTGTACATTTAGTTAATACTTGTGTTTTCTGCTTCACATACATGCACCGATACCAATGTTTGTCATATGAAGCTCACTCAGTTAATATTATTCAAGCCATTATTAATTTCATTGGTATCAAGCTCACTTGGGTTCATCTTAGATACACTAAGTATATATTTTATGTTCCATTGCCATATTTACATGACCACTTTCAACATTATCTGGTCTATAATTCTCCATTTCAAAGTGTATCAGTCTTTAGCATTGTGCATTTTGTTTGTCAATGGCATTAACACTGCTTTTGCTTTTGTTGTATGAGCTTCATCTATGTTTCTGACTTCATTGTTAATATAATTGTTCTGTTCTGTTCTGCTGCTCTGTTCTGTTCTTAAATGATGTATCTCTGGGTTTTCAGTTCATCAGGTCGGTGTGTCCTGCAATGACAAAATGAATGAAGAACATTTTTAATATGTGAAGTTTAGTTTCAAGGTGCATTCTTTTTCTTTTTACAGGGTGGTCAAAAATTGCACCCCTGTTTTCCCCCATATCTTTGTCATTTTCTCCCTGATATTTGGCACACGTGTACATTCATACAATTTCGAACATCAACATGAACATCGGACTGATAATTTCAATGTTACAGCACTTTAAACAACATGCCCCAGTTGACAAATACCGTGCTGTAGGCAAACCTGCACACATTTTCCAAAGTTGTCAATGAACTGCATCCCTCAGCAAGTACTGTATGGCCTGAATGACACATGTGTTCTCATTTTTGAGGTCTGGTGTTGTTCTGCTGTTATTCTCATACACTCTATATTTGGGGTATCCCACTGGTAAAAGTTAAATGGGGCCATATCTGGGCTATGGGGTGCCTATTCATTATTTGTTGTCCTGCTGATGATGTGGTTATTGAAGCAGTCCCAAAGTCATTCTAGTGCATCATTGGCTATATGGGACATGGGTCTGTTGCTGACTATCGATCCCCCTGAGTTTACCTAAAGCCCCCCCCCCCCTCCCAGAACTTCCTGAGAATCACAATATAGCGTTCGATGTTGACAGTTGCATTTTTGTTAGCATCTTCAAAGGCAAAGGATGTATTGAGTATAAACTAAACTGTGCATCTGTCTGTGTGAAGGTGCCTCTCCCCTACACTTCATCAAGTGCTTGGCTCCCCAAGAAAACACAATTGTTAGAGTTTACCAGGGTATCAAGTTGGAAATGGAGTTCATCTGAATACCAGACCAGTTCAGACAGCCCAAAAGTGGCCATCTGGGGCATGCTGTTCAAAATGCTGTGATATTGTGACTATGGTTATGAAATAGGCTGGTAAGAAATTGAATGATGTACAAATGTGCTAGATATCAGGGAGTAATTTCCTAAAACAACAAAGATATGAGGAAAAGTCAGGGTTGGCATTTTTTTGACCACCCTGTATATGATCCTTAATGTGCAAAAATTAAATCTAGTCAATATAAAAATCTGAACAGTCTTAAACTCTCTTCATCAATAGTTATTGATACAAACCCACTTTTCTTTGAATTTACAACTGATAAATGATTGCTCACATAGCACATGCTTAGAAATGTTCTTTTTCAAATTGGTGATCATGATATTCCATGCAATAAACATATATTACTGTATATATTATTACTTTTCATAATTGCCATTAATATTCAGTTTAAAGAACTTACTTTATTGCTTTTCTTTAATGTGCATGTATTCTTCATGGGCTTTTAACAGTGGTAAGGTAGCATATCCTTTACCACAGAGTCCACACTTGAATGGTTTCCCAATGTAACATCTATTTTTTTCATGGTCACATCTATTTTTCCTTGTTCTAAAGTATGTTTCACAAAACTGACATTTGAAAGGTTTTTCTCCCGTGTGCTTTCTCTCATGATCTTTTAGTAAATTCATTTCAGCAAACGTCATTTCACAGTATTGGCATTTCAAACTGGTATTTTTTGTTTTGTTTTTATGCATACTATGCAATCTTTTATGAACTTCTAAGGTTTTAGTTGAGCTAAACGTTATTCCACAGCAGATAAGTGATTTATCTTTGACTGGGCTACTTTCTTCTTTCACATCAAGTAGACCACCAATATCTTTATTTGTATTCAGACAGACATTATCATTACCATCGTAAGGTTGTGATTGAGCAATATTATCCACATTTCCTTTCTTACTTGTACTTGTTGCTTTGTCCCTGGTGTGTGCCACTGCTTCATGTCTCTTTAAGTTTTGTTTTCTATTAAATGTTTTTTCACAGATGTCACATTTGTGTGGTTTTCCTGTATGAATGGTTTCATGCTCTTTCCAATTTTGCTTAATTTTGAACAGTTTATAACAGTATTGGCATTTGAAACATTTCCTATTGATTTTAGGATGTATCATTAACATGTGATTTTTAAGTTGACTGGATGTTTTCAAGAACTCTTCACAAACTTCACATTGAAATAGATTAGGATTGTGTATTATCAAATGCTTATCAAGACGATACTTCCTAGTAAAGGATTGAGCAATATTATCCACATTTCCTTTCTTACTTGTACTTGTTGCTTTGTCCTTGGTGTGTGCAACAGCTTCATGTCTCTTTAAGTTTTGTTTTCTAGCAAATGTTTTTTCACAGATGTCACATTTGTGTGGTTTTCCTGTATGAATGGTTTCATGCTCTTTCCAATTTTGCTTAATTTTGAACAGTTTATAACAGTATTGGCATTTGAAACATTTCCTATTGCTTTTAGGATGCATCATTAACATGTGATTTTTAAGTTGACTGGAAGTTTTCAAGAACTCTTCACAAACTTCACATTGAAATAGATTAGGATTATGAATTATCAAATGCTTATCAAGACGATACTTCCTAGTAAAGGATTTCTTGCAAAATTGACATTCAAAATGCTTCTTCACAGTTTGTTGAACATTGGCATTGTTAATATCATTGGTATCATCACTGAGCACAGTGTTGTCATCATCTATTTGATGATCATTGAGTTCTTCATGGTCCTGTTTCTGTTCTACAGCATCAAAGCCATCAAGGTCATCATATTCTTCTTTTGCGAAGATAGTATCTTCATCTCCTTCTTCTTTATCTTCCACCTTGAACTCAATTTCATTGGGATTCAAGTGATCCTTCATTTCTTCAGTTTCTAGCTTGATAGCAATCTGATTTGTTTGAAGATCTTCCCTTGAGAAATGTTCTCCTTCTTCACTGTGAACATCATATTCTTCTTTAATAATGGTATTTTCACCATTCTTGATACTTGTTATAGTTTCCTGTCTATATGTATGCACAGTTGTGGTGACCACTGTAGTTTCATGTTTCTTAGATATATCCAGGCCATTTTCACTTTTGTATCCAGCTCCTAGAGGTTCATCTTTGATACATTGGGTAATATTAAATCCATCATCATCAATTGGTTCTTGTTTTATAACCACATTAACATCACCATTCTCACTAAGTCTAAAATTCTCCATTTTAAAGTGTTTCAATTTTCGTAGTCAATTCTGCAGTGCACCATTATCTACATTTACTGCACCTTTCCTTTGTTTTGTTGTCTTTTATTGTTGTATTTTGTTGTACAGTTCTTTTTCAGCTATTTCCCTTCAACATTCATGTGACTGGAGAATCCTCCTGTAATTACAGAATTGTGAACATTCTTATAATGGATAAGAAAAAGATATAAATGATAATAAGAAAAAATATAAAAGATGGTTTTGAAAATATATCATATCGATGAATGGATATTGATAGCATTATGAGTGAGCGTAGCGAATGAAACTATCTCTGAGTGGATTAACTGATATTTTTTCAAAACCATAGGATTATTACATTCAACAGGAAATTAGAAACAGTTTGTCACCAATGAAGCAAATTATTTTAATTAATGGTGTGTCAGTCATTAAGTTCTACAAGAATGAGAATAACATGACGTTCTGATATTTCAAGGTAACTCGTTTGAAAAATAACGGAATATTTGTAGATTATATTTGTCATACAATTAATATTAATTGTATGACATATATGAGACCAATGTCAATGCTACCAGGGGAATTTGGCCTTGGACATGCAGGCCTTACTATTTATGCATGTTTTTTCTGTTTTGAAAAATTCTATAAAAAATACTAACTGCAAGAAGATATTCTGGATTTTGTAGCCCTGTGATTGGAGAATGAGTAGGGGCTAATAAGAGATTCTGACAATGGTTTTAGTACATGTTCATCTTTAGAAGCTAGAAAGTTTGGAAAATATAATAAAGAATAAAGGGTTTGTGTAAAAAACCGGGTGACTGGGTACTTAACGTTCCTAGCAGGGTTAGGATTTTTTTATTTATAATGTTGGATCTGGACGATACATGTACGTTATTTTCGACGTCACGTTTTGAGGTTATTTCACATCGTAAGAACGTTTTGACAACGTTAACTTTTAACGTTAAAATAACGTCGGTAATGAACCGATTTAGTGAGAACACGTTTTGCTGAATATTTAAATAAAGTCAGATCAATACGGTCCATGAACGTCATTATTGACGTCACGTTTTGAGGTTATTTCAAATCGAAAAAACGTTTCGACAACGTTAAATGTTAACGTTAACAATACGTCGGAAATGAAACAACTTAGTGAGAACACAAAGTTTTTGTCATGTTTTTTTCCACCAAAAAATATTTTGATATTAAAAGCCTGTTTTGACAACGTTGAATTTTAACGTTTGAGTTACGTCACATATGGACCAACGTAGTAAAAAATCAAACGTTCCTGTTTGTTATGTTTTCCACACTAACGAACTTTACGGACATGTTACAACAACATTCTTTTTATACCATCAATAGATGTCTCATGTTTACGTTACCTCGATGTGCAAAGAACGAAAATGTGCAACGTCTTCTTGGAACTTATATGCTACTTATGAGCAATGTCACATGGACGTCACTGTTTGCTGGATCGATTATTTTAAAAAGTGCTCTGTCTCGTATAGGGTAAAAATATCGAACAGCAGTGCACTCGGTAGGGTAAGTCTGTCAAGTCAATTCGCTACTATATATCGGGGGAAATGTGGAACTTTGAAAGTTGGTAACCCTGCTAGGAACGTTAGGTACCCGGTCGACCGGGTACCCGGTTACCTGGTCACCTGGTTACCCGGTCACCTGGTTTTTTACACAAACCCAAGAATAAAGATTGAATATCCTCCTCAACCAAATGAAATATTTATATTTGTAATTTTTATAGACATTTATTTTTTACATGCACATTTTCGATTGAATCTATTTTTCCAACATGTCACATGTAAAAGAATCACTTTTTTACTATCAATTCAATCAGTTTATTTCATCATTTTTACAATTAATATACATGTATATACTCAGAGGGCGTATGGTGCAACGAAACATAACAAAAATGTGACTCTAATTCAGACTACATGTTAAACTAGAAAAAACAGCAACTCCATGGAGTAGCAAATGCCACCGAACAAAACATATTTTGATTATAAGCTGCCTTCTTGAAAATTCTTTCTCGAGCAGAGCTTGTTTGTCCCTAGGCATCAACATATAAAATGTAAACCATATCTTTCAATTAGCATTTGAGTTATCAAAGATTATATTCCTTTTTTATGAAAAATGGCAGCCATTTTAAAATTCAGCTGCCATTTTGAAAATCTTTTTCGAACAGAGCTACTGTGTCCCTGGGCATCAGCATATAAAATTTGAGAAAATCCATCCACTGCTATTTGAGTTATCAAAGATATAATTTTTTACGAAAAATGGTAGGCATTATAAAATTCAGCTGCCATCTCTTGAAAATTCTTTGTCAAACAGAGGGACTGTGTCTCAAGGCATCACCATATAAAATTTGATCCAAATCAAAGATTACGTTTTTTATGAAAAATGGTGGCCCTTTTGATATTTAGCAGCCATTTTGAAAATTTCTTCTTCAGTGTAGCTCCTTTGTCCCTAGGCATCAGCATAAAAAATTTGAACCAAATCCATGAATGAGTATTTGACTTATCAAAGATTACATTTTTGATGAAAAATGTTGTGCATTTTGAATTAAGCGGACATATTGAAAATTCCTTCTCGAGCAGAGGTCCTACACCCATAAGGCATAAGCCTATAAATTTTTTATCAAATCTGTCTACCAGTATTTTTTCGTCTTGACACACGAATGGACGGGCTAAAGGACAAACAGCTTTCCTATATCCCCCTCGAACTTCGTTTGGTGGGATCACAAGGGGCTTATATTGTAATCATATTTACTAACTTGAAGATGTACAATATTAGTAATAAAAAACAAAATACATAAATTAAATGGAATATAGATAAGTATAATCATTTTAAGTTTCATAACTATCAACAATTTGCATTTCAATATAGGAAAGATAAAGTGTTACTATAAGCAAGAGTATTTGGAGAACTACTGTATACCAAAATCAAAGATATTAGTCTGTACATAAGTATTCATCATCAGAAGAGATTTCCAAAACAAAACAATTATTACTTAATTCATCATCAACTGTGTTCAATATGTACCGTAAGTTGATTAAAATTCAAACATGCGTATTTATTGTTTGTCTTTCATGTGCTTATGTTGTTCATGAGCTTTCAACAATGGCAAGAAGGCATATCCTATTCCACAGAGTCCACATTTGAATGGTTTCCCAAACTGGCATCTATTCCTTTCATGGTCGCTTCTGCTTCCCGGAGATTTAAAGTATTTATCACAAAATTGACATTTGAAAGGTTTTTCTGATGTATGCTTTCTTTCATGACTTGTTAATTTATTTCTATGAATAAACGTTTTTTCACAGAAATTACATTTCATTTGGGGTTTAGGATGGTGTAAATATTTATGTACTTCTAAGGTTTTTGTTGAGCTGAATTTGATTCCGCAACAATGAAGTGAAGATTCATCACCAGAAACTCTTTCAGTTTTTTCATTAAGTAGGCTGTCATTTTTGTCATCTTTGCTTTTATCAAGATTAACATCTGTACCATAATTTTCCCGTTGTGGCTCTGCACATTCGAGATTACCATTTTCAACCTTAATGTTGATATCGACTTTCTCACCACAATTTGTAATGCCACATTTTTCATTTTCTTCAACTTTGTTTCTTTCAAGATTAGCATACACACTACCATCTGCACTTTTAACATTCTCATCATTATTAGTAATATTCACATTCTCTCTAGAATGTTTGCTTTTATAAGATGTCCCAGTGTGCAAGCCTTCATGTACTTTATGATTATGCTTTCTAATAAACTGTTTATCACAGTACTGACATTTGAAATATTTTTTATCATCCTTGCGGTGTTTTATCATGTGCTGTTTATAATCTGTGAAACTTTTGAAGAAGTCCTCGCAAACATCACATTGATACGAATTATGATTTTGTTTGATTGAGTGACGAATCAGAGCACTTTTGTGAACATAAGATTTGTCACAATCTTGACATTTATGTGGTTTCTTCACTTGGGGCTTGACCTTATCAGGCGCATTACTATCATTGAGCATCATGTTATTTTTGTCACAATCAGTATTTATTTGTTGATCACTGAGTTTGTCCTGTTGTTTTTGTGCTACAGCATCAACGCCATCAAGGTCATCATATTCTTCTTTTGCATAGATAGTATCTTCATCTCCTTCTACTTCATCTTCCACCTTGAACTCAATTTCATTGGGATCCCAGTGATCATTCATTTCTTCAGTTTCTAGCTTAATAGCAAACTGATTTGTTTGAAGATCTTCCCTTGAGAAATGTTCTCCTTCTTCACTGTGAACATCATATTCTTCTTTAATAATGGTATTTTCATCATTCTTGATACTTGTTATAGTTTCCTGTCTATATGTATGCGCAGCTGTGGTGACCACTGTATTATCATGTTTCTTTGATATATCCAGGCCATTTTCACTTTTGTTTTCAGCTGCTAGAGGTTCATCTTTGATACATTGGGTAATATTAAATCCATCATCATCAATTGGTTCTTGTTTTATAACCACATTAATATCACCATTCTCACTAAGTCTAAAATTCTCCATTTTAAAGTGTTTCAATTTTCGTAGTCAATTCTGCAGCATACCATTATCTACATTTACTGCATTATTCCTTTGTTTTGTTGTCTTTTATTGTTGTATTTTGTTGTAAAGTTCTTTATCAGCTTTCTCCCTTCAACATTCATATGGCATGGCTGGAGAATCCTGTAATTAGAGAAAAATGAACATTTTTATGCCAAGAAAAATCTAAATGCATCCATGAGTTTCTGTTGTAGCCAATCACAAAGGTTTGACATAAAACAAAAATATCTGTCAAGGAGAGACTTTTTATTGTAGCTAGCTAATTATATTGTAGGTAAAAATCTGTATACTAAATAAGTAGACTAGATGCAAAAAATAATCCTGATTCATCATCGTGAAACATTTCAAGTCAATGATATCATGAAATATACATACAAAATTACTTCTAGAAATGCTTAAAAAAATTGTTGAAATTGAAATTGTTTTGTGAATTTCTTTCTGTGAAAAAGTGATTTCTAGATCGGGTAATTTCCTAATAGTGTTCATGTTAAAAATCATTATAATTTAAATATCTGTTGTTCTATTGTAATTGAACAGTTAATAATTTCTCAATGTTTAAATTGTACATATTGTTAAATTCAAAATTTTCTATGTACCCCATGCTCTTCTGTCATCTGACCAGAGTTGGGCACTTGGTGGTAAAACTAACTACCTACTCACATCTACTGATGCTAAAATTGTACATGAAATGGAAACAACTCAAAATTGGGCTTCAGACATACCACAACACACATATTACTGTATTATAAGCATTAATAGCCTCAGAGGTTACTGCCTCAGATACAAGCAACATGTGTTAATCGGTATAAACTAGAACCTGTTGAAAATTGAAACTCTTTGCTTTTCACTGCACTAAATAAACGATAAATAGAAAAGAAATTCAAACAAATGTAAGGAAATGTATATCAGGCCATGAGAAATAGCTGAATTGAACACAAATACAAAAATAAATGTAAATATCGTTGTTTGGGTAATTGAGGAACTTTTAAATGTTTTAGAACAAACAGAGAATGTCTGGACAAAACTATTATTAATCATTAAAAGGACTCTCTGCAGTCCCTATTCTAAATTAGTTCAAAATGATTTGAATTTGTAATAATGTCCTTTTCATCCTTACATTAGAATTTTGGTTCAGACCCTCCTCTCGGAAATATCAATGCCTAAAAAAGTTCTACAAATCAGTAAGACAAGTTCCAAAATTAATTTTACTACTCTTATCTGTTGTAAAAGGCAATTAATTCAGTTTTTCATAAGTAGTTTTTTCAGACTTTGATAATCGATAATCTATAAATGATGCAAGTCTATTGATAATGCAAGTTATATAGGGTGTCAGAAAAATGTACCCAAAAGTATGTCAACAGCACAGATAAACCAATCAATATTTCAGACATTTTTGCATGGCCATAGAGCCAAAGCATGTAAGTTTTCTCCCCAATTACAGTGTTTTTAGATCAGTCTTGCCTTCTTTAACCCTTTTACACCACATGGCCAATTTACCCTTCTCGTCTTCCAATGACAACCTGCACCATTACTGTTACACTGTACATCGCATTTGATGTTTCTGGTGGAATGTTCTGGATTTCTCTTTGGATATTATCCTTAAGTTGTTCTGGCTATAGGTCTCTTTGCTTTGGATTTGCGATGATATGGTCATTCAAATAGCCCCAGATTTAGGGGTGACGATGGCAGAAAAACCATAGTGAACCAGGTTAATTATCTTCAAATGATACAGAGTTCTACCTTCTGGAGTTACGTAGGCTAGCTCAGAGACCCAATAATATCCAAATGAGAACACAATGGTTACTACAAGATGGAACCCCTCCACACACAGCAAGGGACAAACAAGAGTTCCTATGAATGCAGTTTTCTAAACGTCTGATCTCTCTTTATAAAGACATTGTAGGGCCTCCCTACTCATCAGATTTGACAGCCCTGAACTTCTTTCACTTGGGTTTATTTGAAGGACAATATTTATGCTAATCCCAAGCCATGAGACCTATAACAACTTCCTGGCCCAGGCCAACATCCAAAGAGAAATCCAGAACACTCCACCCTAACATTCCCAATGTGATGCACAATGTACCAATAACAATGAAGGCTGTCATCGAAAGATAAAGGTTACATTGATTATGTGGTGTTAAAAGAGTTGAAGCATCAAAAGTCAAGACTGAATTAAAAACTGCGTAATGGGGAGAAAACTTACATGCTTTGGCAAGCAAAAAATGTCTGAAAATATTGATTGGTTTATCTGTGCTGTATTTTTGGGTTCATTTTTTGAGATACCCTGTATATGAATAATCATAAAGTAAAATATTTTATTGAATTGAGATCAGAATCAAAATATTGAATCATTGATCATTAATTAGCGATTTTGAATAGGCAATTAAAATCATTCAAACCTTCTCTTTTTATTGTTTTTCTTTCATGTGCATAAGTTGTCCATGGGCTTTTAACAGTGCATGGTCAGTGTAGCCTTTTCCACAAATTGTACATTTGAATGGCTTCCCAATATGACATCTATTCTTTTCATGGCCATATCTATTACCGCTTGTTCTGAAGTATGAATCGCAAAACTGACATTTATAAGGTTTTTCTCCTGTATGCTTTCTCTCATGATCTTTTAGTAAATGCATTTCAGTAAAGGTCATTTCACAGTACTGGCACTTCAAACTGTGATTTCTTTTTGTGATTTTTTTATGCAAGCGTTCATGTGCTTCTAAGGTAGTAAATGAGCTAAACTTTATTCCACAGCAGCTAAGTGATTTTTCATTTACAGAGGTGCTTTCTTCTTTTATGTCAACTTCGTTTGCATCTAGTAGACAGTCTTCAGTTAGGCTATTTTCACTTTGTGACCTGGTACTTTGATCATTGATATTTTCCACATTTCCGTTTTCAATAGTACTATTAGATTTCTCTCTAATGTGTATTTTTTCATGTCTCTTTAAAGATTGTTTTGTGACATAGGTTTTTTCACAGATGTCACATTTGTGTGGTTTTCCTGTATGAATGGTTTCATGTTCTTTACAACTCCTCTTTGTTCTGAACAGTCTATCGCAGTACTGGCATTTGAAATATTTCTTCTCATCCTTTGAGTGTTTAATCATATGCTGTTCGAGTTCTTTGGAATTTCTGAATAATTCCTTACAAACACCACATTGATAAGAATAAGGATTATGAAGTATTAGTAAGTGCTCATTCAAACCACCTTTTGAGGTATAAGATTTGTCACAGTTTGGACATTGAAATCGCTTTTTTCCAATCGGCCTATCATCAACATTATTTACTTCATTGGTATCATCACTTGGCGTATTGTTGTCATCACTCAGGATATTGTTGCCATCATACATATGATCATCGATGAGTTCTTCATTCTCTTGTTTCTGTCCATTGGTACCAAAGCCATCAAGGTCGTCATGTTCTTCATGTGGAAAGATTGCATTTTCTTCCATACTAAATTCCTGCTTTACATCAAAATTATCATCTCCAGAGATAGCCTCTGTTTCAAACTCCATTGTATATTTATTTATTTGACAATCTCCACTTGAGAAATCACCTTCCTTGGGTTCATTATTTTCTTCTTTAATAACAATATTGTCATCATAGTAGACATTTGTAGCAGTTTCTTGCTTGACATCAATATTATGTAAAGTTGTAGAATTCACATCAAGTTCTGTTGATCTATTCATATTGTTATAACTTTGGAATTCAAATCCTTCGGTTTCATATTTGATACATTCAGGAGTATTACTTTCATCGCTGTCTATTGGTTCTTTTTTTATTACAACATTCATATTATCACCACTTTCAACAATATGTAGTTCACTTGTCTCCATTTTGAAATGCCCAAATTTTAAAACTTGGTGTTTTGAATTCACCTTAACAATTATTCTTCTAAGTCAGCTTTACTTGTAGATTCTTGAAATTGTTTGTTTTGTGTTGTATAGATGTTATCTTGGTGCCCGCTATATATGGTTGAATTGTTCTGAAATTAAAGATAAAAATCACTTGTAACTTTATAGTCAGGAAACTAATATTACAATAAACTTTCGTGTTTGGTTAAGAAGGATAAGTTCAAATATATAAACATCTCTAAATATGATCAAAATCTGGTTTTTATTTAAGATTATGAATCTGCAATCTTAGCCCTTTATAGGATGATGTGATTAGGTGCCACATGGTGAAAGATCTAGCTAACTTGAACAGTGGTCATGACTGCCATACTATATGAAGTAGTAATGTCTGATATGAGACAATGAACCATAACATCACATTTATAAATAATGAACTATACATAGACTGAATGTTGTATTGTCAAATTATTTTGGGACACCACTCAGTCATCCTGCAGAGTGAAAAATTTGATTAAAGTGAGACATAACTACAACTTTGTGTACCAGTGGGAAGAAATGACACTGTTATATATTTTGAACTCTAAAGCAATTAACAAAGGGGTAGCGCCTACACACATCACATATAATGCATATTCAATGCAATCTAACTGATCAATTTAAAGAACAAACTAATACACAATATTTATCACAAAACACAAACTACATTTATTTCATCTTATTAAATCTGTTTAGACAAACTAATGTCATGATATGATATGGTGAATTTTAGGACAGAAAATGTTATCTATTATTGTCTCCATGCCATCTATTTTTCATGTTGTACCAGTCAGTCTCAAAATATCAACAAATCATACATTACACTTTTAAATCACACATTATGAATTTATATACGCTCTAATCTATAAATGGATAGAATGCTGTTTGAAATGAGAAGTTCAAGAATCAAATTAGACATTTTCCTTGGTGTTTCTTTAAGTCACTGAGGGTTGTGTATTTAGTTTCACATTTTACACAGTTGTACCCTGTATGTTCAAACTGATAACTCAAAAGACTCATCACAATATTCACATTTAAATGCAGTCTCGGCTATATGCAATCTCTCATGAGCCTTGAGATAGTTGGGAGAAACTTGCTTACTACAATATTTACAAATTCCATTCCCATGCATGCTTTCATATATCGAGTGCAATTATGATAGTTATTATGCCTTTTTAAGCCATACTCAGTAGAAAATGATCTGTCACATTTTCCACATTTAAATGGTTTTTCACCCATGTGAATTCTCTCATGCTCTTTCAAATAATATGGATTGGGAAACATTTTTTACAATATGAACGAATTAAACCATTTCCAGAGTGAACTTTTTCATGCATTCTTAAGGTTTTCTTCCATTTATATTTCTTTCCACATTTTTTACACTGATTTCCTTCATTTTTAATAGACTCATCATAACCAATAACATAGTCATCTTCTTCAATATATTCAGTTTTAATATCTATTTCATTTTCATTGGTATTGTCAACATCATCAGTATCCAAATCAAAGTTTTGAGAATTAACTTCCAATTCATGATTTTCAGCAGTGTTATTTTCTAGAGGCTCTTTTTTAACATGCATTTTATGACTTCTACATATAAGTATCCTTATTCATTTTGTTCATTAAGAATATTGTTTGATGTTTCAGGTAGTATGTGTGAATTGTTACAACCCATATATGATTCTTTTATAAGATCCTTATCCATTTTAAGGTTTCTTCCCAAACAGCCAAACTCCAATTTTCGTACTTATGTGATGATAACTAACTTCATCTGGAAATACAATGTGAAAGGAGATATTAAGAGTACTTCTTGAATTACTACTTAACAACGGGATATGGATCTCATTTCAAAATATTTAACACAAATCTAGCTACATGTTAAGTATTATTGAAATGTTCTTGTACCATCTCCCTATATACAGGGTCGCCCAAACATCCAACCATCCATTTTTGAAATGATAATTATGAATAATGATGGAATCCTCTTTGTTTTTTGTGTATACAAGTGTTTTGAATAGAGTAGACTCCTATAACACCATCACTTCAAATTCTAAAGAAAGGCATTTTAAGTCTAGGCATGCTTTTGCATTATGTTTCTTTTAATTAGGAAGTATGTTGTCTCTTTGCTATCATGTTTCTTCAAATATGCAGATTATTTCTGGATTGCTTTAATGACACAACAAAGCTAACTCGGATTCGATGCATGTTTTGAGTGTAATTTTGTCTTAACAGTTGGAATATCAAAAAAAAAACAGTGGAAACCTTTGGTATATCTGAAAAGTGTTCCATTTTGTGAGTGGTTACATTTATGGAAGTTCATTTAAGATTAAGTCAGTTGGTCTTAGGACTCTGAGTAGTGTTCCACCAACAGAGGTGATCCACTTCTTCAGGTGTTCCACTTAATAGGTTTTACCATACTTAAAAATGAATGTTTCATAGTTAGATTTAAACTTGAATGCACTGTTTTGACATTTAAAATCAACGCAGTATATTTGAATCAGGTTTACAACATTATTCTATGGGAATCTACTAAAAATATGGGATGTCAAACAAGTAAAAGTCTCAAAGCATAATGGGCAACATTTAAATCAGTCAGAACTAAATAAACCATACCATCTTATTAAACTAAATTAAAGGAATTAATATCAAAGAATGTCACCACTCAAAAATTTAATTTAAACCTAACAAATGGGATAAATATCTAAGCATAAGTGTCAAAGGGAAAGGACCAAAAACTGTAAAGAAACCTAGCAAGAAAAGCAAACTCTGGGTGTAAACCTGTCATAAGAAAAATAGACTCTATACAAGTATATCCCAAAACCATGATCTAACATGAAAAGAAATAATGTCTAACACCCTTCCCTTCCAATCAAGGACCTGATCATCAAGGGACATTTCATTCATACTGAAATCATTACAATACATGTTGTTTGAAGAAAAAATAGAGAAAAATTATAATCAATACTCATGACATCAAGATAGTTGTAGATACTATAAAAAACTATTTTTAGCTTATATTTATTGCTTTCTATTTATTTACAATTAATACAACTATGTAAGGTCGAAACTACAGAAAAAACTTGAAAAATACAAAAAATACAATAATTTGTTAATTTTTTCTCACAAGTATTGTGTTTTTTTAAAAAGAAATGCTCTTACAAAAGTCTTATCACAGAACTAGGAATTTTATCTTTTTCCGGTATAGACTTTTTTTGTGGGATTTAAAGTTAGCTGACATTTTTGAAGTGAACTTTTTTCTCATGTCTTGCTACATAACCTTTTTGTGCAAATGACTGATCACAATAAGAACATATGAACCTAGTTCCACGGTGTTTGTCTTCATGCCTTTTAAGGGCAATCGAGGTTGTGTAAGTTTTATCACACTCTCCACAACTATACGGCCGATCCCCTGTGTGAATTCGAACATGCTCTTTAAAATGACTCTTTACTCCAAAACATTTTTCACAATATGGACACTGGAAGCCTTTTCCATTATGAATTTTTTCATGATTTCTTAAAGTATCTTCACTCTTATATGATTGATCACAATAAGAACATATGAACCTAGTTCCTTTGTGTTTCGCTTCATGCCTCTTAAGGGCAATGGGGGTTGTGTAACTTTTTTCACACTCTCCGCAACTGTAAGGCCGATCCCCTGTATGAACCCGTACATGCTCTTTAAAATGGCTCCTGACTCCAAAACATTTTGCACAGTATGGACACTCAAAGCCTTTTCCAGTATGAATTTTTTCATGACTTTTCAATGTTTCTTCACTTTTATATGACTGATCACAATAACTACACATGAACCTAGTTCCACTATGTTTGCTTTCATGCTTTTTAAGGGCAGACTCAGATGTGTAACTTTTTTCACATTTTCCGCAATTGTAAGGCCGATCCCCTGTGTGAATTCGTTCATGCTCTTTAAAATGGCTCTTTTCTCCAAAACATTTTTCACAATATGGACACTGGATGCCTTCTCCAGTGTGAATTCTTTCATGCCTTTTTAAAGTTCCTTTGTTCTTATATTTTTTTTCACAGTACTGGCATTGGAATTTATCAACCTGATTTTCTGTTTCTGAAGTTTCAATGTTATCCAATTCAACATTGGTACATGAAGGCCCACCACTACCTTCCCTATTTGAATCATTACCAACTACCATTGTGTCATGATCTAATCCTTCTGGAACTTCACAACCTTCTGTGTTTTGTTTTTCTTCTATCTCATCATGATCTACAGATTCATAGTCCTCATATTCTTTTTTGATTAATAAACCAGTAAGTTCATTCTCCTCATTATCATAGTCGAATCTGGAATGAGAGCCCTGGTCAATTTGATCATCATATTCAATTTTAATAGGTGGGTTCATATCATCCATCTCATCATCCTTTTCCATTTCATATTCAGGTTTTATATGAATATAACTATCAGCGATTTCATCATGATGTTCCTCTTTAACGTTATTCTGGAATTCATCTTCAGTTTTAATGCCACCAAATGTATCAATTTCCTGAGAATTTAGTTCTTCATTGAGATTATCATTAGATGTCCTTTGTAGTCTATTATTACTCCAAGAATATGATTCTCTTACAAGGTCCTTATCCATTTTGAAGAGTCCTCAATCAATCGTCAAAGAATTAATATTTGTATTTTATCATGTGCTGTTATCTGATTTACTTGATCTGGAAATACAGTGAGAGGAAATTAGTGCTTGATGCTTAAATGATTTTCTCATTCAATATCAAATATGTATAATGTCAATGAATTTGTATGTAAACAGGTATTATTATGATTATTAATCATCTTAAATATAATGGCAAAGCTTTTATGCTATTATACCACCATTCATTTCATACCACTACCATTCTTCAAGTAATTCTATGTAATTGTATACGTAAAATCTATTTTTTAAATATTTGGTTTGTGTCTGATTTTACTTTTATAACCCATCATATTTTCGTTTGTCAAGTATGCCACCTATGCTTCTCTAGTATGTTTACATTGAAAATAATCATAGAAAGAAACATTTCACTTTAGGAATATTTGGTTTGAGTATGCTTTAACATTTAGGCTATTCCCATCACAATTTCCTTCGTAAAGTATTTCACCTTTATTCCTCATTTGGGTTATGTCTTTGCTTTTACATTTATCCCTCCAATGTGCTTTTGTAAGATATTTGTCTCTACATGTGCTATTTGCCACTCTTCATGTTATTAGCACGTCATCTCATTACTTTTAGCACTTTCACTCAAGAAGTATTGCCTATCATAGGCTTTCAAGACAAACCCCATGTGCCTATCTGTATTCACCAAACCAACAATTCACTTGTTCTCAATCATTATTTGTACTCATTATACTAACTTTGTCAAGAAGTCCTCTGTGTTCTTTATTGAAGTTCATAACATTCCAAAATCAGCTACATCTCTCTCACAGTCCTACTTCCACAATGGCCTCCTCCCATGATACCCTTCACACAACACATCTCTACTTTAACTCACTCTAATTAACCCTAATTAATATCTATGGCTAAATTCTTATTACAAAGTTAGGTACCCAATAAAGTAATAAACAAATAAACTTAAGAAGATACTATAATTAGCATATAATAAAAAAAAACATATCATTGACAAACATAGTGTAAGGTTGCTTTTGCAAATTCAACTGCCAGCTGATGATTTGATTGCTATTTTATGGCCAAAGCATTTAAATATGAATAGTGGTATTTGAATGTGAGGATAAAAATCAACAAGACACACAGTGATAAATATCGCACTTTGAAGAGCAAACTGGCCACCATGCAATTTACCCAGCATGGCCAAAACCTAATCAGACCGTGGCACTAGTCTGCTCTTCCATCTGTAAACATTTCAAGTTGACAAGGTTAGCGGTTTTCCTGCAATTTTGATGACAAGAATTTATTTGTAGTCTTGAACTTTGGGAAAATTTAGATAACATTGTTTGTGACCTAATTTGATGACCTTCGACCTTGAAAATTTCACTTTTTCAGACCTCAGTAGGTCTTTTGTAATTAGCTGACCTAAATTTAAATCCAAAATATCAATTTAGAAAATCAAACTTTTTACCTTTTCAAGGCCACTGAAGGTCAACGAAAGGTCAAATCTGAAATCTAAGGTCAGATTTGAACTTTTGAGAACTTGTAGATGTTTTTAAAAAAAAAATTTGGTCAATTTGGAGCAAGTTGAAAAATTCAAAATGGCCACCAAATTGAAAAATTCAAAATGGCCACCATGTAATTCAGCCAGCATAACCGAAACCTAATCAGATCTTGGCAATAGTCTGTTCTTGCATCTGTAAAAATTTCAAGTTGAACGGATAAGTGGTTTTCCTGGAATTTTGATGACAAGATTTGTTGAAAAATTCAAAATGGCCACCACGTAGTTTACCCAGCATGCCCTTAACCTAATCAGATCTTGGCACTAGTCTGCTTTTGCATGTGTAAAAATTTCAAGTTGAACAGGTTAGTGGTTTTCTTGGAATTTTGATGACAAGAATTGATTTGTAGTCTCAAACTTTGAGAAACTTGGATAACATCATTTGTGACCTAGTTTAATGACCTTGACTTTCGACCTTGAAAATTTCACTTTTTCAGACCTCAGTAGGTGTTTTGTAATTAAGCTGACCTAAATTTAAATCCAAAATATCAATTCAGAAAATCAACTTTTTTGACCTTTTCAAGGTCACTGAAGGTGAATGAAAGGTCAAATCTGAAATCTAAGGTCAGATTTGAACTTCTGAGAACTTGTAGATGTTTTTAAAAAAAAAATTTGGTCAATTTGGAGCAAGTTGAAAAATTCAAAATGGCCGCCAAATTAAAAAATTCAAAATGGCCACCATGTAATTCAGCCAGCATACCCAAAACCTAATCAGATCTTGGCAATTGTCTGCTCTTGCATCTGTAAAAATTTCAAGTTGAACGGATAAGTGGTTTTCCTGGAATTTTGATGACAAGATTTGTTGAAAAATTCAAAATGGCCGCCACATAGTTTACCCAGCATGCCCTTTACCTAATCAGATCTTGGTACTAGTCTGCTCTTGCATCTGTAAAAATTTCAAGTTGAACAGGTAAGCAGTTATCCTGGAAATTTGATGACAAGATTTAGTTTATGTACCGCCCGCCCGCACACCCGCACGCCCAAACGCCCGCCCAACAGCACAAGACGACGACAATATAGCACTTTTTCAAAGTGCGATAAAAATGTTAAAACATCATTAGAAAAGAACATTTAAACATACATACTTCCTGTCTTAATAAGGAGACAACTGCATACACTATACAAAGAAAGGGCTTCACTGGGTCAAAAAATTAAGATAGTGTAGCTGAACTGATGAATGTTTGATGTTTGGAAATGCACAAAGAAACAGTGTCTAATAAGAACAAGACATATCTTATTGATCCTAAACAAAGCTCTGATTAGGTTAGACAATTACATTTTAAGAGCCTCACCTCCATTGCCCATAACCATCACACCATAAGTCATAAATCAATTCAAATCCATTGGGCTCTGGACTAACATTTACAATACCTGGCGAGAATGTAGACTAAGCTATCTTTTAAGAAGTTAAATCAAACAACTGCATAGGGTAATTAGATTCCTTCTATGGCCTATTTATGTCAAATACTTCATTTTAGTGTGTGTAGTACTTTATTTCAGTGTGTAATACTGTAATACTTTATTTCAGTATGTTTAATACTGTAATACTTTATTTCAGTGTGTCTAATATTTCAGTGTGTATATTTCTTCATTTCAGTGTCAGTTTGTATTTATTACTTCATTTCAGTGTGCATATTACTTCATTTCAGTGTGTGTACTACTTCATTTCAGTGTGTGTATTACTTCATTTCAGTGTGCATATTACTTCATTTCAGTGTGCATATTACTTCATTTCAGTGTGCATATTACTTCATTTCAGTGTACATACTACTTCATTTCAGTGTGTGTATTACTTCATTTCAGTGTGCATATTACTTCATTTCAGTGTGCATATTACTTCATTTCAGTGTACATACTACTTCATTTCAGTGTGTGTATTACTTCATTTCAGTGTGCATATTACTTCATTTCAGTGTGCATATTACTTCATTTCAGTGTGTGTAGTATTGAATCCAGCTCCTGCAGTAAAGAGACTTGATGATGCCATGTATAGCTCCTGTGATATATTCTGCCCCAATGAAACTGAGGTAAACATTTTAATTTTGGTATGATTATAATCTAAACTGTCATTTTGTATGAGGATTATGAAATCCACAGTTAATTAAACTTCAAAACTGCATCTCAATAGTAAATACTTCTCTCAAATATAAGAAATTACCTAAATCATATTGATTATTTAACTTCCTTTTGCTAAATGATCATTATTCAATTATTTCTGTTGAGGAAGTTCAATGTCACCAGTTTTCCATTTGAATTCAGAGTCCAAATCGACTAGAAACCTTCTATTAGATGGTTTAAATGACTGTATGGTGCAATACTTGAATGTGGTGAGAATGCATTCCATTCCAATATCTAATACCACATTTGTAGATCATCGATTCCAATGTTGTAGGCAGAGATCTTAACAGGTACAAAGGTTGCCAGTATATCAGATGCTAGTGCTGCAATTAAGGCACTGCAGGGTAAAGGCTGCTCAACAGTTATAATCACTATGGGGTCCCAGGGTGCTGTGTTTGCTGAACCAGGGCAAGAGGCCAAACATGTAGCTGCTTCCCCAGTCAATGCAGTTGATTCAACGGTGAGTATAGTCTTGCTTCATGTGTACTTTTATATAAATATTCCCAAATGTTTTCTTTGATGAGATTCCACAATAATTGTTGGTCAGTATGTCTCCATATTGATGACAGATATGATATATGATATGAAATACAGTAAAGCCTACCTTATCATAATGCTCATGAAACCAGTAAAAAGTGAGTGTTCACATTTTAAGTTTTTTCTTACATTTCAATTCAAATCAGCTTTATTCAACTATACACAAAAAAACGTTACTTTGAATTTTAGACCTACCAGATATTTGAAAATCAAGGATTATGAGGCTCATACTGCACCATTTTTTCTTCAAACCTGTTCCATACAAAGCATAACAAAAATGCCATATTGTTGGTCCTCTTCACAATCCTTGATTTTCAAATTAAAGTTTTTTCATGTATAGTTGGACAGCATGTAAATAGTATTATTTACAAGGTCTTACATGACACCCTTGCAAATGATACAGTATTATTTGTCAATCAATGGGGAACTGAGAAAGTTTCAAATTGATAGTTGTTCGGATTAGGAGGTGTTCTGATACAGGTTTTATGTACTAAAACTTCCTATTAACAAATTTGGCTATATTATTTCAGGGTGCTGGTGATGCCTTTGTAGGAGCCCTGGGCTATTACCTGGCATGCATGCCACAATTGACTCTAAGTGAGAAGATTCAAAGGTCCTGTACAATTGCAAGCTTTAGTGTAGAGAGACCAGGAACTCAGACTAGCTATAGACCAAAACATGAACTCCCAAAAGAGCTTTTCCAAGTTTGACATATTTATAAAGTGTCTCAAAAGTAATATGACTGCTGACTCCCTGTATATCTTGCACCAGAGGAAACTTTAGACCTAACAGCAACTCAGACCAAGACGTTTACTAATGACTGATTTGAAAAAATGATTTTGGTAAATAAAAATATGAATAAAAATCTATATGTATTCCAATAACTTGAGTCCTTGCATTTTATCCAATTAAGTGAAGAATTGTCCAGGATTTCAGTAGAAATGATTCTTCTTACATCAGGATGATTTCATTTGTATCTGAAATCACAGCTGAGTAGCATAGTGCAATTGATAGTCTTGACTACTCATGTTTTATTCTGTTCAGAAAACATGAATTATAAAATTCATTTTAATCCCAAAACATGCTCCCAAATCCCCAAAAATATTGAGTTGGTGCATTAAATAGTGAATGACTGTAACATTTTTATTATTCTTAACTAGGGAATAATCAAGAGAAAATCAGACATAGAGAGCAGATTTTTATAAAATATGTCATAATTTTGTTTTTATATATCCTACTACTAAAAGTTTCTTTCCTTTAAAGCACAAAGATTTCAATTTTACTGACACATATTGATATGTACATACATGTATGTCTCATTTCTCCTCTATGTTAGATTAGATGTTAATCATAATTAGGTTTAACTTGATTAGGTGGAAATTTACAGAGTGGTCTGGAATAGATGTCCAATCATAAATTATTGCTTTTTTGTCTTTTATAATTTTTTTCAGAGAACAAAAATTATAAAATAGGAAAGTTCTCTATTTAAATTGATGTAACTACAATAAACAGGGTGGGTAAAAAATATAACATTTTTGAAAATGCATGGATTTCAATAAATGTTGGCAGGATACATGCATAAATCAATTTTACAAATGTTCCAAAGGTAGGATAAAAAAATCTTAAGGAGATACTGAATAATGAAGGTAAACAGATACTAGGGGTCTATATGAAAAAATACATTTCAGGATGAAATTCAAAGCAACAATTTTTACGATGATAATAGTTATGCCTCATAATACATTTCAAGATTGGCTTTTTATACATCCAGCCTGGAATCCATCCTGGCTGGTTTCTCTGAGAGAAACGTGTTAGATATGATGTATACACTATTGTAATTTCTGTTTCTGGTAGAAATAAAAGCATTGGGAGTGTATTGAGACCGATAAGGGGAGATTAGATGGACTGGTTCAACATCAAGAAAAATGGAACTGGCAGGCGAAAGTCATCCTCCTAAGCAGGTGTCCAGAATCCGTACCTCCTTTTTCCCCCCTGCTATAACCAATTTGGAAGCGCCCGAGGATGGGCGAAAGTCTGTACGAAAGTTTTTCTTCATTTTACTTAGTTGTAAGATACTTCTAATATAATTCCACGTTTTCTGTCAATTACTTCAAAATATACTGAACACCCTACCTCATGTGTTTTTCTGACAGACTGAAAAATATGTCAAGTTGGTACTTTAATTTGAGGCATGACTAATATCAGAGTAAAATTGTTGCCTTGAATATCATTTTGTTATCTTCAAAGAGACCACTAGTGTCTGTTTACCTTTATTACTCAAAAACTCCTAGAGATGTATTTATCCCATTTCAGGAACAATTGTAAAATTGATTCCTGCATATCCTGCAAAAATTTTATTGAAATCCATCCATTTACAAAAAAGCTACATGTATATCGAAATAAAAAATGAACGTTTTTTGGCCCGCCCTGTGGTATTTCAAACTGACCACATTGAGAAAATCTATTTTCATCAAAGTTAAACCTAAATGGATATTGGCATTACTATACTTACTCAAAGTCCTATTCATATCTGCATTAATTCTTCAGAGAACGTATTTTCTTTGCTTCTTTGTACATGACCCACTGGCGAACTGCAAATAGAAAAATTGAAGTTGGAAACACATACAAATTCAGTTTTGAAACAAAAATGAAAATTAATTTGAATCTTTCTATTGTTTCTGTTTTTAGCCATTACTTTTACCTCTATTGTGGCCAACAATAAAAGAGAGGAGTCACATCAACTTTTACAACTGTATCCCAATTGAGAAATTTGAACTTTTCAACAACTTCTAAATGAAATATTTGATGTTATAAAAACAAATATGAACCTTTAGGATCGAAGCTATAGATTTCTAATTTCTCTGCAAGTCTTGGTCGTTTCAACACTACAGAGTGCCCAGTTCCAGCCAAGCTTTCAAGTTTTACAAGGACATTCCTATAAAACAGAATCGTATTGAACTAATTTAAAGAGTAAAACACATTTATTTGTAAGATATTTCCCTGATATCATAGATGAAGCTCCCTTCAAATCTATTGGAAGAGTTAGTAAGTAAGATCATGAATTCCACAAGTGATTATAACATTAACATACAAAATGTCACCAAATGCCATTTGTCACAGATGCCAAACGCTGAACGCCAACTACCAAACAGCATCGACAAAAAAGTTGGAGACCATAAAAATATGTCACCACTTGTGGTGGGGTCATAAAAACTACAAAATTTATTCATGTGCAATTGTTTATCTACAAAATTTTGTAATTTTCGAAAACTAAGTGTGCTTTAACTTAGTTGTTATTCACAGATGGTCTAAGCATTTCAAGGTAAATGCAAAGAATAAAAGACCTTACTTGGCTTTTGACCTGGCGAATCTGATGGATGTCAATAGCATTGTGAAGACTTTGTTGATTAACCAAAGACTATATGATGTCTCAAACTACAGCTCTCCTTTGACCTTGCACACTGGTATTCTGAAATATGAAAATGAATTCTTCAGACAGACCACATACACACATATTGACACTAAATTTCGTAAAGCTAGGACTCCATTTTCTTGGCCCACAGCAGAGAGTGGAGGTTGGCTTTTCTTTTCAGGACAATTCTACTATCTACTGTTAGGTGGAGGGCATACTGCCATACCTTTCTACATCTCTTCATTGCCAGGTAGATTCTGAATAGTTCCGTTGATTGGAAGTGATGCTATATTTGTAAGGTTTGAGAAATTAAGAATAATCAATGATTTTAGATGATTGCTGGCAATACTTGATGGAATCTTTTTAATTTCATTCTTTAAAAAAGTTTTTTATATAAATATTTATATATTAACTTGTTTTGTAAGTTGGCCTCTTAATTCCATTGAGTACTTTGAATCTAAAAAATAAGCAATCAAAGGACCATATTGAAACAGTATAAATAGAAACATTCATGCATGGCCTAACTTTTGTATGTTTTGGTTTGTTTTGTAGTTTGGCTATCATATGTGTAGCCTCTTATATTTTGACGCTTCTCTGCCATGTTATGGGTTATTTTCAGAAAAATTAACAGGGCTGAAACTCCCTAAATTACAAAAGGCCATAGCTTTGCTGCACATTATACATAACTATCTGAAATATACAAAAGTTAGGACTTGTACAAATGTATCTATTTTTCCATATACTGTTGCAATATGGTCATTTAATTTTTAAATTCAAATTACTCAAAAAAATTTTGAAACAGACTGCAGCACCAACATTATTTTTGATATGTAACACAAGTTCTACTGAAGGCTTCGAAGACCAGAATTAACATAGAGACTAGAGATGGTCTTTGTACTCAATAAGATTACCTAGAATATAATGAAATGGTCCTTCCCCTTGCTAAAATTGTACAGTCAAAGTAAATATGAAACAAATATGAAAACGAAGATACAGTAATTACATTTATTATGCACCTTGTCTAGATACTGAAATCTGATTGGTTCTAAGCTGCTGGTAATTTGGCCATATCTGGCTTTTTTAAAAACTGCCCAATATTTTTTTGAAAATGCCCAATACTATTTTTTGCAACTGACCAAAATTTTTTTCAATGTTTTTGCAACATTCCCTACTTAAGAGTTTTATTTCTCAATAACTCGAGTTCTACAAAAAGCTAACATCAGAGACTAATGGAAAATAGAAGAAAAAAGTGTATTTAATAAATCACAATTACCTTTATCATTCAAACATTACGCATAATTCTGCAAGAACACCTCAAATAAATGTAAATTAAATCCAGGGACAAGACAATACTATTTTGCGAGACCGGAGTCATTCAAGTTTTTAGAAAAATCAAAAGTTATAAAAATGTAAGTACATAGTAGCACACTCAAAAGATTGAATGAGAAGGTGTAAAATATCTTGGAGAGAAGACTTTCTCAAGGCTAAGTTCTGACAATGCGGGCACCAGAACAGAATTCTTTCGCGGTATTGCAACTACTGCTAATGTGAACTGTGAAACTGCTCCATCACAGAGGAGAAAAAATGTTAACATTATTTTTTATAAATCAATATCTCATTTATACATTCAGAATTATGTTGAAAACATTTGTTAAGGTGCCATGATACTTAACAGGAAATGACAAAACAGGAGGTGACAAAAAATTCTGTTATCTTTGTTCAAAAAATGTCTAAAAATGCAAAAAAAATTTCACTTCCTGTTTTGTCATTTCCTGTTAAGTATCATGGCACCTTAATATTATCGTCTCATTATAATCATGTCATTAAAAAGTTTTAAAAAAATGGTGAATTTTAGAGTTTGATACTTTGGCGCCGTTTTCAATAGCTTTTACTCCTAGTGTTATTGGACTTCAAACAGAAGTGAAGGTGACCCGCAACTAATATATTCATTGCATGGAGTAAGTTATTTTCTTTGATATAACGAAACATATGAGTTAAAAAATAAATCGTATTTGTATTCTTAGTGTCTTAATGAAAAATAGCATGCTCTGTCACAGCAGAAGTTAGGACATGTATAAATGTTTCTATATTTTTACATATTCTGTTTCAATATGGTCCTTTAGTTCCTTATTTTTTTAGATTCAAAGGAGTTCCAAACATTTAAAATTTTACTGTAGGGAATCAGAATGGTCATGGTCATGCCATGGTGCAACATGTTACTCACTTCGAGAGCCATGTTAGATTTTGAAACGTATGGCTCTCCATCGGAGAAATGGACAGCTGAATAATAGTGACCTTTGAAACATGAATTAAGTTGATCCGCGGCTTACTTTTGTTTTCTAACTGTGTCATACACCATTATCATCCCTCCGTGCAAGTATTGGAGCGCTGAAGTACTTCCTATTCGATCAAGACTTGTAATTGTTAGTCAAGTGAATGTTTTCTCTGCCAAATACCTATATGGCGTTTTCTGCTCAGACATTTTCGTAAATCTCCGGAGGTTGTTTTTTTTAGTCTCAGTCCGAACCTAACTCATTCTCAAAATTCATTTCGTTCGTTGCGTATCTCGCTCCTAGGAAACCACCATATAGGAAATGGGTCTCACTCGATGAGCAATTTACAAGTTTTGATCGAAAAGAAGTATTTCAGCGCTCCAATACTTACACGGATTGATGATACTGTTAGAGACCAAAAGTAACCCCAGATCTCATTACCTATGTTTTAAATGTCATTATTAATCAGCTGTCCAAGTGCGCCGTGGGAAAGCTATTATATCAAAATCAACATAGCTTTCGAAGGAAGTAAGCCACATGATGATCAGTCCAAATTTGATTTAGCTTTCCTGGATACTTTTTAGTGTTTTTATGACTAGTGCAAAGAAATGAAAGAAAGATAATATTAAATCCATGAGATGATCATATGACAAATATATTTAATGTAATACTTACTACACAATAACCATTTTATGGGAAAAAATATAAAATATTCACATTTGTGAAAGTTATCTACGGACTGAATATTTTCTTAATTGTTTTAATTGAAATAGCCACTGTATCAGTTAGATTTAACATATATAAATTACACTTTAATATAAATGATTCAATGTTAGTATAAGTGATTTTTATTATCGATATTTAATAAATAAAAAATAATTCAGTCCTGGATTTTTCGTACGGAAATTACCGAAGTTTCAGCGGAAAGTACCGATGTACGTTTTTGCTTTGCCACGTTAGCATTGACAGGAAAATATTATCAACATTACTACGTGGATTTATCAATATATTGCACTTCAGTTGAAGATCAACAAACGGGAGAGAATTCCTTAGATATTCAAGATGGATTTGGTCCATTTTCTCTTCCTGATATTCACTATTGGTTTAGTGAGTGTAGATTCTTTGATGTTCCATCTTCCACCAAATCAGAAAAAATGTTTGAAAGAAGAAATTCATAAAGATGTTCTTGTGACTGGGGACTATACACTAACAGAGGCACCAGGCCAGAACACAAATCTTCTTGTAAGTATGCTAAATAGTCCAGATTTTAACTATGTATTGTTTTTGATTCCTTACAAATGTTTCAAACAATAACAATCTGTTGTGATATCGATGAATTGTCAGGGTTTGTGCAAAAAAACAGGTGTCTGGGTAACTAACATTCCTAGCAGGGTTGGGAATTTTATTTTATGCCCTAAAACGCGCCAAAGAACAATCCAAGCAACCAACCCAACTGACCTCCAACTCAATGTACTTGTCCCGTGCCAGGACTGTAAAGTCCTGAGAACATCTCAATCTTTTGCCTGTACGATTACAACATGGGAGAATTTTCTACGCTTCTTACACTGAATATATCTAGCAGGGGTTTCAATAAGCACAGGCGGATGGCGAAAACACCTGTTCAAATCTCAATTACGCCTGTTCAAATATGTAGAAATAAAATTCACTGTTACTTACCTTACCCTAAATTATTTTAGTGAAATAAGTTTCAGCCTGTTGAAATTGCCAAAAAGCCTGTTGAAAAAATATTTATTGGAACCCCTGTACTTCAATAGATTCCTTGGTATTTTAGCATTCTTTTCGTGTAGTTGAATCTACAATTATCTGGGTTTGTCAGCAGAACGAAGAAATCTTTTACTTATTTTAACCGTCAAATTCCTCCATTTATTGGTACTTCCGGGCCAGTCAAACGGAGAATCCCCTTTTAAATCCAACCACCATCTTGAAAAGTGATGGAATCTCTCTCGATGAAAAAGAAAAATGTTCCCGTTCTGCCGATATACCCAGACAATTATGGATTCAACTACACGAAAAGAATGCTAAAATACCCAAGAATCTATTGAAGTAGGTATCTTAAGTGTAAGGGGCGTAGATAATTCTCCCAAGTTGTAATTGTACAGACAAAATATTGCGCTTGGTCCAGGACTATAGTCCTGGCATGGGATAACAATGTACCAGCCATCCAACCAATCAACCAAGCAATGTACTAATGTACTATCAATAAACCATCAAAACAAACAATCATCGATATCATGTCAATCAGTCAGGCAATAAATCAAGCAACTAACGCCATGCATCTTACATTAATTGACAGATAATAAACGGCAATTAACATTTCATACATGTGCGTAATTCTTCCAGATTTGTTTATCTATTAGAAATCACCATTGTAAAAAAGAACCATAGATATCCCACCTATCACTCAATTGCTATAAATCAAGCAACTAATGTTGTATGTCGTACGACGTACATTGTATTTTAATTGACAGATAAAACTTTAAAAGTGCTTAGAATGGTGAAAGTGAAAATAGCTACAAATATTTTTAAAACTTAGTAGATCTAACCTTATAAACGTATCAGTATTAAATCAGCAAAATTCTTTTTGCTGTGGGGTCCATTGGACTCACTTTTTGATAATGCTAAATAAAGAAAACACTGAAACGGCTAAGCCAAGACGCCTAGACAAACTGGATTTGTATTATAATCTTAAGACATCTAAACTCTAAGACATTTTATTTAAGGGCTCTTAGGAGATTTGATCAGCCAGAACTTTTCTACTTAAGGCTCAAATTGTCAGAGTCAAAGGTTGAACTTTGCTGTCGAAAATATTGTCAATAGTCGAACTCACAACTTAAAATACTTAGTATTATAGTATTAAAATAATAATTAGTATAATAAATGATTAAAATAATTAGTATATATATCTTAGTCTAGGAGTATAACTATTTCATTTATGAACGTATAATAATATGCAGGGTGGTGGTATGTTTAGGAAATAGTTTGAGAAGCAATTTTGTGAATACAGTAACTCAAGCTAAACGTGTGTATTAATAAATGAAACAATATCCTAGATGCGAGTAGAAATAGTCTTGATTTACGTCATTAATTCACAATTCAGTGAAACTGATGTCATATTTGGAATCTACATGTAAAACTACTTCTAGAAATGTGGTTTTACAAAGAGTCTATCAACTATTAAATTTTTTTTTTGAAAATGTGACTTCTAGGTCGGGGGGATTCCCCATAGACCCCATATTGTAAAACCACAAAAAGTGAAATTTCTTTTCTTGTGTTGGGCAGATAATATTTTCTCTTACTGGACATATTGTAATTTGTATATCTATCACATACATGAGGGTAATATGAAAAGTGAACCACTAAAACTGATGAATATTCAAGGTTAAAGAAATTTTGTAATACCCTGCCATGTTATTTCCCCCGAATCAGCCACCTGGTGGCGAAACTGGTAACTACCTACTCGCATCTGAGTAATTAGTATACATTCAAGTAATACCATTTAAGAGATGATCTGTACTGTGTTTCCAGGTGACAGACTCCAAGGGACATACATTGTACCATAAAGACAGTGCTGAGAAAGGAAAATTTGCTTTCACCACTGAGGAATATGATATGTTTGAAATATGCTTCGAGACAAAGCTTCCACAAGGTATGTAAATATTAAATATCATAAGAAGTTGGTGTCCACATTGGCTTTCAATAGAAAGCTCATGGTGTCACTGTCTGAAACAAGTTGTTACATATTTGTAATCAATTGCAATGTGTTACTAGGTTGTTACATATTTGTAATCAATTGCAATGTGTTATTAGGTTGTTACATATTTGTAATCAATTGCAATGTGTTACTAGGTTGTTACATATTTGTAATCAATTGCAATGTGTTACTAGGTTGTTACATATTTGTAATCAATTGCAATGTGTTATTAGGTTGTTACATATTTGTAATCAATTGCAATGTGTTACTAGGTTGTTACATATTTGTAATCAATTGCAATGTGTTACTAGGTTGTTACATATTTGTAATCAATTGCAATGTGTTACTAGGTTGTGACATCTAATGTCCTGTTAATGTACAAACTTGATGCATTTGAAGCAAAATAAATGTATCTTCCTACCAATAAATATATGAGGGTTATTAAATGGGAGGTTTTGGATACAGGGTATATCCTGAGGGAAATACAATATATACATTTTAGTATGGCTGTATTTCCTGAGGGTTATACCCTGTATTCAAAACCAAGCATTAAATAAATCTAGTATATCCCCGTACGTTATTTACCTATAACACCTTTGTTTCCAATGCAACAAGTTTCAAGAGATTTATATTATTATAGACTCATTATCCTTAGTTTTGAACACCCACTAGAAAATAATGATTTCAAAGTTTGAATCACTTCTGCACATCAATCAAACCTAAAAAATAAGCAATCAAAGGACCATAGTAAAAACACATTCATAATTTGTTATTAAACTTCTATATTTCATAGTAATTATTTTTATGTGCAATAAACTAGTGTTGTCGTGATGTGCCATAATTGTACATCGATGCATTGGCAATTTTCAGTAGTAAACATCGATGCACATCGCGATGTACATCGAGAAAAAGTCCGAGAAAAGTGCACTGAAATACCGAACGCTAGTGCACTAAAATACCGAACGCTAGTGCACTAAAATACCGAACATCCGGTACATCCGGGAACTTCTAGTAACGGTGAAATGAAAGTAAAGTAATTTTTTTAGATTAATGGTTCATTTCGACTAGCTAAAACAGTTTTAAAGCCAAAGAATATCAGAAAACATTGGAAAATGAAATAAGACATGAGAAAGGTAAGCGATTTGCATCAAAATAAGATAAAAGGGTGATTTTTAGCAATTTTTTTTTTAAAAACATCGATGTTTTGTTTCAGACATCGATGCATCGCCAGAATCAGCTTTGGCGATGTATATCGCGATGTATCGATTAATCGCGACAACACTACAATAAACCCGTGGCCTCTTATAAGTGGTGCAAGTCGCTGAGAAAACTAGAGTTGACTTGAATATGTCTTTTATTGCTGTTAAAATTATTGATGAAAATTGCGTGAATTCACTTCAAAAACAGTCTATTGTCCTTTATTTCACACTAAGACTTAGCTTAGATCAAATTGTTGCTGTATTCTTAAAAAACACTGTTTCTCCTTAATTAGTGCTACACTTGCGTCATATTTTTAATTCCCCCCTGCTAACATCTAAAATTCATTATAAGGCCCGCTATAGCGACTAAAAACGGAATGTAGCATTGCGATTATGAACCCTGAAGTCAACACAATTATATGAGGCCCTCAATGCGCCTCTATTTTCTGCACCACTACCTGTTATACTGTAGGGAGCCAATTTATTTTATTTTGTAAATAAAAAGTCAAAGAAGCATCAAAATACAAGAGGCCACTCATTTTACAAGCCAAACCTCAACTAATCCGAGAAACATTAACATTTTGTATTTGAAGCATGAGTGAATCTGTCCATATAAAAATTCCCAAAATATGTATTATATAATCATGAAGTTGCATGTTATGAAATTTGAAAAATACATTGACTGTGTATATTTCCAGGTATGCAAGGGGCAGCTAGAGAAGTTTTCCTGAATGTAAAACATGGTATTGAAGCAAAAAGCTATGAAGATGTAAGTTTCTTTAATCAAAATGAGAAAACATTTTTTGAAAAAGGCTCTCGCCGGGCAGGTGGAATTGAACCACTCTGACGCTAGTCAGCTACAGGTTTGAAGCCTGCACCCCAGACCACTGAGGCTCAGCTCGGCAGCTATAGTAGTCAGTGACAGGGTTTATATAGTATCTTATTTAATTGAATCAAAAAATCGGTGTTTGTTAAATATTGAGATTATTTTTGTTGCAGGTTTCCTGAAGTTCTTATCCAATATATTTGTTTTATTTAACATCGGTGAAATAGAGCAGTATTTTGTGGATATTTTGCAATTTACCTTTTAATTTTTTACTAATTTAAGTTATTTTTATGATAATGAAATGTATATTTTTATGAGCATTTATTGAATTGGTTTCAGCTGTTGTCTTTATACTGCTGATGCAGGTTCAAAGTCCAACTGTATTATAGACTGATAAAGATAAATCATTAACATGTGCTAGTCATCTTCAGAAAATCAATAGCATTGTCTGAATGTTGCAGACATGTCTTACATTATATTAAATTGCTGTATTTGCTCACTTTTAGATTGCCAAGGCAGAAAAACTTAAGCCACTAGAGGTTGAACTTAGACGTCTTGAAGATCTATCAGAATCAATTGTAAATGACTTTGCCTACATGAGAGCAAGAGAAGAGGAGATGAGAGATACAAATGGTTTGTACAAATTTTATGGTTTAAAAAATTATTCCCAAAGTATGTCATTATAGTTTCATTATTAATATTTTATTTAGTAGTATTTGTGTATTCTCAGTTAGACCTATATTCAGTTAAAATCCTGATTTCATGTATCAATGATATGAACATTGATCCCCATGTTTTTATATAGTGATTCCTATGAACTCATTGGTCGTTAATGCAACCAGTGTAATCAATTTTTACCACAAACCTTCTATGTCAATTTGATACGTGATGTTTGTCAAATTGAATTGTTTCAGTTTACTGATGTCATTAGAGTTGAATTCTAGTAACTCAAAATGTAATAATGTTCTCCTGTGTTTCAGAATCCACACACTCCAGGGTGCTATACTTCAGTGTATTCAGCATGCTGTGCCTTCTCGGTCTAGCCACATGGCAGGTTCTCTATCTACGTAGGTTCTTCAAATCCAAGAAACTCATTGAGTAATCGTTAGGCTTATTGAGTATATCATCATCTCATCGAGTAACTCATCTCGTCTTTTTGGATTCATCATCACTACACAGCATCATCACCATGGCAACAGTATCCTCAAAACTGCAGAAGTTGTATTTCATGACTGATAACATTGATCGGCATGGCAACAAAACAATGGGTATCCATGGAAATTCTCTTATCACCATGTGACACACATAACAGCCTAACAATGATCTATCTACAGGGATGTTCATCTTTATTTCAAAAAAAATGTATTGTAAAAATACTTGAGAATGGATTACATTTTTGTATAAGTAAATAGGCCCCTGTGAGATGAGTTTGAATTTTGTCAACAAAATGTTATTCATTTTCTCAATTATTCCATGGACATTTGAAAATATTATCTGATGTCATTATCGACAACAATTGACATCACAAGAATTTCAATCCATTCCAGAAAGATTACTCTATTCTGGATCCTTCAGTTCTAGTGGGATTTATTATTTTCAAAATTATTTATTTCAATCATGAAACTAAAAAGCTCTGTCAAGGAATCAATGCCCCGATTCTTTTAAAAGTCCAAGTTGATCGAATAATCCTTGGTTTGGGAAACTCAAGTCTATTCCTTGACACAGCTTTTTAAACACAAAAAATATTGTATCATCAGTAAATATGTTTAAAATGTATTATATCTAAATGATATTTTATAAAAAAAAAATAAGAATGGGCTTGTAGTTTAATGCCTGTTACCAAAAATATGTATATGTTGATTGAGGGATGTAAATGATTGTTACATTTAAAACCTTTCAATATAAAATGGAATCTACAATGTGCATGAAGATCGTATTTTCAGGTTCTATTTTATGTTGAAAGTAACCATGATCAGCTGTGACATGTATGTATTATCAGTATAAAGGAAGGCTAAATGTTGTCAAAAGCTTTTGCATTATCAAAGTTTTATTTTGCATTTTTGCTCATTGTACATAACTCATGTTTCTGGTATATCTAAGTCTTTTTGCTTTCTATAGTCTGAACTGATCCACTGTTTGATTTTTGCAATCTCTGCAATTCTAATTATTTCATTTACGATTCTGTATGTTCATTCTCTTCAAGTTCATGATTTTGTTCTTCTGGTATCTGAATGTACGAAGCTACTATTGTAAAAATGGTGCATTCTTTTGTGTTAAACCCTTTATGTACATCTTGATTGTTACCTCATTTTTATAACGCATATCATTGAATAATAATTTCTAGGTGGTAGGTTAAAAATGTATGTGGGCAACTTGTGATTTTGAATCAAACATAAGATAACCTGATAATAATGGAGGAATAATTTTGGAAGACAGTCTGCAAAGGTTCTCTTCTTTTTGCTGAATTTCCACTCCCTTTTAAGTAAAACTACATCAAAATTTATCATATCATCATGTATTCTTGTAAGGCGGTGGTTAATAATATCAGTTCTACATTTTTCCTTAAATTGTAAAAAAAGAATTATGTTGCCAAGTTTCCATGTATTCTTGAAGTATATTTTAACAGACTCAAGGAGGCAATGTGTATCATCTGTCATTACCATGGTTACTGTAATGTTACAATCCTGTAGGGTAATACCAGATAAATCAGGATTTTGGTATCATAGCAATTTGTATAAATATCACAGGCACTTAATATTAGATACCTTCATTACATATAAACATAAACACAGTGTGCCTGCGTTTGTATAAGTTGTAAATATGAATAAATGAAGATTTAAAAATATTAAATGAAATCGTTTGTTGATCTGTTGTAAAACCAGCGGCCTCGAAATTAAAGTAAGATAAGGACCAGCTAAAATATTTAAAATGATGAGACGGAGTATTTAAAGGCCCACTATACTTAATTTAGAAAAAAATAATCATTGAAACATATTACTCCCACACTCACTCAAATATGACACAAAGCTTGATTTGCCTTAATATTGGACCAAGAAAAAATAACTCCCATAGAAAACACCATTTGAAGTTCAGAGATCATAAGTAGTGCATGCACATGTTGCAAAGTGCAAATATAAGTAAGTACCTTCTATGTCACTGACCAACAGTCTCATCAATTAAGGTACACCTAAGAGCCCCATGAAAAGTTAAAGGTGTGTAATTTTCTCATAAAGGGAAGAGGATTGAGTTGTTAGTGTTTTTGACAGGACTTTCTACATGAAGGCATTAACAGTCATTTACTTAAAACATAAGAAATTAATAACACTGAAATAATATGTCTTGAATATACAGTTACTACTTTGCTTTTATTTCTGTCTGTTGCTATGGGAACATTGAATATAGTGGGCGGTATCCAAATATCAACAGCTGTGGAATAACAATTTTAATTAAACTGCAGAAGGGGTAAACTGTAAAGTAAGAAATGAATAAAATATTGCACTAAAAAATGAAAACATAAAGTATGTCTTTCCACAACTGTTGACTTATACCACTTTCAATACATTTGTTCATATGGTAAAACCTGTCTAATCTGAATGCCTCTGAGCACTGGCCAAAAGTGTTTTAATAACATGTCAGTCAATGGGAAATTTGGATCTGAGAAAAAGTGCTCACATTGAGAGGTGTTCAGATTAGAGAGGTGGTAGAATATACAGGATTCACTGCATTTTCTTAATCTAAAGATTGTTTGTCTGGTACATTTCAATCTACCACCGCACAACTCATAATAACAATACTGATCATTCAATGACAGCTTTACAGTTGGTTTAGAGGTTTCCACTTGACATTACCCTGTAAAACATGTCAATGGGCATATGAAGTAGACGAGGCAAATGCTTCTCTAAAATTTACAGAAATACAACTTGGAAATAAAGTACCAGGTGGTAATATACTGTAAATTGCTTTAATTTGGTGTTATTAATTTGGCGGGTTGGTCAAATTTTGATATTTTGGCTGTTATTTAATTTCGTGGATTGACCTATAAGTATATTATGGATATTGGAGGGCTAGCTAGGAAATCATGTGGCCAGGTTACTCCTAGGTGACACAGGGAGGTTTTACCTTCATATATGAGTTAAAATGTAAAAAATGGGGCTACAAATAAAATATTGAAAAAATTCTCAATGAGACCTAAGGTTCAGGCGATTTTTTCAAAAAATTGGCGGAGACTTAATTTGGCAGTTTTTATCAATCTCCCAAAATCAGCCAAATTAAAATGGCTGTCAAATAAAAGCAATTTACAGTACCTCATTTGCCTCACCTATTGAATCATGCCTTGCCTAATTTCAGAATCTGGCTAGGCCCCAGGTTTCTAAAATGAATGCTATGGGAGATACATGTTCCATATTTTTTACTATATGCATGGGCTTTCAACTAGAAGGTCTTATGTTATTACACAGAGTTGCATACCCTTCTAATTGAAGCCCATCTAATTGAAAGCCCATGCTATATGTAACACTAATCTGACATTAATCTAAACTAATCTGAAGTACATGTGCAAATAAGATGCATCCCATTTTGAAAACTATAATTAAATAAATGTTGCATTGGGGTAACCAAGGTTACCACATTATAAACAGTTACAAAAGATTACATTTCCAAATATTTATGAATTCACATTGATCTGTAGCTATGGTATCATAATTTCCATGGTTACAACAGTGGACTTCTGAATCATCATAGCTAAAAATGGTGCAGAAATGCACCCAAGGTTAATACTTGTTGCTGTGTTTAATAACATTACAGATCTTCAGTTACAATGTAAGATATCCATACCCCCAAAACATAAGAAACAAGAGGCCCAAAACGTAAGGTAAATGCTATATTACACCTTGTGTGTCTAAAAGATATATATCATATGGACAAAAATTCATTTCTTGCTTCAACAGCTGGCACATAGGTTAAGGTGTAAATAAGATATATGGGCCAAAATGTGAGGTATAAGGAATATATAACTCAAAAAGAGTTGAGAAATTCATGGGCCTCAAAGATCCCCTTCCATGGAATTACATCGATAACACCATGTCCATACCCCTCCTTACTCTCCAAATGCAGCATATTTCCTAAATCTTATATGATCACTGCAATAGAGCAAACCCTGCAGGGAGGTAGTCATCTGGCTGTTCATTCATAATGGCCATGAACTTAAACCTTTCACCCATATTCTGGGGATTGGCTAACATGTCATATCCTGTGAGTAAGTCCTTCTGTTGAGTAGGTGAGGCATTCTTGAGTAGGGTTTGTAGTCTACTTACAATTCCCATGTTGTGTAGGAATATTTCTTGGCTTATTGGTCCATATATAGACACTGAAAATAAAGTAATATGTTTCTTGTCACCAGGATTTTACAGAAAATAATGTGCAGTAAAATCTGTTAACTCGGAATGCTAATTGGACTAGCGAAAAATGTTCCGATTTGCAGGTGTTCACATTTCAAGGTTTAAATGTGTGAGTCAATTTGGTACCGAGAAAAGGGTTCATATTGAGACCTGTTCGGATAAACAGGTTTTACTGTAGTCTGAAAATAACATTATCAGAAAATGCATATGCATCTTGAAGTGCGGAATCCTATCTTTATAAGATGTAAAATGGGTGGAGATTAGAGCCATTAAATTGATAAAGTAGAATGAGCTACAGAACCTTCTCAACAAAACTACATGTAGATAGATGCAGGTTCAGTACATTGATTGACAGGTAAACAACCAGGCCCAAAGCCGGCTTTTTGTAGTTTTTGTCCAGGGGGGGGTTATATTTGACAATTTTGCCTAAAATCATTTGAAAACTGCATGATTTTGAAAGAATTTTTGGCCAAGTTGGATTAGCTTGTACCTCAAACCTTGTGGCTTCGAGCCTAAGTACATTGATCAACAGGCTCAGTGCATTGGTTGCCAGGTTCAGTATTATTGATTGACAGGTACAGTATTATTGATTGACAGGTACAGTATTATTGATTGACAGGTATACTGCACTAATTGACAGATTCAGAACATTGACATTGATTGACAGGTGTTATACCTCCATCTCCTGCATGTCTGGCTAAGAAGTCAAAGTCAACATCAGCAGTGAGGTCAGCAGTGCCAGGCTCTTCTAGAACATCATGAAGTTTATGCTTTCTGAATCCCTGTAACAAACCACATAAAGTTAAATGTTCAACAAGAATGCTAAAAATATGAAGAAGTTAACAACAGGCCTTTTAGTGTAACAAAGACATAATGTATAGTTGCGACTTACTGCATGTGAAGTTTTCTACCATACAGGCAAAAAGTGTAAAAATATTGCTTTATAATACATAAAGTTGTGTAATAATCTCTGGGGAGATTATTTGGCAAAGGTGTCAAAATTCATAGTTTCATAATTCCTCAGTTAATTCATTATTGTTTAAACCATGAAATAAACATAAACAAATTGATTAACATACTCTGAATGTGTCCATTTTGTCTCCATCGTGTCCATAATCTGCAATTAGTGCAAAGCCGCCATCTTGTTTCAACCTTTTTGCGATATCACATACCAAGATTCCACCCTCGGGACAGACTTCCACATGGCTACGAGTATCTCCTGGTTTCAACTGTTCAAATATGATTATTTTAATGCACTTTGACAGAATCAAGGCTCTTGAAAGGATACATGATGATGCTAATTCACTGACAAAATTGATCAATCATTACTACAATTGTATATTTATGAAACACGTAATCATTTTTGCTTGCAACATATTCTATTTCTCTGTATATACTTAACATACTTGTTTTAAAGAAGTAAAAAGACGAAGTGCAACATAGACCTACATGAAGCATGGTTTTAGAAGCAAGTGTAGGTCCACGTGAAACAACAAAACGTAAATGATGTGGCCCATCTTCTTCATCAATATCTATAAGCACCTCACACCATCCCTTGTCTGTATGCTGAAACAGGGGTAGATATATGTTTATCCCATACTTGATGTGTTTAAAGGATACAAGGCAGATTTGAGTTTTCAACAGCAGGCAGGATATAGCTTTAGGATATAGCTTGTTTAAAGGATACAAGGCAGATTTGAGTTTTCAACAGCAGGCAGGATATAGCTTTACCTCGCAGCATTCATCGCAGATCATTATTCTGTACATCATATGTTTGCATAATGATGAATTTATACATAAAAACAAGATTTTCCATTATCGGCAAACTTTCATAAGGATATACTATTTTCCCTCAGAAAAACAATCGCAATGTTTATCCTAGATACACATATCAGGCCTGTGGCCAGGATTTAGTCAGGGGGTTCGCTTTTTTAAAAATTTCAAGGGGTTCACAATGTTGGTCCAAAAATGGCCAAAATCACTTAAAAAGTGCTCAGAATGGTGAAAAACTCCATCATTTTGAAAGAATTTTTGGCCAGGGGGTTGGCTCGAACTCATCGAATCTCCCCTAGCTACGGTCCTGCATATAGTGTTCTGACATGAACTAATTTGAACTGATGAAATAATGGAAATGAATTTGAATATGAATCTAAATATTGACCCAAAAGTTACACTTGATATTTCTGAAATGACATCAGGACAGGTAAGAGTTCCTCTAAAGCTCTAAAATGATTTGCAACAAATTCAATAAACTCCATCAAATATAAATTCAATTCCAAAGAAAACCAGTTAACTTACCTTAAACTTATAAATAGGAAGAGCATCAAAGAATTCATGTGCGAGGTAGAACGAGAAGCCATGTGGTACATACTCTAGGTGCGTGTACCAAGACACCAGGGGGCCATGTTTGCTCTTACATTGTTTATAACAATGGTCAATCATACTGCGGGCACCTGATTCTGGCTTCTTACCTGAAAATGTAACATAGTAGGATATTTCAAGTGGAAAAGAAATGGTAAAAGCAACTATTGCCTGTATTGTAAGAACTTAGAATCTAAATGGTCAACTTTGATTGGTCCCATCGTAACACATAGACAGTTGAAAGTATTACTTGTTTTGTTTAATATTCTTTATTTGTTTGTTTTTAGTAAGCCCACCTCACTTAATATTTTCTTTTTAACCAGTACATGTTTTTTGTTCAGTAATCAATTTAAACATTCATGGCACAGTAAACCGAGACAGTCCACCTCTCAGGAAGTCTGTACACCCTGTACATGTATGTATATGTGCTGAATAAGGTTTAAAATCATACCTGTGATCCTCACCTGAGAGTTTTTCCATCTGCATATCACTGAGTGTGGGAGAGACCTCTACAAAGTGGAATGACACTTTCTCCTTGATCTCTGGGAACTGACTGAATACCTACAAATCAAGACCTGTCCTCATAAAAACATTCATTTAACAGTTTATTATGGTTTAAAAGGCATTCACAGAAATAAGAACTGAATGGTAGCCCTCACTTCACCTATAATATGACATAAGAAGGCATTAACTTGCAAAATGTTACCACCTACTATTTGTTACAGATGCCAACTGCTGTTATATAATGCTTAACTCTGTTGCAGATGCTGAATTCCAAACACCAACCACCAAACATCATATGTCACCACTTCATTAGACACAGAGATAATATTTTTAAGGCTAATGTTACAAAATTCTTTGTTAATAGCATTGATTGAATAGCAATAAACATTGATGAGCACATGTGTACATATATCTTACCCTGAGCATGTCATCAGCCAATGTTCCTCTACCAGGACCCAACTCCACCACCTGTATGGGGTCAGGTTTGCCTGCATGTAGCCACTCATTCACACACCATACACCAAGCAACTGGAATTCATTTATTTGAACAATTCATGCAAATGAGACATTTAAAATGACTAATGATGGCTATCAGTCTTTGTGATTTATTTAGTTATCCGTCTTGTATTATTTTACTCTCACTTTTTGGACAAGTTCAGCAAAATGAAGGTGACGCTATCATATTCTTCATACACATAGATTTCAGCAAGTAATATTCATCGTTGGACTTCACAAACTTCAAAAAATACAATTCTCGGTCATCTACTCAGCCAATAGGCCTCTAGAAAGTTACCATACATACCTCACCAAAGATCTGGCTTATTTCAGGTGAGGTGATGAAGTCGCCCTCTTTACCAAATACATCTCTGTGCATATAGTAACCCTGGAAGATATAATGATCCATTTAGCAATTCTTATATTCATTTCTTCATACTGTCCTTTATATCCGTGATACATGGTTTGGCTTTAAATAAAGCCCAAATTTCTGAACATTACGCTTCAGATGATAGTTAGGCTACAAAAGTGTAACAATTTTAAAGACATTCAAGATCAGCCCCTTATATTATGCTTCAAAATACACATTAAGAGTGGCAGAACACAACCATGAAACTGACAACATGGTCAAGACTGCATAGTTAATTAACAAGGAGTAATGTAGATGGTTTCATGAACAACACTTACAGCTGCGGGATTCACCAGTACTTCTCTCATGTAGTCTGCAACAGAGAGTGGCCCATTGAGTTTAATTCTCTTCACAATGCTCTTTAACAGCTCTGTCTCTCCAGACTTCTTACCATGAATACACCTGGCTTGAATATGCCTGGCTACCTGTCCATGTGTTCTGAGAATGCCTATAATATAAAACTAATGTACCAGTATGTGTTGAAATAACATCTAATAATTAGTTTATAAAATGGAATTAGATGATAAAAATCAAAGGGATATTCCTTGCCGGATCACCTCTCTCTTAATATGATAGCTATAACCATGTATATACTCTCAATGTAGAGCAAATCAAAGGAAAATGTTTTGATATGGTCTATATTGTTCACTAAAAATGTAGTGCTCAATTCCAGTAGGCCGCCATCTTTTAAGATTTCACTCGGGAATTGATGTCATCGATTATCAATCTTCCATATAGCATTATTAGGCAAGAAGTTCCTTCTAAAAATCCCTTCCTTTATTCTATATTTACAAACCCGGAAAGTAAGGACCACATACGAAAGTAAACATTCTTCAATATTTCAATAAATTTATTGCTTATTGGATATTTCGTTTGGAATGAAATCGTCTCAAAGATGAGTTAGCTTAGAGTAAATCATATCCGCTAAATTGAACAGCTTATATACAGTATGTATCTGTGAGCATAATGCCTGGCAGTGGCAAAGAATGAGAGCTTCTTATCTCCATGTCTCACCTGATTGAAGGCTGAACTGTTGAAAAAAAATGTAAAAAACTCACCTTTCAATTTTGGATAACATTGCAACTTTAACGAGCGAAGTATGACACGGCACGACATCCTACATTAGTCAGTTATAATTTCAAGCACTAGACATGTTGTCCACCACCCCAAATCAACCAGATATTACTTTATTTTGTAAAATATTAAAATTTTGAAATTTGGCGGAAGTGTTTTGAACTTCAGTGCGCATGCGCTTCTCTTCATTTCCGGAACAATTTTATTTTTCAGAAATTTTAAGTTAGGCGCATTCTGTTCCGTTTTGCAACCCCAATCGAAGATCAATATAGGTCTGATTATGTCTAGATGTCGTCGGGCGAGTCATGCTGGAAGTTGGTATAGCAGAAATGGTAAAGATTATTCTCGTACCGGTTCAATTGACGAAAGAAATTTCAGAAATAATTTTGTTATTGTTTTTCCTTCATGGAGAGACACTATGCGACATCTATTATTAGAGAGCAAATCAGAATATGTTTATAAGAATGTCCAATAAGCTGTGTATTATTGTTTTTTATCAAACCCAATTCTGTTCTTATCAAAATGTGATGTATTTATTAGATATCAATTGTGTTATTTGGGAGAACCACCTAGGGATAATTCAATCTTCAAAAGCTCTATTGAGTCTTGAGTAGAATCAGTTGAAACTGGAGTCTCTAGAAGGATGATCTTCTGAAGACCATAGAGAGAACCATACACTTAATAATGCAAGTTGAATGGTCACTCGTCCATGTAATATTACTTGTGCATGTGTACCATTACAGGGAGTGAGCTGAACCACCAGTTGGGGACGTGGTTGAACAATGTCGCAGATATACATGTACACAGACCTGCAAGAGCAATAATTGGGCCGTTAGTACAACACTTTTATTTTGACAAAAGAACAACAAAGAATGCACTTGATACAAACTTGTTTCAATAAAACATAATTTGAAAGAAAAACTGCTGCTAGTGTTAATCTTGAAAGAATCAATATCTTATACAGTTACAATTCCATTCCATTGTACTGTAGTGTCATACTGTTTCATTGCACTGTCATACAATGAACAGTATGACACTTTAGCAGTACAATGAATCTATTCAGTTTTGGTACTTTGCTTTAAAATTGCCTCAGTTGCCAGATACACCTCAGCTTCAGAGCTTGTACCTATTGAATCTCACCTCATACTTAATACTTCCATAGTTTGTTTCTTAGAATATATATTCCATGGTATTATGCAAATTTGTTGCTTATGACCTTATTTTATGATATTTTTAGACATGCAGGTTATTCCTACTGTGGAGAATGTGGCGGCTATGCTTACAAACAAATAGACCCAACTAAAACGTAAGTAGAATACATTCCTGGATAAAATAAGGTTGACGTTAAAACTTTATCCTTGTCTACACTTTGGCATTTATATGCACAGAATAATGGAGTTGCAGTATAAGGAAATATTGAATACAGCATCATAGAATAACAAACCAGTTTGTATGTTATTTCAGAAAGCGTATATTTATCCTGGGACCATCTCACCATATCAGTTTCCAAGGATGTGCTCTCACTAGCCAGACACAATATGAGACACCACTCTATAACCTTACAATAGACCAACAAAGTGAGTATGAAACACCAGGGTATAACCTTACAATATAGAAACAAAGTGAGTAGGAGACTCTACTCTATAACCTTACAATGTGTACCAAAAAGTGAGTATGAGACACCAGGGTATAAGCTTACAATATAGAAACAAAGTGAGTATGAGGCACCACTCTATAACCTTACAATAGACCAACAAAGTGAGTATGAGAAACCCCTCTATAACCTTACAATATACCATCAAAGTGAGTGTGAGACCCCACTCTATAACCTTACAATAGACCAACAAAGTGAGTATGAGACACCATGCTATAACCTACATGTATAATAGACTATCAAAGTGAGTCTACTTATGGGTCCTTCTTATGGGTATAAACACTTGACTTTTGTTTATGTTTAGTTGGGGGGGGGGGCACAGGGATCTTTGCAAGATGATCTAACACAACACTGAAATGCAGCTATCCAAATACAGCAATATAATCACATCAAGCTGTCAATTTTCCTAACACTGACCAGTGACACTATGATGCAAAATAATACTGTTGATTGTTTCTCTATAACATATTCCGACCAAATATTTAAATAAATTTATTTGGCAAACTCAACATGGTGTGCTGGTGCTAGCATTTGTGAGTATAATGCTGACCTAAAGTGAAATCATCCAACCGCATCCAGAAATTCATTTATTTTTCCGCCTGTCTCCATTTTCACCTTCAGTATTCAGTCTCAATTATTTTTTCTTGTCATTTGGTATCTCCCTTTACTTCTACTAAGCTTTGATGCAGTAGCAAGGCTAATGTATCAGTGTATTTGATCGCATTTATTTTTCCATAATGTGTGTATACTTCCATTTCAGTTTATAGTGAGCTGAACAGCACAGGAGAATTTGAAACGATCAATTTAGATGTGGATGAGGATGAACATAGCGTAGAAATGCAGTTGCCATATATAGCCAAGGTCATGGAAAGGTCAGTTGCCATATTATATAGCCAAGGTCATGGAAAGGTCTGTTGCCATATTATAAAGCCAAGGTCATGGAAATGTCAGTTGCCATATTATATAGCCAAGGTCATGGAAAGGTCAGTTGCCATATTATATAGCCAAGGTCATGGAAAGGTCAGTTGTCATATATAATCAAGGTCATAGAAAGGTCAATTTTCATATGTAGCCACGGTCATAGAAAGGTCAGTTGCCATATATAGCCAGTCATTGAAATCAAGGAGTGTTCAATTATACCTCTACAAATTAATGTAAATATGATGTTTAAGTTATGCATACGCTTTTAGTTTTAGGCTGTGAATTTAGAATAACTCTATACATTGATAGACTGTACATTCCTAGGTTAGATCAGAGACATCTTCATTTATAAGTCTCGTTCAATCATTTTTGGAGTCAAACATAAAAACAATTTTGTTTGCAGTCGCCAGGGCCAGTTTACAATAGTTCCTGTGCTGGTTGGCTCGTTGAACCCTGAGAAAGAAGCCAAATATGGCAGGATTTTCAGTCAGTATTTAGCCGACCCTGAAAACTTCTTTGTGATCTCATCTGACTTCTGCCATTGGGGTAAGGTAACATAAATCTGTATGAGGAACACCTTCCATACTGGTCAGCGCACATAAGTGTTATTATAGTGTTCTGTTCCTTGTAGACAGGTGTTTCTTAGAGAGGGGGTTCATCAACATATGTGTTTCATATAAAGAGGTGTTCCATCAGCAGATTTTATTGTATTAAATTTTGATTTTTATTTTCAATGACAAAGTGTTTTGTAATAAATAAATAATAATAAGCAAATGATTGGAGATTTAAGGACTTGTCTCTTATTAATGTGTCACTCTAAATTCTATATAGAATCTATTTCATGGATTTGAGAGGTGATTAGGCTATATACTGTATTTGTCTTTAATTTGGGGCTACTTAATTTGGAGATTTTGATAGATATTGGCATCTATTTAATTTGGCAGTTTTTCAAGTATCCCAGATACATGAGATACCCTCCCATCTTACCCAGTTACCCAATTCAAGATACTCAGTGTTGTTAAAGAGAGAATCAGAGATAGCGAGCAGGCCCAACAAAAAATTGTCTCAATTTTAGAATATTTCTGGCTCATATAATTCCTTGTCATGTCTATTTTCTAAAAATCCCCAAAGTGCACACTTTATTTCAGGAAAACTAAAGATTTTTTCAATAATGTTTTTTTTTCTATAAGAATGGTTACCATTCTTATTATTTGGGAGATGTTAACATTTTTCACCTATTTTTGCACTTTGAATCCATAATAACTTCACCAATTTAGAACATATCGTGAATCTTTTGGGAGATATTGTATTTGAGATTGTAAGGAATAGATTGGTAGGTCAATCATACATATTGCTTGTAATTTTGTCACCCCTATAGATCTGATTCTGCCTTTAATGAACAATTTTTTCAATAATTCTTGTTGTTTCTATTAGTTTAAATGGCCCGGCCATCTTGGTAGCTTTCTTTTAACTGGAAGTGCTCTGAATGAAAAACATGTCTATAAATTCCCAGGAATTTTGGCGACAATTTTGTTAATTTACCAAATTCGCCAATTTAACGCCAAATTAAAGACAAATACAGTATTTTTCTTTAATTTGGTGAGGATTTTGATTTGGCAAATCAATAAAAATTCCAAGTTCAAATAGTTGCCAAAATCAGGTTCAGCATGCTGCATGCATATTCAATATTTTTCTGGAGTTGACCTCTTGGAAAAAGCCAAATTAAATCCCCAAAAATTAAAGATGAATACACTAAAAGTTGAATTCCAAAAGTTGATTTTATCTTTTTTCAGGCCAGAGGTTCCATTACACACCATATGATAAATCTCAAGGTGAAATATGGCAGTCCATCGAGCACTTAGATGGCATGGTATGTATGAGGTTACCAGTCTACAATATTTGCAATTTACATACTGACATTGATTTTGATTTGTTTAAGAGATGTGATATGTTCATCAATAGTCCTCTCGTTGGGAAAATATTGTGAGGGTGATAAGCTTTCATTTGTGAAAGATAACATTCTATTCTGATGTTGCTTGTTCAGTAGTTTCATGTCATAAAATGATGCATATGATTTTTTGCATTCAGATATACTGTAAATTGCTTTAATTTGGTGCTATTTAATTGGTGAATTGGGCAAATTTTGGCTGCTATTTAATTTGGCAGATTGACCATCATCAGTCGTATTACTCACTTCACAGTTTGCCAACGATAACACAATTTAGCTCTCCTGGTATTATTTTGTTTTATCTAAACAAGCAGAGACTCTATAGACCTTCTGAAATAGCTTCAAATTGACATTTTATCAATGATTCAATCAAGATTTTCAAGTTTTCATTTAGCAAATGTTTTTCAAGTAGCACATGGAACAGGCACTCAAGGAAAATTGGGGAAGACTATATGGTGGTTTTATCCGTCAAAACAGCCAAATTAAAACAGCCGTCAAATTAAAGCAATTAACAGTATTTACACAGGAATTGTATTCAGCACATCATTAAACACATGACTGCTATGCCATCTATTCTCAGGTTATATCCTTAATTTCAGGCGATGCAAGCAATAGAATCAATGGACCCTACCCAATTCTCAGAATACCTTAGAAAATACAAGAACACAATATGTGGGCGGCGACCAATTGGCGTTTTATTAAACGTAAGTAGTCAACCTATTCAGCTGAATAGTGAGTATTTGTACAGTGAAATATATATAATATTCATCTGTGGCATTTAATACAAGTCCATTTAAGAACATGGTTTTCTTGAGGTGTTTTAGTTTAACAAATGTAGGTCTAGTACTATCTGTGTGCGTCTCTTCTTGGTAATTTGTTGTTCTTTCCTTTCCAGGCCATTAGTGCACTTAGACAGCAAAATGGACATAACTTTGAATTAAAGTTTATCAAGTACGCACAGTCCAGCCATTGTAAAACTATGCGTGACTCGTCCGTTAGTTACGCGTCTGCAGTATTAACTCTCAAGTGACATCTGGAGACTGGAAATAGAACTAAAACCCACTCAAAGACAAACAATGCATGCTGAATTCATTTTTGGGAGATTTTGTTATATTTTTGAATGCAGTGTAAAGATAATATCAGAATCTCCCAGGCCTAAGTTGCAAGTTTTAGTTTGACTAGTTTCTTGTTTAAAACATAAACTAGTAGTGGTAGAGACCTTAGAATGAATTAGTGGTAATAATAACAACTCATGGGCATATTTTTTAAATATGCAATGGACCAGAAAATAACTAATGGGCATGTTTGATGATACCATGGACCAGAAAATGATATTCCAGTTAAGAATCTGCGTAGGTTAGACGCGTAAAAGCTAGCCAAGGACAGAAGGGTAATGTACTTGGGATTTCCAAAGGCTGAGTTTATTTCCCTTGGTGTAAACTCTATCGTACATAACAGATACATTTTATACCAGCTAAGGTTTCTTTTAGTTGCATTTTCTTCGTTGAACATTTTGAAATGTGTATGAATTACAAAGTAGGCGATAATGTTTATATGTCAAAGAGACCGAGACAAGTACAGAAAATATATTATATAATTATTCCCCAGAGACTCATATTCCTGTATGATATTTAACCTCAGTAGATATGGGATACATAGATGTTACACCAAGGGAGGGATTGTATATTGGGTTTATCCTAAGATTGATATCTTACCGATTGTATATTTTGCCAATTCTTACAACTATGAAGTGATACATGAACAACAAATTCAATTGGGAAAATGAGAGTGAGAATGATTGTAGGAAGATATTATATCATCCTAAAGGATAATCCAATATACAGCCCTGATCAGGGATGATGTTTTATATGCAATGATCACTATGATATACAGAATTAAACTTGAGGGCACTATTTGTATTTTCACATGTAACCAATGGAATTATAAACTAGACAACAGCAATGCCAATTTGTCATCAGAAAGTATAATATGCTTCTAAGTAGGCACAAAAATTTCAACAAAATCACCCACACTTACATGTAAATGGCCGCCATTTTTCAAAGTGGCCACCTACTAGCCAAAATGTCATAAGACAGTGTGTCATGCTTATGAGTATTCACATATCAAATATGAACAAAATCGCTCTTACTTTTTGAGCTATAGTAAGAAAAAAAGGAAAAAACATGTGAAATGGTACACATAGCGGCCATTTTTAAAATTGGCCACCTTCTTGCCAAAATGTCATAAGACAGTGTGTCACACTTATGAGTTTCACATATCAAATATGAACAAAATCGTTCCACTATTCAAGTTATAGTATAAGGACAGACGGACAGAGGTGTTCCCTATATCCCTCTGAACTTGGTTTGATGGGATAACAAGTAACAACAATATAAACTGCAAAAACCTTTCAGTTTGAATTAGTTTTTTTAATTAGTACTTTTCCACGATATGATATAGGCCTATAGTAAAATTGGCTACAGGAGATCAGTTTTTGAAATGTTTTTCAAGTACTTTGATAAACTTATATCATAGTGATCAGTGTAAATTGATATTATGGACTTGTACCATTATAAAGGCTATTTTATGAATGAAATAGCTATATATAGGGTAGGTGTTTAGCTCAGGGTCATAGAGCCACATACAAGAAGGCAAAATGCATGTGCTGTGAAGTATATATCGGATCAACAGATCAATGAGGTATGTCTACAGTGATCTCCCCAGCATTAAAGCAAGTGGGCGCAGCACCCACCTGAGATTTTGAAAATAGGCTTGCACCCACCTGAAAATCCATTTGCACCCACTTGAAAATGAGAAAAATCATAAAAAATTGGCATATTTTGACCAATTTTAGTCTGAATTGTGAAAATGAAAATTTTGCACCCACCTGAGAAAAAATCCTGGGGAGATCACTGGTCTATGTCTCTAGAGGCATATGGTAATTACTAAAAATTCAAATATTCAATGCATGGCATGAAACTTGTTGATTTTTACAATTTATGTATTAATAAGATAATTGTACCTAAAGTACAAAACTAAGGACATTTAGTACATACAATTAGTACATACAATTGTATTGTACATACAATTAAATATAAAGCCTGTATCAAGTCTGTATACTATTATAATTATTATTAAACATTTCAGTATTTGTTTTAAGCATGATTTTCCAACTATAACCAGTCTAATAATCTCACCTAATAAGGAACATATTTGCTCTGAAGATTTGTAGTTTTTCTTCGTAGAACTCTCAGGATGCCATATAACACTAGATTAATAATATTATATTATAATAGTGTATTAAACAAACTTATTAAGTGCATATTTCCAAAATAGTACTTCATAAAATTGTTTATGATAGCTCTTGTACCATGTTCACTGCAATTTAGATGAAATGTCTATAACCATTAGTTGGAACAAAACTATTAAGAAATACAGTAATAAACTTATATGAGAATACTTAATCAGTTTTGTTGGAATGTTTTTCATTAATACTTATATAATTCAATTTTTTTTCTTTCAAATTAAATGAAAGATTACTAGTATTCCATTTTTTAAAATGTATGACATTGTGTAAATGGTGAAATGTATTAGCCAGAAAATAGGGAAGAACACACAGATAGAGCGTACCTCGTTTTATTGTACCCAGTAATAATCTTATCTGATAATGCATGGAAGTGAAAACCTTTTAATCTGATGTCAAATTGACCTTGACATTCCATTTCTAATGTTCAGATGTTCAACATTACCTTGACATGATGCTTTTACATCAAACACAAACTTTGTCCTTTTTATGACCTCCAAAATAAGGGGACACTGGTGTAGTAAATACATTGACCTTTATTTTTTTATCCAAGATGAACTTATCCTATTCTGTTTAACATGTTTTATCTAACTCCAAATATGCATTCTCATACATCAGCCTAGAAAGGTAACCTTGACCAAGATATGGGATGTTGACACTGACCTCAGTTGGATAAGCTTATCGACTTTCCAATGTCATGTTTTGGTTAACTTCTAATTAATTACCTATGATCACGGTATATAAGGGGGTGTAAACTAAAGGTATACTAGTATTTCATTTGTATTTATATATGGGACAAGAGGGACCAGACACATTTGTTACAACTGACAATAGAATGAACATGAAATCTGCACAGGTTTGTAAGTGCTTGGTGCATTCTTTGATTACCTTATTCACACATAGTTAGGCAAGGTGTGTCATATTCCAGTCAATCCGAACATAGTATTTCATATAACTGCAGTGCATTATATAATCAATCACGCATTCCTTATGTGGTGTCAAGGTGAAGATTATAATTGATACATTGAAAATATGCTCTTTTAGTGATTTCGTATCTTTCAGGCATTGATTTATAAAATTATCACTCCATGCTTTGTATCTTGTCCAAATTTTGGAAAGTAACACCTCCAAGGAATGGTCATTCCACATTGCACTGAGTTCACGGCTTAAATCCTTAATCCAATCAAAATAACTCAAGAATTAATCTTTATTCTACAATTATATTGTTGTATTTCTATTTCTCGAAGCATTATAGTACATGTATTTACATTTTTTTCTTATCATTTTAAAAAGCCCATGCATCAAATTCTTTAATTATAAGCTTATATTATATTATACTTCTGTAGTAACAGTGGTAATTATACATTTCCCTTACTTATGAATACCATAATCTTAAATGTGAAAATAATCCCTTATAATAAAAAAGCTTGATGCAGTCTTTCAAGGTGATCCGAATAATACTATAAATCATGCAACTGGTTTTCTAATCGTTTCAATTTGTAAGATCTCCACAGTCAGCCTACCTACATGGACTCTGAAAAAGAAAACATTTTAGCATCACAAAAGCCCATGAGACTATATTATGAATTTTAATTTTTGGAATATTATATAACATGAAATTCTCAATATCAATCTATGATGGCATTTAAATGCAGTTTGACAGAATTTGGTAGAAAGGAAATCTTACATGTTTTTAGGAGCAGTCTCTTAGATTTCATCCAAGAATCGTTATCTGTTCTTCAAAAAATAAAACTATATGATATGAGAAAATAAACAGATCGTATATTTCCAGGGGCCCATGATGGTCTTTATCTACAAAATCTCAGCAATGGACGTGATCACCTGAAATAGCAAAACATTCAAAGCAACCGACTTGTCTGCATAATACTAATATTTATATGACAATTGTGATGTCTATTGGAATCACCTAGTCGTACTTCAGTCTACAGGCTATGCTTTAGCCTAACTTTTAGATTGTGCATCTTTTTAGATTTTAGAACCTTTTTAGAAACATTTGTTTCATAGGAGTACAATTCTCAATTGTAAATAATACATAACATGTACCCAAACATTTGTGTTGAATAACACAGGCGTTTTAACTCTGAAGTACAACTAAGTACAACTGTACTGTATTCTTTAATAGATACATCTTATATTTCAATCATAAATGTTCGCCTGAAGGAAGCATAACTTCGATTTCACATTGTTTGCTGTCTCCATCCTAGAATGCCTCAATGTTGACAATTCACTGATTATGGTTTGAGTTTTTTTTGAGTTCCCATAATGCATTGTTTTAGCAGACGACATCTTGCAGATATGTACATTTCCCATAATGCACTGTTTTAGCAAATTACATCTTGCAGCACTGTATATTTCCCATAATGCATTGTTTTAGCAGACGACATCTTGCAGATATGTACATTTCCCATAATGCACTGTTTTAGCAAATTACATCTTGCAGCACTGTATATTTCCCATAATGCATTGTTTTAGCAGACGACATCTTGCAGGAATGTCCATTACATATGTCTCTGTTCTTTCACTCTCTAATCAGCACATTCATCTAATATCTCGAAGTCACTGCCCATATCCATGCTTATACCACTGCCTGCATCTGGAATTTGGAGTAAAATACTGTTTTAGAATACATTATTGATACTTAAAAATATGATATTGAACTCATAATTACCTCCTTATTACTGAAATACATTAACAGTTGCTAATATTTTTGGAGCAAAAATTCATATAAAAAACATTACTAGTAAACTTGATATTATGATGGCAGCATAAATAATGCAATTTCAAAAACAAGAATCAAAAAATCATATTCACAATGGTACTTTCAGTTTGTGTATGGAATTTTATGAAAAATGTCAATGATTTAATGACAAAAAAGAACAAAATAGCAGTCTATTTTCACAATGGTACTTTGTATATGAAGAGCGTATGCCCCCAATACAAAATCTCCAATGTGTTTAGTTACCACTCAATGTATCATCATTGTCCTTAGTTGGTGCTGTTGTGCCAGGTATTGGAGGCTCTCTGTTCTGAGTGCCTTGGGAACTGCCAGGGAGTGGTGTTGGGTCACTGCCAGGGGGCGCTGGCTCATCGCTCGAGGGCATTGGTTGTCTGCCTGGGGGTGCTGGGTTTTCATCAGGTGATGCTGACTTTTCACCAGGGGGTGTAGGTTCTCGCTCCAGAGGTGAATTTTCTGGGGCAGGTTCCACTGGAGATGGTTTTGACTGCGGCGCAGGCGGCATTGGGATCGAAGCAACTTGAGGTCGTTTTTGCGCACGAAGAATTGCAGTGGGTGAAGGCGTAGCAATAGATGGAGCTGGACCTGCTGGGAGCTTGATATTTCCTGTGGTTGTATTTTCTGTATTTGATGGTGGAGCCTGTGGTAAAGGAGCCTGTTCTGGAGTTGGAGCCTGCGGTAAAGGAGCCTGTGGTAAAGGAGCCTGTGTGGGAGGCAGACCTTCTGGCAAAGGAGCCTGTGTGGGAGGAGTCTGTGGTAAAGGACCCTGCGGCAGAGGAGGAGGACCCTTCGGTTGAGGAGGCTGTTGCTGTTGTGCTTCCATAGCTTTTTTCTTCATGATTTCCTGGAAAGACTTAGCAGTTACTACAGGCTTCTTCTCACCAACGACTGGAAGAGACTGACCCAGGCCAATCTGCAAGAATGAATTTAAGTCCTTCTTCGCCTTATCCATGACCTTTTGATGTGTTTGTAGCTGAAACCCTGTGGAAGGTGGTTTGGCTGCTCCTCGCTTCTTGTTGGGTGGTGCTCTAACATTCTCCCAAGTCTTAGATGCAGGTCTTGGAACCAGCTTCACAGGGTTTGTAACAACTGTCTTTCCAGTTAGTTTAATATTAATCTTTGAACTTGCATTAGCATGACTTGGTGGCGGCTCCACACCATCATCTTCCTCTTCCGGATCATTTGGTAGCACATTAGATTGTTCTGCAGTCTTTTGTCCCTTCAATGTCAGTTTTATTCCCTTTGGACTACTTTGAGACCCCTTAGAACTGTTCAAATTGTCCTCTTCACCATCTAAATTTGCAATATCTTTATCCCGTTCTTTTTCCTCCTCAATAAGAAGTTGTCGCTTTCGTTCTGTTTCTTTATTAGCAGCTTCCCGATCTGCTTGTTTTTTCTTATCATCAATCTCCCTCTGCTTCTTGCGCTTTTCTTCTTCCTCTTTGACCCTCTCTTCCTTCTCACCTTCTTTGCGTCGGTTAGAGGCAGCTTTGTCCAAATTGTAGCGCTTCTCATATAGAGGATTCTCCCGAGTATATGCCTGAAACATTTGCACAGTTTACAATTACATTTGCAAGTTATCTATAGACATTTCCAATCTTTTAATACCATATATATCATCATATTTATACACGTTCTTGTGTTCTCAAAAGTTGTAATGCAAAAGATTAACAATTAAGCTTTAGGTGAAGAGACTAGTTTCTTCCGAAAGACCCTTATATTTGTCATTACCTCTGCAAATCATATATATTTAACTTTTTATCTATTATCTTGAACATGCGTACCAAAAGGTTAGACCTCATACCATGGAAATTAATTGAAATTCGTGAAATTAATTTTTTTTTTTTTATTTATTTCTTATTTCCTTCATATAACAATAAATCAAAATACAAATTACTTACAGAGGACACCTAAAATAGGTGTATATACTGCTTGATAAACATAAATTGAATATAATTATAGCGCAAATAAATAAATAAGTATAAATAAGAGCACATCAATAGTTGTTGGGTAGGAGCAGGGGGAGTGACAGTAAAAATAAAGTAGAGAATGATAGCATGATGATAATATTAGGACAATAATAATTGAAATGTTAATAAAAACATTACCTGATAGGCATTGAAATGTGCCTCAGTTTTGAGATGGTACTCTGCACAAACCATGTCCCCACTGAAGACATTGCACAGGTTGCAATAGAAGGCATCGCAACTCTGCATAAACTCTGAACCTAAAATATGCATCATGATCTTTATGAATGAGTTATGCAGCTTTTTATTAGACAGAAAACATGGATTATCAGAAGAAAATATGGATTATCAGAAGAAAATATGGATTATCAGATACAATGTGAAGAAATGTAAATTGAAATATATCTTCAAACTAGTAATTTTGGCATGGCCAGTGTTGATCTCTTGATATTAAATGCATGATATAACTTAAAACTATAGGTATTCTATATGTACAGAAACATGTGCATGTGTCAAAATATCCATACCTCATAACAGCAATCTAGTGGAATAAAACATATTAATTACATGTCACTAAAATGGTCTAAAATCCATGAAATATTAGCTTTTTGAAATATTAACATTTTAACTTTGATAAAGGATAAAATATAAAAATATAAAGCTAATCTAGGAGTTACACTTGCATAGAGTCAAATATCAAACTAACAAATCCTTGTTTAAAACCTGGTTTAAAATGAAAGACCTTACCCTTTATAGCGCTAACTAACACATGCGTCTTTGGGTTCTTTTCAGGAGGAACTTTTAATTCCTTGGGCACCCATGGTTTATTGTACGGGTTAGAACTCTGTCAAAATAAAAATAACGATGGTAGAGAATCTGCAACGAGTAAATTAATAAACTGGTTTGAACAATCCAATGAAATATATGATTGCATATACACAAATATGGTTGAAGTATAATTTTCCAGAGTTTTTAATTAGGCTAGTAATAATATAACTTGAATACCTGTCATCGGATTAGTATAATATTAAAAAGAAGCCATTCATATACGAGGGTTGTCCCAGAAGTAATGCACTATATGCTCTAAATTTCTGAATGACTGAATGAAAAATATTTTATTGGTACAAGCTAGTGAATATTACATTGGATTGAACAAATTTTTATATTTTGTTTACATATTTTCCTTTGTGCAGGTATAATATTAATATCTTATAATCCATAGTCAACATAGAGTTTATGTTGGACAATATTGATGTAAAAATATTACAAGGCAGCTTATACATGTTATATAAAAAATATAATATCATTTAAAATGTTAAATATTTATAGAAATGGTTTTAAAAATACAACAATATTTTACCTGTTATCAAAATTCGTATGAAACCATCCAACGATAGAGACAAATTCAGTTTTACTAAATTTCATTTTGGATCTTAATCCTTTTTGATTTAGGTTCAAATCCCAAAGTAACGGTTTGTAAAAAATCAACATGGCATCATTCAGCTGTTAGATATATGTCAAAACCACATGGATGTTTTAAAATACATAGATGTATGGTATCATAGAAATGATCATATGTCAGATCTTGCTATGTTCACGGTATCTACTCTCTGACAATGACTGCAGTTCTCAACAGCATGAATTGCAAGGTTTTAATTTATCCAAAAATGTCCAAAACTGGTACAAATATCAAATTTTTCAATTTCTAAACTGGTTGAAAATCACATTCTTTATTCTTGAGAACAAGGGGTTTATTAACACTGCTTTGCAAAGTTAAGAACTCCTAAGTCCTTTGATCTCTTACTATGGCATCATTATATCCATGGTTAAAACAACTGATATACAAATTCTTAACTTTACAAAGTTTCTTGACTCCAAGATAAATATAACAATACATGTCAGGCATCATCAAGCATACATTACTGAACAGTTTAAAACATGTGAGCTAAAAAACTCATTTTATTCATGTTTACTTGAAAATGAAGTCTTTTTTTAGGGGTGTAAGTAATGTGATTTGCTACATTTTGAGACAACATTGAAATATTGACCGGTACCTTAATTTGCGGTTCATATGAAATGTTTTTGCAATAGATCTATTTGTTACTTATACATAATGGATGCCCATAATGTATCGCAAGACAGTATCAGAATGCTAACCATGCCCAAGTCGGTATTTCTTTACTTAGGGTATCTGATCTTGAATTATTACTGCCAGACTCAATAGAAATCAAGATAAGTAAGAGACCGACTTGGGCAAGGCTATCAGAATGCCTTTATGTTTGAAAATGAAAAATCGCTTCTCTTCCGCCATTTTGAGATACAGACACAAAGATACAGATTCTTGACAACCACTGAGGTTAATGTAATACTTTGTCATGATATGTTCTAAGAGTCAACTAGATTCTCACTTATTGCTTACCGACAAATGCTTTTTACTGGATAAATGTGCAAACAGATCATAAACATTGCGGGTTATGACATTGCACAGTCGGCACCAATGATTTCCCGGATCGAAAAAATCGTAACGAATATCCTTGATCCCGCTTTTAGGCTTTTTCGGTTCTTCCTGTGTAATAAGACAATTTGCATAGCATGGATGAAACAATTAATCAACTATTCATCTAACGCTACATAATCTTTAACATTTAAAATCTGTATAAACTTTCTCAGAAACTATACTATAGTAATCTAAATATTGTATTTAAAATATATTATTCATGTTTTATCATTCACTATTTTACTAACATTAGGGTACTTATTTGATAATAAATGAGCAACCTTACTGGACTGGTTGTTACCTTTTTCTTCTCATCTTTTTTCACAATCGTGATGACCTTCTTCTCTTGTGGTTCATCTTCCACTTCTGGAGTTTTCTCTTTTGTCTTACTTGAGACTTCATTTGGCCTTGCATCAGGTTTCATCTTATCTTCGGCTTCCTGGCGAAGCATCTTTATCTGACGCTCAATCGCATCTTGAAGCTTTGTGTTCTCTACAAGGAGTGGGTCTTTTGCTGCAAATTTCTGTCTTGCTTTTCTCCTCATAATCTCATTTTGTTGTTTCTTCAATAGTTCCAACTCCTTCAACAAATTACTTAGTCTCTTTGTTCTGTCTAATCTCTCCTTAACAAGCCTTTCCTTCTCTTCACTAGTGAGCACTTTAGGCTCAGGTTTTGACTCCTTTTTAGGCATAAGCACAATTCGTTTGGTTTCCTCTGGGCTGTCATTTCGTTCCTTTTTAGCAGGGGGTTTCTCTTTGCTTTCCTGGCGTTTATGGGACTTCTTGTCACTTGGACTTTCATTGTATTTATCTGTTCTAGATGAATCGTGCCTTGTTCTAGAAGGTGGTGATCTCAACCGATTGTGTGATGAAGATCTATCATGTGATCTTGAGAGTTCACGTGATCTGGATCTTGATCTTTTACTTCTTCTTTTATCCTTGGATCTTTCTCGTTCTCTTGAATAGCTTCTACTCCTGTCTCTTGATCTGCTTCTTCGTTCTCTGGAGTCTGGTCTGTATGGAGTGTTATGTTCCATGACAGGCTCTTCAGTTGGAGTTGTCAGAGATATTAAGTTGCCAAAAGGGTTGTTCCCCTGAGGGGGAGGAGGTCCTCCATAACCAGGAGGGTACCCACCATATCCTGGGCCAGGGGGAGGGGGTCCATACCCTGGTTGTCCCCACTGCTCAGGAGGCATACCCATAGGAGGAGGAGGCCCTCTCGGCATCATATTCACTCTGTGATCCACATCTCCACCACCAAGGCCAAACGGCCCCAAGGGAGGACCTGGGGGAGGACCATACCCTGGAGGAGGTCCATAGCCTGGTGGGGGACCAAAGCCAGGGGGAGGAGCATATCCTCCAGGTCCTGGCATTGGATGAGGATAGCCTTGAGGAGGAGGTCCTGGGTGTTGTCGAGGTGACCTTGAGTGCCTAGATCGTTCAGGAGACCTTGATCTTGAATACCTGGAACGTTTAGGGGACCTTGACCTTGAATATCTGGATCTGTTCCTAGGTGACAGTGACCTTGACCTGGAACGTGGTCTGCCACCCGATGCAATCCTTCGCTCTGGTGAGCTTGACCTTGAAGAACTCGAACTTGAGCTTGAACTACTAGAACTGGAACTTGGAGATGGAGATCTCTTTGAAGATGGTGGCTTGTCTCTGGAGCCTGGATGGGGCCTTGGAGGGTTGCTCTGTGCACCTTGGGGTCTTGGAGGGTTGCCACCTTGACCCGATGCAGCTTTCAGCCTTTGTTCTTGTAAATAACGTCTTGCTCTTTCTTCATATGTCAACTCCTTATCTTGTTGCTCTCGAACTTTCCTCCTGGTTTCTTCGATCAAATTATCAACATCCACCTCAGTTACTTCAGGTTGCTTAGCCGGCCTTGATCTTTGTGTTGTTCTCTGTAACGCTGGACTATTTCTGGGATCATCAAACAATGAATGACGATCCACTTTCAGTCCTCCGCCTAAGAATGACATGTTTTCTGTTATGCCTAGCTCAGCTGGGTCATCAGTTGGACTCTCTGGTCTGCTTTCTGGTAATGTCTGTCTGTTTTCAGATTGCCGTTGATGTTGCAGTCTTGTATCCAACTGGTGCTCTGATACTCTAGTGTCCTTAGGTGTGGTGGACTGCTGAATTTTTTGAGCCATTTCAAAATTAAATCCTATTGACTTTAGTATTGTTGATATAGTAGGATCATTTGCTGGGTCAAATTCTGGTTCTTTCTGCACTGGGGCTGATGGTGGTAAATGTTGTTGTTGGTGTTGTTCTCTATTAAACTGAGCAGCCATTTGAGTGTACGGATCAATGTTTTGCTGTTGCTGGTTTCCATATAGGTCAGCATCTACATTTTGTCTTTCAAACCCATCTACTGGTGCTCTGTTCATACTATATGGATCATTATAGGGATTTTGTCCAGGTCTCAGTTCTCCTCGTCCATCATCCTTTCTTCGCATTCGATATGATTGCTCATCATACTGAGTCTGAAGCTGGGCAAGAGCAGAAACTTTTCCTGGTGGAGAAGGGGACCTTCGGGGAGGGGATCTTTTGCGAGGGGGTGACATCTGAGTGGGGAAATTGCTAGTTGCAGCAGGTAAGGGCAGCTCAGCATCTCCATACAGAAATGCTTCTTCATCTTCAATGTCCATATCTTGTGCCAATGGATCAATTACTTTATCAACACCAAATACATTCACTGATGTATTTTCACCTCCTAAACCAGGCAAGTTAAACTCATTACTCTGTCTTTGTCTACTGATTCGATCAACTGATTGCTTATCTTGATTTTGTCCCCATGTAGCTTCACCTGGAACATGACTTTTTTTCATGCATGATTTCATGGGTTTCATCTGGTCATTTGCTATAGTAATTTTAAGTCCCTCTGTTGACAAAGGTACAGATTTCTCTCTGCTGTTTGCATGTTTGGTGAGCTTATGCTCTGACTGTACAGATTCTTTGCCTACTCTACTGCTAGTTTTACTTGTTGATCTTTCCCTTTCATCCTTATCTCCTCTGTCATAATAATCATCATTTTTCCTTTTATCATTACTCTCTCGCCTATTATGACCATGATCCCGGTCTTGATCCCTGCTTCGTTCGCGATCCTTACTTCGATCACGATCCCTGCTTCGATCACGTTCCTTACTACGATCACGCTCCCTGCTTCGATCTCGATCCCTACTTCGATCTCCATCTTTGCTTCTATCTTGATATTTGTCTCGATTTCGATCTCTGTCTCGGTCTTTATTCATTTCTCGATCTTTTTCATATTGACTCTTTTCCTTGTAATCCTTACGTCCCCTATCTGCATCTTCTTTTCTATAATCTCGTCGATCATAATCTCTTTTGCTCCTATCAGAACGACTTTCTTGTCGGCTGCTTGATTTATAATCATCCCTTCTTGAAATGTTCCTCTCTCTATCTCGTTCACTCCTGTAATCACGGTCTTTTTCTTTTGGAATTTCCTTGCTTGAATAATAGGTGTCACTTTTACTTTTGTCATTACTAGATGTTTTCTTTGTGTCGGATTTGAACATATCATTTCCAACTGTTATTCGTATGGATTCATCTGCTTTGTCGTCAACCTGCAACATAAATCATATATTCTAGTTAAAACCCTACAACTATTCTCACATATTTGCATTTTATAACAATGAACTATAAATGACTGGTTGATTCATTTTAAATAACAATTTTTAGCAAAGTTGAAGCGAGGGGTTAGGGCCAGGGGTATCTAAAGAGCCAAACAAAGATTCAATCAATATCTCAGCATTTGTAGATTGGTGTCATTTTCATGAAAGGCAATAGATTCATATAATAGACAGTCCTAGTCCAAGCCCAAATCACAATCTATACTTTCTTCTCTTAGAAATTCAATAACGAGAACATTTTCCTTTTCCTTTTGTGAATGAATTTCACAAATTTTGCCATACCAAACAGAACATGATCCTAAACCTGTTCCAATATTATAAAACTATATCAGGGTTGTGATGACACAGGAACTCAAACAAAAATTGCAATAGTGCAGTCTTCCATACAATACAAAAGTTAGGTCTTGTACATATGATTCTATTTTTTTATAAACTGTTGCAATGTGGTCCTTCAATTGCTTATTATTTAAATTCAAAGTTGTCAAAAAAATTGTGTGGAAGACTGTACTGGTTTACTTAGGTCCAAATCCTTCTCTTTATTCTGGTTTTGAGTGATTGTTACAGCTGCCCTGGTACTTCAATATTTGTAAATCATGTGACACACGCACAGTTGTTACAGTATAATTATATGATAATTTCCTTTATGCATACATTTGCAGAATATCAGCTCATATCCCTGCCCTAATCGATTGTTATATATATTTTAATTTAGCTAAGTGGACTTTCATTTCAAAATGGCCTCCATTTTTCTGCTGAGTGAGCTGTATAAATGGCGGATCCGTTGAGTTTGAGGTTCTTTCCAGTATGAAATTTTGAAATATCTTAATTCAGAAAAGCAACGCTTCAACTTTACTAAATATAATTAATATTCTTATAAATATTTATAAGAATTATAAAATAGGAGTTCTAGGTGCGTGTGACACTTTTTCTAGATTACATATGAAATCATTGAAGTCACGTCTAGCTGTAAGCTAGAGACTCAAGTAAGTACTGGTAGCAAAATCATCAAAACATTCAAAAGCTGACTTGCCATACAGTTTTTCAAAATTTGCCATTTTGACCAATCAGATACAGCATTTAGAGCCACACCCACTTTTTGCCAGACTCCAGATTAAGTTAATGAACTTGGAGAAGAAAGTAAAGATCATGATTTAGGCTTGCCTCATCTTACTTTAGAAGTATGCTACCGGGGTCTGCTGTAATAAAGGTTAATTATCTACAAAACCATAGATGATTTCACACCTATTTTACTGAACACAGATGGCTCAGCCAGCCCGCTGAGGGAACGTTCAAATATACCGTCTACTGAAGTGGTTTTCTCCAACTTCCAGCAGGTGCGGTGGAATAAGTAACGGTATTAAAGAAGATAATTGAATGTAACTTGTAACGCGACGCGTGGTGATAATAAGTCCTTCTTCTTGTTCAATTTGCAGTTAAAGTGGAGAAATTCCAGACCTGGCGCGTACTTTACATGCGCATGGGCATTGGCGCTAAAAGATCACGTGACTATTCATATTTAGCTAATGTTATTTTGTAGCAAATCTTTAGTTTCGAAAGTCGCGAGATCTTGCGAGACCTAAAATGGCTGCAATCTAAATTCAAAAGTTTAGAATAGAACATTGATTTACAACAATAACAGACAGATGAAGGAACAAAATAAGGTAACAACAAATAAATTATGTATTGATTCAAATATAGCGTATTATTACCACCTTGCCGGGCCAGTTCTAGGGGTTTTAGTGCTAGTTTAGAAGGCATTCATTTTACTATATCGACCTGAGAAATGTGTGACGTCATAGTGGTGGTCCATATGGACCGGTCTAGAATATATTCCCCGGGAAATCAGATATCGTTCAGTGCGTAAGATTTTCTTGCTATTTCAGCCCTGGTCGTTAACGGTGGTAATAATACTAATAACGTCATTTCTGCGAGCAATATAGTGAAATATTGGACCTTGGGCCTTCGGCCCTCGGTCCAATATTTCACTATATTGCCCTTAGAAATGAAGTTATTGTACTATTATAAACGCTACTCAGCACAGAGTTTAGTCAAAATGGACTAGATTTTTTCTCTTCAAGAATTTTCAATCCAGCTTCCCAGAGCTGACTTCTGTCAGATCGGTAGAGTAATACCTATTCTTGCCTGAAATTTTCTTGCATGGTCATTGACTGAATTTTGAACTGTGGCTAGAGTCTAGTAAGTCCAGACCAAAGACATCTTCTCACCTCAGGACCCAAACGCTCTGAAATAGGTCTTTTTCCAGAGTTGCTGGAACCATTGCTTTCAACATCTTGATCCTTTGGTGTACCAGTCCCCATATCATTTGAAACAGTAATTCTGAGTCCCTCATCTTCGGGTCTCACGATACCTCCCCGACCTTTCGTAGCACCGGGACCAAGTTTGGAAGATGATTTTATAGAGATAGGTTGAAATGAGCTCTTAAAAGACATCTTAATAGGGCATTTGGAGCCAAATTTGTAAATAATACAATAATATTGAAAAAAGCATGAAAATTACATTTTTAGAAATACGCATGCGCGGACTATCACAATTGTTTACTACATCAATCAGGGAGCGTAAAAGTACAAATCTAAACAACAACGCCTATCACGACATAAAGTGATACTTTTAATTTGAACGTATCTAAAAATAGGTAAATTGTAATTTTTCGATGATGAATATTTAGCAGATGTTTACGACATACTATCAGAAAAACCGAACGCACAAACATTAAGTGGCATATGCGTTCGATATTTTACTCTCTATCTCGTGAAAGTGTCGTCGGCAATCTTCGTCACTTTCCGTGATTGGGAAAATAAATTCCCAATTTTTGGCCCAAATATTGCTAAAATCACTTGAGAAGTGCTCAAAATGTTGAAAAACTGCATGATTTTGAAAGTTTGGCCAGGGGGACCCCCCCCCCCCCCATCTGGCTACGGACCATTATGATCCAGACACTTCAGTTTCTAAAGTATATGGAAGAATCCCGGGAGAAGATTTCAACTTTTATTTGAAAAATGGCGGGAAATCTGAATATTTGAGAAATGAAAAGCTGACAAATTTTTATCCAAAAATTTTCTTTTTCAAAAATGTCTAAGACAACTTTTAAAGTCAATAGTAAATAAATGAAAAAGTCATATTTACAAACTTTACATGGGGACTTTAATTAAGGTGTGTGGTCCGGATACTGAATTGAAATCACGACGATCATTAAAAAGACTAAATGCTGAGTCAATAAATTAATTTCGAAAATATAAAAAGACAAAAAACATCTACATTTAAAAAAGCCAAGTGATAAGTTAACCCTAGAAGCCCTAAGGTAAAAATAGTCACACGAACACCTAAGGGGGGGTCAAAAGGGCACCCCCCTTGTAAAATTTTTATTAGTAGAGCTAGGATGTTCAAACTTTTTCCACATATACTTCATTCAATTATCTACAACTTGGTATAAAAGTTTTAACAACTACGATGATGTGAGATTGCGTAATTTTATTCTTAAGACAACACGTATGGTAGAATTAGTGCTAGCTTTTTTCTGATTTTGTCTATTGGAGCTGATGATTACATCATAATAAATAAATAACAAATTAGTAAAGCTAGGATGTTCAACTTTTTACCAAAATATACTTCATTCAATTATCTACAACTTGGTGTAAAAACTTTGACAGCTATGATGATGAATGATTGTGTAATCTTATTCGAAAGATAACACGTATGGTAGAAATAGTGCTAGCTTTTTCCGATTTTGTTTATTGCAGCTGATGATTACATCATAATAAATCAGTAACCCTATGTACAATTCTGCTGATTTTTTCAGAAAACATGTCTTATATCTGTAGCTTCAGCTACTGAAAATTTGAAGACCCTACCAGATGCCAATAAAAAGTAATGGGGAAAAAACTTAACAGGGGGGGTCATTTTGACCCCCCCTTAGGGCTTCTAGGGTTAAACATAAAATCAAATACGTTCAGTGAGAAGATACGTTAATAAGTAAAATATCCTAATAACATGAATAATGAAGCTGAAGTCAATAGAAGACAAGGTGCAAAGATACTCAAACTGATTAATCATGAGCCCAACTACTATTGGATCGAGCTAGTAGTTGCTAGGGAGGGAAAGGGGGCAAACATATTATTTCATTAATTCATATCTCTAGGTCCTGGGTTGCGTACGGAATTGGGCCCAGTTTGGAATAGTCATGATGATAGAACTTTATATAGTCAAGATGGTTTAGGATAAGTGTGGCATCAATAAGACTTGAGATTAGGCTTTTGTGTTTCCATTCGAGTTTTCTTAGTGCGTGGAAATAACCATATTTTACATCGTATCACTGAGCTTAATAAATGTAATAAACATCGAACAGTTGAAGAAATGGTTCAATCAATTATATTGAACTGATGGTCACGTGACTAAGAAAATCAATTACACCACGATGGTGATACTCCAGACCTATGAGATTGAAACAGTTGAGATGAAATGAAAGCAAGATAGGTGGAAATATTATCAGAGAGTAACTACTATCTACATGCATCACTGGTAAGTTATATTTACAATAAGTCTTCCTTTCATCATTCTAGCGCGGTAAGGCAAAGCGTAATTGTGCTATTTTCTAAATAATCACTTAATTTCGACTATATATTGTGCCGAGATTGGAAAGGTTGATAGATTCATTAGTTTTAAGTGTAATATTATATTGTTTCTAGCGTGTGTAGCTCTGTATCTGATGAAATGAAGTAAAAGGAAATCAATTAATTACAAGAAAGAAGAATATAAATAACGAAGAAATGTATCCATTCCTCTTTAAGTTGCACTGGAAATAGTTTGATATAAAACTCTAGTTGCACTTGATTTGATTTTACGTCCCGTAAATTCTCCTCGGAAACGAAGCACCACTTAAGATTGGTGGAGATTGTTCAAGTAGATCATGTAGATAGAGCTGCTAATATTATGAAGGTGGAAAAGAACAAATGCGTTCAACGATTACTAACTTCATTTTACAGGTAGTAAAATTAGTGAATATTCGGAAATAGTTGATAGGCGCTCTATATCATTATTGCAAATGAAAAGAAAGGTTGCAATTTCCAGAAGTAAGTGATATTCATTTCAAATTCCTAGAATGATGAAACCTTCCAAATAATATTTGGCGAGGCAAAATCTTGGAGGCAAGAACTTCCGGAGGCGAACTAAGAATTTGAAATTATCTTCGAGGCGTTCGCATTGAAGACGTTGGGTCAGTCTGTTTCGGTAGCAAGTTCAACCACAGGGTGGAATGACTCCCAATTGATCATATGATCAAATCAGAGGGAAAAGAAGAAAGTTATACTTACATACGAAATGAAACCCCTGAATATTAAGGTCATGTTCTACTTACATACGAAATGAAACCCCTGAATATTAAGGTCATGTTCGACTTACATACGAAATGAAACCCCTGAATATTAAGACCATGTCGGTTATTGGCTTAGACGGTACAGTGCCCAATCAACCAACCAGGCATGTGATTTCAATTAAATGTTATATTCGGATTGATGAACTCGAGGGAATATGATTACCAGAAAAATCAATTATTTTGTGCGATTCGTGAAGAAATCCGACTTTCTGGCGGTTAAGGAATTGGACTTACAGGTCTGATTATTAAAACTCGGTGATCACGATCTAACAAAACCAGAAACACATTCGTATCCCGGATTTGTATATGATTCAGAACTAAACTGGAACTCTGCAGATTTCAAATATATTTACAATATTGTACTTTAAACCAGCATGCAGTAATGATCATTTACATGAGTAAAGTTATATTACATTACTAAAGTGTGTAAATCCCAGGTGAAATCCAGATTGATACTGATATACATATTGTCAGATCTAATTTAGAATGGAGTAAAAACTTGATTTGGGTGAGTACATTATTTCCGAATTACACATGGATTCCAGGAAACTTGGATCATCATGCCCCGACACCGTTTAGCAGAAGAGTAACTTGAATTTGAAAATAAACAATGTACTACCTATGTAATATTTTAAAACAAGCAATATATATTGAATATTTGAAAACGAAAAATTGAAAACAAGCAATTTATATCATCGAGATAGCCGCCCCTTTGTCTTTATCCTTCCAAACGGCAGATAAGAGTGGCTCTGGCATACCAGAATGAATTTATATTATATTGAATATTTGAAAACTAACAATGCTAATATTTGAAGACAAACATAGGTATGTAATATTTGAAATCAAACAAAGTATATGTAATATTTGAAATCAAACAAAGTATATGGAATATTTGAAAACAAACGATGCATATGGAATATTTGAAAATGAACAATACATAAGTAAATTTTCAAAAACAAACAATGTATAGTTGTAAACAAACAATGGATATATAATATTTGGGAACAAACAATGCATATGGAATGTTTGAAAATGAACAATATATGTAATATTTCAAAAACAAACAATGTATATTTTATATTGAAAACAAACAATTTATTAAACAATTGAAATCAAACAGTGTACATGGAATATTTTAATGCATATATCAATATTATAATTAAATAAGTTAACCGATCTAACAAAACCAGAAACACATTCCATATGATTCAACACTAAACTGTAATTGCAGTTTGTTAAATATTTACAATTGTATGTAAGACCAGCATCTCTCATGCTACATACATTATTCGCATTAGTCGATATTAATTTTGGTTTAGTTCGTAAAAGCTGGAATGAATATAAATGTGTGTAAATCCCAGGTAAAATCCAGGTAAACACTGATACTTATATACGAGGGGTGATCCAAAAGTCTTGGACGCCCTGCTCTAATTTTGTTGGTTTTTGATAAAATTACTTTAAACTTTCCAATAATAAAGACCAACAACCTAACTACTTTGTGTATTAATTTCATGGAGAAATGATATGTATTATGTAGTTTTCTAGACAGTTTTTAACATGGGGACCCTGCCACCCGGAAAGTTTCGTGCAATTATATTAGAAAATAGCAAAGTTAGAGCGGAGCGTCCAAGACTTTTGGATCACCCCTCGTATTGATATATTATCAGATCTAATTTAGAATGAAGAAACAACTTGACTTGGGTGAGTACGATTTCCGAATTACACATGGATTCAAGGAAACTTAGATGATCATCTTGTCCCGACACCGTTTAGTAGAAAAATTACTTGAATTTGAAAATAGACAATGTATATAATCACGCGTGATAATATTTTAAAACAAGGCATTAACATGACAAAATGTCACCACCTAGTTGCTCACAATATTATGAGTTCAAACTTAATATAAGTCAGATTTGAATTTCTGAGAACTTGTAAAGTCAAATTTGAACTTCTGAAAAGATGTAGATGATTTTGAAAAAAAAATTTGGTCAATTTGAAGCAAGTTGAAAACAGACCTTTTTGACCTTTTTTGACCTTGAGAAGGTCATTAAAGGTCAAATGTCAAATCTAAAGTCAGATTTGAATTTCTGAGAACATGTAGATGATTTTGAAAAAAAAAATTAGTCAATTTGAAGCAAGTTGAAAAAAGACCTTTTTGACCTTTTTTGACCTTGAGAAGGTCAAATGTCAAATCTAAAGTCAAATCTAAAGTCATATTTGAATTTCTGAGAACATGTAGAATGTAGATGATTTTGAAAAAAATTTTAGTCAATTTGAAGTAAGATGAAAAAATACCTTTTTGACCTTTTTTGACATTGAGAAGGTCATTGAAGGTCAAATGTCAAATCTAAAGTCAGATTTGAATTTCTGAGAACATGTAGATGATTTTGAAAATTTTTTTAGTCAATTTGAAGCAAGTTGAAAACAGACCTTTTTTGACCTTGAGAAGGTCAAATGTCAAATCTAAAGTCAGATTTGAATTTCTGAGAACATGTAGTTGATTTTGAAAAAATTTTTTAGTCAATTCGAAGCAAGTTGAAAAAAGACCTTTTTGACCTTTTTTGACTTTGAGAAGGTCATTGAAGGTCAAATGTCAAATCTTAAGTCAAATCTAAAGTCAGATTTGAATTTCTGAGAACACGAAGATGATTTTGAAATTTTTTTTAGTCAATTTGAAGCAAGTTGAAAACAGACCTTTTTGACCTTGAGAAGGTCATTGAAGGTCAAATCTAAAGTCAGATTTGAATTTCTGAGAACATGTAGATGATTTTGAAAAAAAAATTTAGTCAATTTGAAGCAAGTTGAAAAAAGACCTTTTTGACCTTTTTTGACTTTGAGAAGGTCAAATGTCAAATCTGAAGTCAAATCTAAAGTCAGATTTGAATCTCTGAGAACACGTAGATGATTTTGAATTTTTTTTTTAGCCAATTTGAAGCAAGTTGAAAACAGACCTTTTTGACCTTTTTTGACCTTGAGAAGGTCAAATGTCAAATCTTAAGTCAAATCTTAAGTCAGATTTGAATTTCTGAGAACACGTAGATGATTTTGAAAAAAAAATTTAGTCAATTTGAAGCAAGTTGAAAACAGACCTTTTTGACCTTTTTTGACCTTGAGAAGGTCATTGAAGGTCAAATGTCAAATCTAAAGTCAGATTTGAAGGTCAAATGTCAAATCTAAAGTCAGATTTGAATTTCTGAGAACATGTAGATGATTTTGAAAAAAAATTTAGTCAATGGGAAGCAAGTTGAAAAAAGACCTTTTTGACCTTGAGAAGGTCATTGAAGGTCAAATGTCAAATCTAAAGTCAGATTTGAACTTCTGAGAACATGTAGATGATTTAGAAAAAATTGAAGTCAGTCTAAACAGTATTTGTTAAGTTATAGGAAGTTGTAAGAAATTGTTACAGACGCCGGACGCCAACCGCCGGACGCCGGACGCCAACCACCAACCGCCGGACGCCGTCGCAAAAAAAACGGAGACCATAACAATATGTCACCACTTTTGGTGGTGACATAACAAGTAATATTATATTGAATATTTGAAAACGAAAAATGTATGCCATATTTGAAAACAAGCAATTAATATTATACTGAATGTTTATAAATAAGTTTACAGACTTTCTTCCTAATCAAAAAAGATACAACTATTTCATGCTGCTATGGCATCAATAATCTTTTGCAAGTTACGGTGTAATACTTGAACTATGTTTTTCAGAAAATGGAGGAATGGCGTGATTGAGCAACGTCCATCAAATATAAACATTGAATAGCCGAGACGTGATATTCCCTGAAAATCGTTCCTTCAACCTCGGTAAAAGCTATATAGCAACCTGAGAAAGAAGGATATGACGATAATGATGTAGCAGAACAAAGGGTTTGCGATGAAATTCAAACCGAGTTGATTAACCTTTATAGCGTCCGCGTTTGTCACGAGCGCCGGCTAGTGATTACTGCAGGGCAACTGGACTCTTCAACAAAGTTCATCACACCTGAGCGTATTAAGTCAGACCCGTAACGGTAGACCTCGGGTTTAGACGTACCGATGAATGGATCAGTGTTTCTTGCAACCTCATCCTCATCTGCGAGTATGTTTAAAAATAGAAGTCTAAAGAGGTGCAGACACTTTGAAACAGCCTAAGAAGTAGCAAACCTATGTTTCCCAGCACTCTCGATTTATTCTAGATCCACCGAAGTGCTAAATAGACAAAACAACGCCATATGCACAAGATATTACAACACGATAGGATAACATAATCAACGATGTTACAACTTCGATTAGTTCCATACCGAACAAGAAATCAACAAAGTAACTAAGTGGAACACTTACTTAAGGTCTCACGAACTTGTGAGGTGTGACTTCATTTCAACGGACAAATTGGATTTAGCTGGACAGTCAACATGTTTGCTGTTATTCTCGCGGTGCTTGTTCTGGCCGGGTGTCACCTCGTTCTAGGGGTGGTCAGTGTGGGCGTTGGGGTGATTGCCAGTATACAAGCAGAGGTTTGGTTGGCCCATACAGTCTCACCTATATGGAGCGGTGGATTTGTAAGTTTGACTTCATTCATTTTACGTTTTTAGAGATGATCCTTTTAGAGATGTTTGGGGTAGCCCATTATGGTGATAACTTATTTCTGTACATTCTGATACTAATCACAACTTTCTGTTTCAAAGCGGCAGTTTGCCTTCTACAGTTCTTGGAAGGAATAGAAAGAAGGCGACCGCCATCTCTTACGAGGTTGCTATTTGTGATTTTTCGTGTTGAGTAAAATACTAATATCCACATTGTATAATGTTGTGTAAAATCAAAATGACACATGCAGCAGCATATAGCAGGCCCCAGTGGAACTTTTTCACAGAGGCGGGGCGCAACAACGCATGTCTCCATGATCTATACGTACAAATACTCACCTCATTGGTTGTAACTTATATAATTTTATCTGGGCATGGCCAAACTACAATTATACAAAAAGTACATTTGTGCAGTTACATTAATCTATAGAGACATTGTGTTCTAACTGATTAGAATACGACATTGAAATGTCGTATCTGATGATGGAATACGCGCGTTGATATTCCCAGCTTGTTTTCCATCGCTTCATCATTATCACTCTTCGGTGATTCAATTCTTCCGATGTATTCAACTATTTCTGTCTGCATTATTAGATTACCCTTAACGAACTATAATAATTTCACAATATTCAGTAATAAATCGGCTGGGCTATTTTAATCGACTTTCGTCCCCTGAATGATGGTCCCAATTCTATACGACCCTTAACTGGTACTCATTTAGATAATAAAACTCGACATATCACTGTGAAACTTGTCCCGTACCATCAATGTGTAGACTATTTACCAAATATTTCATTCATACCTTGTTCATTTTTTAGAAAATCCGTAGAATCGGTCATTAAGCAGATACCCGGATCTTCTTATTTAAAACACAATAATGCAATTAAATTGATCCAGAAGAACCAGTTGATGTCATCATAAACTTTATGAACTTCAGTCCATTGGAGTTGTGAATAATTTCATAGAAAGTAAAATGCCAGGATGTACCGCACTGATTTGATACAATTATAGTTTCGTAAAGTAAAACTGACATGAATTTCAAATTTGCGTCATTTCTTGATCATGGGAGTTATTAGATCAGCTGGGTAAGAGTGTTCTTAAATTGACGGAATCTGCGATTAAATTGATCCAGAACATACAACCCAATGATGTCATCGTAAAGTTCAATGGAGTTATGAATAAATCTCAAACCATTTTATTAGTTTAGGGAATGGGTTGAACTTTTTGAAACCGGAGAATAGGTGTATATTCTCCGAATGCAGGAATGGAGACATCACCACGTTTATTGACCGTCATTGTATCGTTGTATTAACTGTGACTCCTGTGATCAGTCCATGGACTCGTGGTTGGCTAGGTTTTTTTGGCCACTTGCTCAATACTATTGACAAATACGGCAGTCTATAGCTACATAGTCCTTTCACTATATGCCAGCTTATCAGATATCTTAGAAAATAACTTCCTCTCTAAATATTTGCACCATCGATTCTGAGTTTAGATAGACAGAATCTATGAATTAGAGATGACATGCGATCTATATCTTAATGTTAAAATAGCAAAACGCCACGCAATAACGTTACCGCAGCCAATGCCTCAAAGTCACGTATCATTCGGAGAATATAATGGATGAAGGTCGGATTCCTCCCTGCAGTCAAAGTTCTCTATAGACAAGCCAAATCGAATGAATGCAAAGTCCTTAGTCCCTGAATTGACAAATCATATCTTTCAAATATTGCCCTTTGTAGTTTCTTGTCTGATTCTTATTTAACAATTAAGGTTTTTATTGAGTTTTAAGATGACCTGGATTGAACTAATGAATGAATAATTACAAGGAGCACACGCGTCTCAAACCTCGTGGTTACGTCAACCATTCGCCTAGAATGAACTAGTAACGTAAACTGCGAGTTGTCAGTCACTGATAACTCAGTTTTACAGACCAAATGTCCAAATGGATCCACATAAAGCATACGAGACCTTTCATCTGTCAAGTTACAACCAAACTCAGTGTTCATGACAAAACTGGTGGAAAATTATGCTCAGAGAACGTCTTTCGAACAACCTTAAAGTCCCCGTCTAAAGTTTGAAAATATTTTTTTATCATTCATTTACTATTTGTCAGGACTTAAAAAGTGATTTTAGAGATTTTTGAACAAAAATTTTTTTTTGAAAAAAAAGTTGTGAGCATTTCATTTCTCAAATATTCAAATTTCCCGCCATTTTTCAAAAAAAGTTGGAATTTCTTAATCATCAAATATTTCTTAATGCATTTCAAAAAGATTATATTTTTAACACCAATGCAAAGATTGAACAAAAGACACACTATTTCAATGATAAAATGTCATATTTAATGGGCCACTTCAATGTTTTAGCTTATCAAAAATATTTTGAAACATTAGTGATGTCACTAAGGTAACAAAAACTTTTTGAAAAAAATTGAATTTTTTTTTTCGATGTCAATCTTTTCTAAATATGCTAGACTTTCATAAAAAAAACAATATTGATTGTCTAACCAGGTTAAAAGGAAGAATAAATTATGTTTTAGATATCATTGTACCATTGGTTTCTATGAGAACTAAAATTTTGAAATGCATTTTTCTCAGAACCATTTTCATGCACTGATAAGTTCATTTCTCGCTTGTTTATCAACCGATTTTCTTAATTTCTTCGGCAAAAAACATGGGAGGATGTATGCTATGCATTGGTATGAATTGTGGCTAATTAGAAGATATGAGTGACCTCTAAAAGTTGGTTTTAAACAAACTCACAAATTTTGGAACAAAAAGTCTATCAAAAACCACTTTTTGAAATTAAAAAAAAAAGTTTCACATATCACACTTTGATAACATTGGGTAAGACTACAATATAAGCCAAAGTGGTTTAAACTTTACATGGGGCCTTTAAGACTGGTGATCAATCAAGTGCCTGATCTCTCGAATTGCACTAATATCGCCTTGAGCTCTAGCGTTGCTTTCTTTTCAAAGTGATTTTGCAGAAGTCAATACACTGAATACCTTTTGACGTCATGAGACCCAATTAAATCCACTGGATGTTAATTAACTATCATAATGATGGTACCATAATTATATTATGTTACTTTTATATACTAATATTAAGTTTTACTTCATCATCTAACTACATCATTAAAAATAATGAAGTGAAACCCCATGCGAATGATGAACTGTCATTAGCCTATTCATTTGCTAATCACTTGCCACTGAGCTGCAAGATAACTAGGGAGGCTGATATCTTTTACTAATCGGTAATCATCACAGACAGAGTGAGTGACAACTGAACAACATTAGGATAACTCCATTCACCACAGCGATTCACGATGAACAAAGACTTTAAAATCTTGTCCGTATTGAAGAGAATGTAATTATAACTATACTAGTATACCTTATCATATCATTTCGCTATGGCCGCCTCGTAACATCGATTTTCTCACGAACTCCCCTTTTTCTTCATAATAAACGACGATGATAGAAAGAATACCTCAAATTACGCGATATTGGAACAACGGAAATTAATAAAACCTATCAACATAAGGTCTCTCCAAAGGTTGGATATTCAATATAAGCTAAGGCTATTATTAAAGGGCAAAACAATATTCAAACCCTTCAACTGGAAAAGATCAAATGCACTCGTAAAGTCGTAAACGTTTACTAAAACACATCAAAAGTTCCTAAAGATGACAATATAGTTTTAAATTGGAAGGTTTTTAGCAAGTAAGGGACTACTCCTTTGGTAAACCCCACCCCAAAAGAGATATTGCCAAAAATTGTTGGAAAGTAAATCATGTGACAGTTTGTGTGTCACTGAAGACATTCTGAGCGATACTTCTTAAACGATTGTAGCTAGATTTATTATGACGAAAGTATAACAAAAGTAAGATGCCTAAAGTGACAGGATGCCTGTCACAAAAATTGAAGCCTTAATAATAATCTGTCACATCTCGAATGTGACATATTGATGAAAATAGACATTTGTTTTCTGTAATTCTAATAAATAGATTTCCGTTTTGAGTCTAATTGGTTATCAACGAAAAGGTAAATCATATTGCATGATTTCACCTTTAAAATAGAACTACGCCTACTTAACATATAATGGACGTACGAAGCTCTGCACTCGCTCTCGTGATCATTTTTGGGATCATGTAGCGGGAACGTAAATACGGTTGCTAATTGAGGTGATGTCAAGTTGATAAAGGAGGATATTACGAAAAGAGAATAATAACAATTTATAATTATGCCATGTAATATACCCCTTTAAAGTATAATTGCACCAATATTCGAGTTGTGTGTTTCCGCTAAGTTTTTGTCAAATGCCAATCTTTTCTGCTAATACAATTTGTTCACATACTTGTACTTGCACGGAATACCACTCAAGAGCAGTTCAATAGCAAAAAATACCAATTCAAGAGAAACTCTAAGAGCAAACTCTTCCATTGATCGATCAACCGGGATATTATTACTTTTGTTCAATACTTTGCACGTATTTTTGTTCAATACTTTACTCGTTTTCTGTTTTGTCTTTTATACCTTGCGCTGCATCGTAGTCTATGCTCAAGAGAATTATTCCGTTTAAATATAATATTCATATTTATCTGCATTCTTTTCCTCATTGTCTTTTTCAGTTTATCATCACTGGAATACTTGGATTTGCCTGTGCCAGAAAGAAAACTTCATATGTAGTAAGCATTATTACATGAGGCGGTACTGTTGTTTTACATACTACTAACTGTAATGTACGCATACATGAAATACACGATCGTACGTGGCAAATTTGAAAATCAAATAGGACGATCGTACGTGTCATATCTGAAATTCGAAATACACGGTCGTACGTGTCACATCTGGAAATCAAATACACGATCGTATGTGTCATATCTGAAAATCAAATAAACGGTCGTAGGTGTCATATCTGAAAATCGAAATACAAGGTCGTACGTGTCATATCTGAAAATAAAATAAACGGTCGTAGGTGTCATATCTGAAAATCGAAATACAAGGTCGTACGTGTCATATCTGAAAATAAAATACACGATCGTACGTGTCATATCTGAAAATTGAAATACACGATCGTGCGTGTCATATCCGAAAATCAAATACACGGTCGTACGTGTCATACCTGAAAATTGAAATATACGATCGTACGTGTCATATCTGAAAATCAAATACACGATCGTGCTTGTTATATCTGAAAATCGAAATACACGATCGTACGTGTCATATTTGAAAATCGAAATACACGACCGTACGTGTCAATACACGATCATATCATACCTGAAACTCGAAATACAAGATCGTAGGTGTAATATCTGAAAATCAAACACAAGTCATAAACGTGTCATATCTGAAAATCAAATACACCATCGTAAATGTCATATCTGAAAATCAAAATACACGGTCGTACATGTCAAATTTGAAAATCAAAATACACGATCGTATGTTTCATATCACGATCGTACGTGTAATATCTGAGAATCAAATACATGGTCATAGTATTAAACGTGTCATAGTCGAGATACTCGATCTGTACGTGTCATATCTGAAAATCAAATACACTATCGTAAGTCTGATATCTGGAAATATGATCGTAAAAAATAACACAGGCTTCATCAGCAATATTCTTATGCTGTTATGGTTAAATATGATTTGCATTGACAACGCAGGCTTATTTCAGTTAATAAACAGTATGCTTCGTCAAATATTTGACGTCGATATATTAATATTTGACTTGATTAGTAGTATGCAGGGCGACATCATCACCTCGATTTATATGAATGTATACAATCGTCAGTAAAGCCAACATAGTATGCTAACAGACGATAAAGATTCCTACGTTTACATTATCAGTTTATCTTCGATTGATCTAATCTCCTTTTCTAAATACAGAAATCGATGAGTTTCTATCATTAGAGGAATAATTGGAAATACTGCAAGATTCACTCCCCATTCCGCTGTGATAAATTCCGACACATTGATAAAGACGTCTAGAAAATCTAGTCGAGGCATTTACCATGTGTGATTTATAGATTCTACATTGGTTTATTATGAGAAAAGTATAGCCCCGATGATCATTTCGTTTCTGAATGATTATAATGATAGGGAATCACGTTTGCCAAAGCTAGCAAAGCAATTGATCGTCTAAACTATGATAAATTATAGCCTCGCTTGCCTATAGAAAACTAGGAAATTGTTCAGTTTAAGACTTGTACCAGAGGCTGATAATTCATCCCACTGGTGTAGTTTTTCTCTTTTAATAGCGTCTGCACAATTTCTACCAACCTATTCTAAAGAAATAAACAATTTCTATAAATTGTAAAACTTGAAATGATATTACATGATAACTAATTAGGCTTCTGATAAGTAGTTTTTCTATCATCTGTTTCAGATATTATGTTTCACGGCGTTTTCTATAGTGTCACTTGTGACGGCCGTTGTAAGTATCCAACTGTTGAGATTGGGCCTAGTAAACCATACTACAGACGGTCACACCTTCCAGAAGGCCGAAAAGGACATTTTAATAATAATAGCCCTAGTGGACGCTGGTGCCGAATGTCTGGTGTGTATCATCTCTTCATTCGTCAGCTGCAGGGTGGCTAAGCTGGCCAAGAAAGAATTGTTTAAGAAAAGAGAGGGGACTTTTCACGTTCAGGTATATGGAGATAAAGATATTGTCGTGGTGTCAAATCCCCTGAAATCTGACGCTGACACGGCAGTTTGATTAAAAGTAACATAAAAGTCATCCTTGTCTGTATCTTCGCTTTATTCGAACGCAGCGAAGCTTTAGCTTGTGTTAAATATTCACTGGTAATCCCAGAATCACCTTAGATTTTTGATTCAGATCAGCTTGGGCCCCACGATAAGTGAGTGACTTAAAATATGACTGAATCAAAAAGAATATGGCGAAATTAATTAAATTCTGGGCATCATATTTGGATATTACATCGGTGAACCATGAAACATTTCAGAATTGCAGCTAAGTTGTAATCTTGTAAGCTGACAAGCAAGATGAACACAGGCTTTTAGTTTGTAATCTCTTTTGTATAGTTTCTAGTAGTACAAGCTTAAAAGGCAAGATAAACATGTAGCCTTTAGTGTACTATTCTAAAAATACAAGATACCAGATTTTAATCTCGGAATGATAATATCCAAAAATGACGCGCCAAATTCAAGAAGCCATTCTTAATCTAAAAATGTGTGTTTGTGTGTGTATGCAAAGCAACTAGTGTCTGTATTTCTAAAACAGATCTATGAATATATATATGTACAGAGAGAAACAAAGCAAGACAAATAAATCAAAGGATGGTCATTGTTTATCCGCATAAATAAATTATTTCCAGACAATCTGATCTGATTTGATATGAACTTATCTTGTGTGCTGTTGCCTATTTGTGGTTGTCTCTGTTGTTTAATTGCCATTGTCAATATTTGCTTAGTGCCTATTGATCGAGGAATGCCGATTCACTTATCACCAGTCACAGATGCTTTTTTAATCTGCAGGCTAACACCGTCAAACACCAAACTCTTGCAGTCCGGGAGGTGCTGTCTCATGTTTCATTAACTTCTACACGTGAATCAATAGTACTATCAATTTAATTATGAAACATGGAAATAAGTATTCACTTGTAAATACAGTATCTGTTTGTTTACAAGGATGGGTAGACAGATTAGTTGCGGTTGCCCATTAGTTGTTAAATGAATTAGAAGTAAAAGACATGAAAGAAACGAGATGAGAGTATGTAAGTTTCAAAATAAAGTCACAATTTTCATATCATACAATGTCAATGTCATCCTAATTCTTTGATTTTTAAAGCTTATTTAAAGTTATTTCCCTTTTTGAATTGTAATGAATTTGGATATTTCAGCAAGTTAAATCTTTAATAACTTTTATGTTGTGATCACATAATTTAATGCTTTCTTGAATAAAATAAGATTATCATACGTTTTGAAAATATCACTTCCTAACACTTTTCACTCTATAAATCTTCGCTGCCCGTTTAGATAAAATGGAAATTTTGAGACAGTCCCTCGCCGCCATTTTGTTTTATTTCATACTTCAAGCGATTGTAGTTTCCCGGGTATTCCGGCCCCTCTATCCCCATTGATTTCGTACTTTATCAAATCGGGGATTGGGGTAAAAACATACTGACATCGTGTAGCTGTAGTTCTCAATGTACGTGTGCATCCCACAAATGTAGTTGTGAAGTGTTTCACGAATGTTCAGGATGAACCACCAACGGTACCATACCCTTTGCATTCGTTCGACTTCACTTCTTAAAGAGAGCTAGCGCTTCGTCTTCAGTTTAGTTTATAACTAGACTCTGCGCGCAGGGTAACCGGGCCATAGGAAAACGTAAACATAAGTAATCACGGTGTTCATCCATTCTGATACTCATCACATCTTTCTGCCCTCAACTAAGAGAAGCTAATAAAATGCCATGATTTCTCATGATGGTGTTCATCCGCCATGTTAATTCTTGGACCATCACCCATTATTCTGAATTGGCCATTATCAATTTCATGGGCCTCTTCATTGGGACTAACCAGACCTCTTCTTACCCAAACTCTGCGGAGGAAGACTAGTTGCATCAATTTGAGATTGATAGTACAATTGACGACAATTCACAGTTCTGCACTGTTTCAGCAATTTATGATCAATTTTGAAATTCCCAAATTCACTCTCAATCAACCTGACCTTGTCCTTGATAGCGGGAGTAACGACCTATAAGAGCAACTTGGTCTATCAAAGAATTCAGCTCACTGAACCGTATATTGTAGTTGTCACACTAGCACACTCGGGAGTTGATGCTGTATCTCATCATTTGTAAAGTTATGTTAACAGGTTACAATATCTCATATACACAGTGATATACATGTATTGATCACGTACATTCACAATGTAAATTAGTGAAACATAGACAATGCACATCAGCAGATATTGTGTTTGTAAAGCTATAGTCTTGTGTGCTTCTTCCTACAGTCTCGTTCTCTGCTACTTCTCTATGTCATCTTTACACTTACAATAAAATGACACATAATCATAGAAATTATAATTTGGCCATGTACTGATAAAAATGAGAATAGGGAGAAAATCAGCACTCTCTGATTTTGATAGAAATAGACCTTACATTTCTAAATCAACTTATTCAAGACAAAATTGGCCATTACGAACTGAAATCAACTGAAAATAAAACAAGTATTTCATTAATACAAAAATTGATATCTTGCATTATTATTAAACCTTTAAATAGTGATCTCAATAAAAGAAAATTGCAATGTTTTATTTTTTATTCTATAAATATAAAGAATGTAATCTAGAGTCAGAGAGTGATAACTGAATGCTGAAATAAATTGATGATATTCAACATAACTGCATGTTTCTATGAATGTGCTGAAAGCATGTTGGTCTCTATCACTATCACAATATATTTCCTCACTTATTCAGCCCCCTTTCTTGGCAATCATTTCTACATCAAAAGCAATGTCACATCAAGATTTAATATTTTCAACTTAATTTTCATCATCAATACATCAGCTAAACTTGGCTATTTTTGACTGTAGGATGAAGCATACATGAATGGTATCTATGGCAACGATATCTATGGCAATGGAAACTATGAGAATGGTAACTATGTGAGTAACTATTTTCAAGAGAACAACGCCTTCATGACTGATGGCAGTAGGTTTACATTCAGTGAGCATGACATCGAGCTACAGGTAGAGGGGGACAGTGGGGAGACTATCACCCCGGAGATTGATGGACTCAGTGCACCAATACAAAAACATAAACGTGAGAATCCTGATAAAAAACATGAGAAATCAATTCGATTTACATTACCAACTGATATAGAATGTCAAGAAAATGGATAGTTACACCATGATGAATATTACGTGAATCTAGATCATTCCACCCATAGTGCCTGCACCGAGACTGCTGTATATTGTAACTATAGAAACACAAAGTTCATCCATCACCATGACAACATGCAGAAAAATATACATCAAAGACATAATCATCACTTTGACAACATGGAGAAAGTATGTGGATTAGACACATTTCATCACCATGGCAACAGATCAAGGATATCATAAAATCATGAACAATGGATAGATAATCTATCAAACATAAATGTGAAGTAATATAACATGTATGCGGATGGACACACTTTACCTCAAATGCCCAGAGGGAGCGACGGAGCGTAGGAAGCTTACTTGAAATTGTACACAGATTCTCACTTTAATCTGACACATTATATCTCAGATTATGTATGACTTGTATTTTACATGCTACCAATAAATGCTTTTAGCTGTAAAAGCATGGATTTAGGTGTCGATAACTAATAGCATTATTAGCAATATGGTAAATATGGAAGTAGTTTGACTTCAGGGAGAAATTGAGGCAGTCTCATATGATAAGGCCGGTACAACTTAATTTAAAGGGCTTTATTTTTCAAGACTATTTTTTGACATACACAAAAAATAACATGTCATACAGACTAGGCTTACTGTAAAAAATTCTAAAAACATTATCTCTGAGCAGACAACTATGTTGTACAGGCTTTACATATTTTACAAACATTTACAAAGAAGTATTATTTCAAATACCAAATAAATTGTATATAGGAAGTACATATTTATAGAATAAAAAAATAAAACATTGCAATCCTCTTTTGATGAGATCACTATTTAAAGGTTTAATAATAATCCAAATTATCAATTTTTTATGAATGAAATACTTGTTTTATTATTACTCCTTGGAGATCCATATCCCATTTTAGCAGGAAATAATACCAGGTGTTATTACCTCATTGTCATGTTACTTATTCTCTGATTGGTAGAACACAAGTCACATGACATATCCCTTGATGTTACTTATTCTCTGATTGGTAGAACACAAGTCACATGACATATCCCTTGATGTTACTTATTCTCTGATTGGTAGAACACAAGTCACATGACATATCCCTTGATCATTTTGTGAGCCTCATTTTGTATATAAAGTGAATATCTCCTAATTTCTGACACTTTTTATCATCTCATCCAGACTCTGGTTCAACCATAGGCATAACCAACTTGCCAGATTCCAAATAGAAGTATAACCTTGGGATTTCAAAATTAGATGAGAATGGTTGCTTTGCACATTCCCAAAACATCATTTCATTTTTAATTCATCGGACATGTGCTTGACAAATCACTGTGCATGGCAATTATATATATTACTGACCAAATATTTCAAACCATTGAGATGAATACTACTACCTGTAATCTTTCACATACTGTAGATTGGATTAATTTGGCGCCCGCTTTAATTTGGCGAATTTGGCGAAATTGAAAAATTCGCCAATATAAATCTTCGCCAAAATTTAGAATGAATCCCCGGGAATTATCTAGGGTTTTTGTCCAGTGTGTTTAGGTCACTTCCAGTTTAGTTTTTTCCAAAAATATGAAAAAATGTCTCTCATAAATTGGCTCAGAACTGGTCAGTCACTCATTAATACTCAGGGAAAAACTAGAAAGAAAAATCGCAGTATAGTATCAGCATCGATCGAGGTGCAAAATGTAAAGGATGATCTCACAAAAATGTACAAACGTGGCGGATATCGCCAATGGTCTTCAAAAGAAAAAATGAATAGCCAAACATGCCCATTTACATGGTAGGCCTAATTCGCAAACAGCGCTTAAGTTTAATTTTTTTTGCATATCAGCCAAATTAAATAGCCGCCAATATGCCAAAAATGGCAAAAACGCCAAATTAAGTAGCGCCAAATTAACCCAATCTACAGTACATGTATTTCAGAAAGTGTTAAGGCTCGTGGAATATCATCTTGTAAAAGTGCCACGGGTATTATATAAATAGAATGAAATATTTGTTTTAATAAATGAGATATGAAAATTCCAGAAAATAGTGAATACATCTTTTGTATCAATGGTTGCCTAATTTGTTAAGCATCGCCAGGCCAGTGAATATCACCTGATCTTTCATGTCATGTGATTATGTTTTAACCAATCATACAATTGTAAAGTGTATACCATATGTGATGTACTTTGTGCTTAAGAGTTATGTGAATCAAAATGGTGTCTTGGTGCCTGATTTGTGACTGTTTTGTAATGTTTAAACAGAAAATGACAGTGAAAATAAACATTTGCAACAAAAGTCTTCTGTTTGCAATTTCATTTTCAACCATTTTGTATTTCTGCAATCCAGGCATTCACCATGTTCAAATTGTACTATTACTTGAGTAATTAATTGGTTGACATATTAAATTATATTACATTCTATATCCCCCAAGGCAATTTCATAAGCCTATTAACCCGAATAAAACTGATATAACGAGCCCATGATTACCAATTACTCAATTACTTCACCCAATAAACAGGGGTTCAATAAATGCGATAAAACATGTATATATGAACACCTCTCGGAATCGGAAAACTTCTCAATGTGACCACTTTCTTTGACTTAATTTTCTATTCTTTCATTGCACTTGAAATATGAAGACCTGCTAATTTGAACACTTTTGGCCTGTTCCAATGGCATTTGGAATAGGGAAGTTTTGCTGTATTTTAAGAACTACAGATCCCATAAAATTCTTAAAAAATTCTCAAAAAATAGAAGATGATACATTCATAATGAACAAAGGATGACATAATTTCTCCAGATTTAAGCAACTAAGGGAATTAATTATAAGGACACCAAAATCATACAGAGAAATACTAAGAGAACACTTATATGTAGCCTTGCCCAAGTCGGTCTCTTTTACTTATCTTGATTTCTATTATGGTAATAATTCAAGATCAGATAAGTAAAAAACACTGACTTGGGCAAGGCTAACTTATATGTTTTTCAATTGAAACCATGAAAATGAAGTATTGTGATAGTATTATTTTTCCCTTTAACTCAAATTACTGAATTGTACGTATTCATCAACTAATATTTGATATATCCATGAATATTTCCATTACACTGTAGAATTTACCTACTATTAGATCATGGCTTAACCCCTGTTCTATACATTATTAGCATTCATATTTTGTACATGGACTTAATTGTACGTATTCATCAACTAATATTTGATATATTCATGAATATTTCCATTACATTGTGTGTGCCAAAAGAATGCCTTTGATAAATGAATATGCATTAGTAGTAATTTCCCATCCTGTGAAGTATATTTATTAATAAGCTTGCCTACAGAAAATATTTATGAAAGAGAATGTAGGTATTTGAATATAATACTTCAAGTCGCTCAATTGAAAATATTGAACCCATACATTGAACCCAGATGTATTATTGCAAAGTAAAACCTGTCAAACGCCACCAGGATTGTCCAATAGGTGTTCAGACTGGCAGGTGTTCACATTTCAAGGTATTTAAACATGGCAGATTAAGGTATTGACATGCAAAATGTCACTACATGCCACTTGTTACAGACCCTGACCACCGAACACCATCCACAAAAATGTTGGGAGACTATAACAATATTTTGTACTGTACAAACTCATATTTGGAACAGTAAGTGACATCATTAGTTCCATTAATCAAGCCTTTTTAAGCTATTACTACACAAGCTGTAGAGTATTTAGTCTATTTTTTCTTAGCCCTCTGAAGGTTTGGTGCCGACACCTTCACTTTCCCTGGCATGTTCCTGGATAGATCTGTGTCCTAGAAGTAGAGAAACAATGAGTAAACAAAGATAAAATAGGTTGGTGCTACAATGTTAGGGACCTCATCCTAAGTAAAAATATAAGGGATCATACTTTTAACATTAAAGATATCTTTTAAACTACTGATTGAAAACATCATTGCACAACATATCAATCTTTAATACCCTTTGACATAGCTAAGTCATCTAACCCATTTTCCAGCTGTATTCCAAAATTCTCTACTTACCTTAACACTTTTGAAAAGGTCCCTCTCCCTTTGTCCCGTGTACTTCTCATGTTGGAAAATGTTAAGAGCTGTCTTGGCAGCTGAAATAATAGAAAATATGATGCATGATAAAATATATATAGTTTGGAGCAGCATTTTGAGAAAACTGCAATAATTGAAAGCATTCATGTTTGTACATGTAAAACATAGAAACTTCAAATCAATGAAAATAATTCAACAAGAAATAACCACTTTTTGCTATGATTCACAATAATGAAAAATCTGCCAAAATGTAAAATAGATTTAGATAATGAAGATAGATTTCCAATGTTCTTTCTGAATTTGGGAATTTTTAAACATGTAAAAATGTAAAAGGTGCTGGAAAACTGAATTCCAATACCCTGCACACAGAGTCTAGTTATAAACTACCCTCTACCTAGTATAGACTATATTACAGTTTAGCAGTCCCTCCCCAAGAATTGGTGCCTGTGACAGCCAGAGTAGTAAATCATTCAAAATCAACCACGCTGACCCTTTCTCAACCAATCAGCGAAGTGGAAGAAACACATGCTAAAAACATGCTCATTAACTATGCGGGGATGTGTTAGAGGAAATGACCATATAGAGACAAGTCCATATTTTGACGACGAATTCTGATTGGCTCGGTGAGACAGAGATTTATTGTAAATTGAAAAGAGAGAAGACGAAGCTCTTTTTAAGAAGTCCAGTCAAACGAATGCAAAAGGCAGAATTCCAATGGTATATCTGTTCAATTAGTCTACTAAGTTTCAGATATTTTGAGTGCCTATGTCACATAATAGAATCGTGCATACCAAACCTTTCATTATACTCTAGAATTATATCATACATTATATTATTATGTAATATGAGCTTTACACAGGTACCAAGTTATTAATAATATTGTTACATAGAATTCTATGTTGAATAATTATGAGATCAATCATTTTAGAGAATGAAACAATTTGATATATTCATATATATTAAATCAATTAGCCTTGAATGTTCCCAGGTTATGTTGTATAATATATGTAATATGCCTGCATATTATGAATGTTGTATATGATGCTAACATCAAAGATTATTATCACAAAATGAGACAATTGAATTTATGGATACTGTCGCGCAAAATGACAAAATAAAACTTACAATTACAATTTTACAATTTATTAATTTCAATTTCGTCACAATACACAATCATGTATAGTTAGTCTCTCATTGACATTACTGAGTTTGTATGACATAAAGTGTAAAATGTTGCACCATTTGAAACCTATATATATTGCGCCATTTCAACAATCTCTTGGAATAGACTTCTATAGACTTCTAGTTCTTGTAGAGATTGAATCGTAATCAAAATATGCAAAACAAATTACTATTAAAACTTAGCACTAATTTTCATTCATATCTTAATCTATATTTACAAATATATAACTTGAGAAAATTCTTCAAACACAGCATATTCACTCTACTATACCTAACCCCTAGAAATGCATAAGATACTCTGATTGTCTAATTGCATTGTTTAATATATTTTTGAAAGTACCTTATTAACATCTAACTGTCAACCGATAAACCATTAATAAGGAACAGCCAAATAAAAACAAATAACATAATTATTACTAATACGTCAAATGGGTTGCTCATGAACACCAAATGTAAGGTATAGTAGAGTGAAAATAGTAGAGTGAAAATTGTCCACAAAAAAGTTGGAGACTAAACTCATATTTCCGAATGCAACTTTTGGTTGTTGGCTACCGGATTAACCTACTATTTTATGACCACCTCATTTAAATATGAATGGAATAGTGGCAGGTACTTTTCAGATGCCAATACAATAGTAGGTTAATCCGGTAGCCGGAAGCCGATAGTTGCATTTGCAAATACAAGCTTAAACGATATGTCATCACTTCTGTTTGTGACATGATAAAAGGACAAGGGCCAAATAAGTGCAATTCTCGATAAATAAAGCAAAACATACCTGGGTGCTTGGGGCTATTGTTTATTCTTATTATAAAGTTGAAAACATTACATCTGTTTTACATTGCTTGGGAGGGATTAAGTGATTGGTTTTGGTTTTTATATTACCTTCCCAATTAACTATTATTGTGTCCCAATACAGGATGAATGAAAATTCATCAATTAAAGTAGACATATTGTCAATAAATCTTGCACTTGGACATTCATTATTTCTATTTCACATTAACATCTGGTTAAAAGAGTGGGGTGTGTTTTATAAAAGGCCGAATGCGATTTTTTATGATTCTGAGTGTCTAGGATCTTGATTAGTACCACGGTATAAAAACAAAAAGTAGCTAAAACATTACTTTTAATCATACTTTAGTGTTCAATCATACATATGTTCAGTCATTTTGAACTGATACTACCTAATGAAATGTGGATATACTTTAAAGGTGTGTTATATTAGCTTGATTGAGTCGCAGGTGAACTTACTGAATAATTCATCGACAATACATCCACTTCCCCTTTGATTAGCTTTACATGTAAAAGGAACACAAAATTTTAATCAAGGTCACATTTGTCTATGATATTTCAGATAAAATTGTCAATTTGGTTACTCTTTTATCTTCAACATGATTAAAGTGCCTGCATTTACATTCATTTCATATCTCATAATTTAGAAAGTAGAAAGTAGAATTTAATTACTTTTGTCTCAGTCACATTTGTTTTACCACAAGTTTATGGTTGTCATTAAGTTCCCCTATGTAACCTATGGCAGCCAAAGAAAATCAACTCTTGCCTCTAGGTCACCGGTGACATACCCTGTGCGCAGAGTCTAGTTATAAACTACCCTATGCCTAGTCTACACTTTATTACAGTTTAGCAGCCCTGGCCCAACGACCGAAATATTGGACCATTCAGTTGCTGTAGCAAATGTGAATGTCATTGAATCTTTAAAGGAGTGGTATCGATATGGTGAACACACATTTTTCTTAAACCAGCCATCAAAAAATTCTGAAAAATGTACACATTTTCAATTTAATGGCCATCTTTTGGATGGTAACATTATAATTTTAAATATATATATACACTTTTCTGTATATTGTTTTAGAAAACACATCAGACACTTCTTTTGTTCTAGGAATGAAATGAAACATCTATCCGAACCTCATTGGAACAAAACGTTTATCTTAATTTTTATCTATTTCCGTCAAAGCAGACAGGAAATGAAATTGTTCTTTGTTTCATTTTTTATATGATTGTACACATGAACAGTACGTTCCTTTGTAGGCACAATATTCATTTTGACTTGTACAAATCAAAGGGTTGTAGATCTATAAAATCTTGTATTTAATGAAATATACAGTTATTCAACTTTCATCCATTAAAAAATCCAAATAAGGTAATTTCATAAACAATAATATCCATTACTTTGGTATAAAATGAAAAACTTGGGGGGGGGGTCAGATAATTCACAGAGGTACTATTGCTCAATTTACTACTGATCACATAGATACTTTGTAAACAGGTCTACTATCACTCCCCCCAGTTTTCTGCAAGTTAAAATGCTAAATTCTGCAAGTGAAATTAGTGAATTCTGCAAGGGGAAAAGGCTAATTCTGCAGAAATTCCGCGGAAAATATCGTGATAGATATAATTAAAACGGGAAAATTTCATGATAGTTACATAGGCAGTCACTACGTCACTACTCAATACATGCTGCCATCTAGCGACAGAAATCAAATGACGAAGTTTAAAACTTTCACTTCGCATAATTTGGTAATTTTTGGGTTATTTCTACAAGGGATTTGACTGAAAACGTGTGAAATTGTTGGGGAAATTGTTACAGGTAAGACTGACTATTCAAACTTTTGGAAAATATATCGATTCCGCGGAAAATTCCGCGGAGATTGGCCAAAATAGTTGATTCTGCAATTCCGCGGGCAAAGGCAAATTCCGTCCGCGCTCTGCAAACACGGAATCCTGGGGGCAGTGTACTATGATCTACTATTATATATTTTAACCTTGGACTGCAGAGAAATCTCATCAAGTCCATGCTCTGAGGACTGGAGCAGTCATTCAGTTTAAGGTAGTTGCACATTGGCAAAACATTTAGGCCTACATGTGTATAACTACCTTAAATCACATAAAAGAACAAAAGATCAATAATAGTTTGAGGGAAAGGTAGCAAAGAATTGTTCTTTTCAGGATAACTAATCAATATGACATTTTGTTTTCCATGAAACTAAGAAATAAGTAACAGTAATTGAAGCGAGAAGTGAGAAAAATAATATGGTGAAAAAAAGTAATATGGTGAAAAATATAATATGGTGAAAAATATAATATGGTGATCATGTTGTTAAAAATGGGAAAAAGAGAAACCTATCAAATTAATTAAAGCTATCAATATTGTATGAGCTACACTAAAAATGCAAGGAAATGCAAGAAAAGAAAGTTTATTTGAACTTCACGCATAAAAGTGTCCATAGCCATTGAGATGTTAGCCAGGGGCTTGAGACAAATAAAAAAATATGACATTGATCTTGGATTAATATTGGCAATTCACTTTATTCAACGTAAAATCGATTATGAAAAAGTAAAAACTCAGGTAAAGAATTTGAGTAATGTGAGACCTCCTGAGCATTGCCTGGCTATTGTATCAACATTATGGTTTTAATAATTCTCTGTTTTATACCCATAAAAACCCATAAAAAATAATAAATCTCAAAGCTATGTTGCGTGTCCTCTTAGCAGCCTCTACGACATAATTAACTTAACTCATTCTGCAGTTTGAAGCAACAGCTTGGAAAATCCTGTTTCAATTATCCAAGAAAAATCAATCCATGTTAGCGAAATGGAGGACAATTTATGACACTTATCAAGATAGATGCAATTTCGAATCTAATTAATGCCTCTGTTTTTGCACCAAGCAAAATACCCTAGAGAGTGATCTCATGAAGATTCCTGCAATATATTATACATTTCATATATTCTTTTTTAAGACCCTTGCACCTCAAAGCTGGAGGGCCTTATGGCTAATGGGCATACACTTTACATGGTTTTGAGAAGGAAAGCTAAAGGAGGGCTTACACTTTATAAAACAGGGGGTATAATAACTAGA